CAGTGCAGGGCCCACTCTGGCGGGGCTTTCACCCAAGAGCCTGCCGCTGGTGTTGGCATTTGTACTTCCTTATACGGGAATACTTTCAAGCACATCTGTTCAGAGTCCTATCACAGAGAAAAGGACTTAGGAGTGGTATGTACTCAAACATCTGCCTGGACTTTCAGGCCAGGTTTGCAGCCGGGGGGAGGGGGAGGACTGAAATACGAGATGTTTCTTACTCATCTGCTTTGTTGACTGGACTAGGCTTTTGGATATCTGAATCTACTAGGGTGGGCTAGGATATGCTCTAATAACACACTCCAAAATCAGAGTGGTTAGAAATAACATTGACTTCTTGCCAAAGCCTGGGCCAGACTTTTGGGGGCTCAGCTCCCGGGAACCTATGCTGATGCTGTGTGTTGACGGCTTGGGGAATACACCTCTGGAAGGTCCCCATCCAACTCACCAGCAGACCAGGCAGTGCACTGTCCGTGGAAGGATGACAGCCAGGGACAGCAGGGGATAGCATCAGATCTCACAGAAACTGGTCTCTCCATAGAGAGACCTATGACCTGGGGCTTGGAAGCATGGGGACCAGGACAAGGGAGGCAGAAGGAGGACAGAGTCCATGGGTCAGGGATACCTGGAGTGTATTGAAATGCCTGTAGCACCACCAGCACCTACCAAATCCTAAGTGTGATTGTGGGGTGGGGTGGAAGCTAGAATTCTACTCAAGTTCTGCAGGCAAGTTTGCCACCACGTTTTTAATATGACTATTTCACACAGCACAAAGGCTAGAAAATAAGCTGATTGCCTAGTACCTGGTTCAACGCTATGCAATTTGCCACATCTGCTTACTGCTTGTGTGGATTTGGCTAAATTGTTGGCAAGGAAGTTCCAGATGTCACAGCACTTCAGCCCTGAAGATACCATACTGCCCTCCAGACCCCAGGGATTCAGTATCATCTCACAGTCCAGAAACACACTGCCCTAGTCCTCAACATGACATTCTAACCATTGCCATTCTAACCATTATCTGGCTGACTCCAAATGGTGTTTAAGCAAGCTGGTATTTGCATTTTCCCTCTGTGTGCACCTGCCATTGTTCCTGTATTAGTACAGATGTGCAAGGGTACAGGCTAACCATTTGGTGGTCCTTCTGTCATTCCTCAGAGGAATGTCTTCTTATGGAGGCTGATGGTCTGAGATAGTGGGGCATACCCTGGGCCATGAGGAATGTGTTGAGGGATGGTTGGCACTCCGTTATTATTTGTGTATGGTGCAATAGCGGTTTCCTGCTTGAGTTCGTAAGAAAGCAGCTTCATCAGGGATCATCGTGGAGGGTGGCGAGGAGCAGCATCGGATCAACCCCCAGGCCTCTGTGCTGACCCTGTGAGAGATCTGGATAGGGCGAAGCCACTGTCTCCCAGCTGGCTGTCTCAAAGGACACAGGCTCTGTCGCTGCAATGAGGGACCAGTGACAGGAACAGATTGGACCAGTGCAGCATCCTGCCATGAAGTGAAGATGACTGGGTGTTTTCTGGACTGCGTTTCCTACTGCGGTACGAGATGCAATGCGAAAGCCTTCTGTTTCCTCGGCAAAGTACCTTGCCAGCACTAGTGTACTTGTGACCCATTCTCCAATCCTGAAATCCTGTGTTCTTCCTGAAAACAACTGCCCGGACCCAGACTATAATGGGTGTGGACCCAGAAAGCCCAGCCCCTCAGAAAATCCCAAATAAATGTTAATCCCAAATGAAATGCACAGACCCCCCCAACCCCCCAATACTTGGCTCATTCCAAGGCATTTCTTACAAAGGTCAATGAAGAATGACACCAAGAAGGAATCCCCCAGCATTCCAGGGAGACCCTGACCAAACTACAGGATGCCATCTGTACTGGGCGCTTCTCCCCTAGACATACCTCTGTACCTGCATCCCAAGTCTTGGGAGCCTTTTCTGAAACTTTCCAGCCCTATTCCTAGCACGGGCCAGGCCACACTGCAGACCAGAGGGGTTCTCCTCATCCCTGCTGAGGTCCCAGGTGGCCTCTGTTGCAGCCAACTCTTCAGCTGTCAAACTCCGGGTCCTCTCTGGAATCACAGGCCTCGCCACAAAGGTAAAGCAACACAAAACAGCATTCCCGCTCATCACAAACCTTGTAAAATTTTTCTTTAGTGTGATTTGCATGTGAAAAACATGACAACCAACTTCCCAAAACACCAGGAAACAGGTTGAATGTGAATCTGGTTTATTTGCAGAATTTTACTTCACCAATGTTCATTTCTTCCTGTGTCTCACCACCGTATAAAACTTCATCCTTTGTATGGCCTTATAAAAGGCTGAACAGTGACTAAGAAGTGAGTATTGCACATTTAATGACTTCACTGGGAGGTACTGACGGGTACATTACATTAGACATGGGAGAAGGAAAACAGTTAAACTGCCTGATGAAGGCTCTGTCTCCACTTAAAGTGACTGTAAACCCTGAAGGAAGAGTGAATTCTAATTCTCAGTGCTCCATGAGATACTGCATCTGTACATTAAACAGTAAAAATACATTAAACAACAGCATTCCTTAGTGACTCATCATCCCCCAAATAGGAGCCACAGTTGAATTTGTTTTCAAGTTATCAACAGGCACCAAGAAGTTGTCCAGGGCCCAGCACAGTAGCCTAGCAGCTGAAGTCCTCGCCTTGAACACACCAGGATCCCATATCGGCGCCAGTTCTAATCCCGGCAGCCCCACTTCCCATTCAGCTCCCTGCTTGGGAAAGTAGTCGAGGACGGCCCAAAGCCTTGGAACCCTGCACCCGCATAGGAGACCTGGCTTCAGATCGGTGCAGGCCGCTGTGGTCACTTGGGGAGTGAATTATTGGACAGAAGATCTTCCTCTCTGTCTCTCCTCCTCTCTTTATATCTGACTTTGCAATAAAAATAAATAAATCTTTTAAAAAAAAAGTTGTCCAGAATGAAAAGATTTTAAATACTTTAAATACAAAGATACTTCAGAAAGTTTATGGCAAACAGAAATAGAAGCTTCTTTGGTAAAAAAAAAAATTTGAAATTCATGCATAGTTTTTTTTTCATAACACACAGTTTGTGACCTTTTTGAAAACTACCCACATGTATGGATTTAAACTATTTGTGCACCAATATAAATCTGCTCCATTTTTTCCCAAAACCTGTTTGAATTCTTGTTGTTGAAGTGCTCCAGGACACCCCGTGACTTTTGAGATGCACCAGAACCAAGTCAGTGCCGATGCCTCTGCTTCAACTGGCACTGCCCAGCTGCTCATGGACAATCACAGCAGGGGGCACTGCAAAAAATAAACACAGGGAACAACATGCGTCCTTCTCAACATTAGAGTTTCTATCTTGCTGAATAAGACAAAGTTAGCAGAAAAATGATTGACTAGCATCTCAAAAAAAACTGTGAAGCTGACCCCAAAGGGAAAGCAGACAGTCCTAACATTAAACAGGTCTGGGACACAGCTTCTCACTGCCCCAAATGTCCAGAGGCATGGCCACAGTACATGCACTGCTGTGGTATGACAGTAATCCAAGGACAGGGACCAGGACAAGGCAAGCGAGCTCTCAGCACATGAAGAATCCCACTGCTGGCACCTGCAAGTGAGCACCAATGAAACTTGTATTCTGGAAACCTTATCTTTGTGTTCCCAGTTTGGGCCTTTTTTGGGTAACATGGACTAATGTGGGTACTTTCCCCAAATACAGTTCTCTTAGACTTCACAGTAGAAGAAAATTAACTGAAGACTCTATGGCACTTATCCTGCAGAAAACTCAGGGGTACACTCTACAGACGTGATAAAAACTGAAACTGAAGACCCATCTCGAGGCAGGGTGGGGCAGGAGACCACCCCCAGCCTGGACTGCTCCAGGCAGAACCCTCACCAATAAGCCACGGAGCCAGTGACTCAACAACCAGATCTACAAACTGGCGGCCTGGGTACGTCCAGCAGGAGTTGGGGGTGGAGGAAGCCGGGGAGGTCTCCCTCCACAAGAGGAATTAATGAGTTTTAATGGCCCCTCTGGTTTGAAATATCTGTGGCCTTAGGAAATCCACTTCCTGTCCTAAAGAAATAATGGTAGGAACAAACACCTGATGAAAAACTATCACCCACATTGAAAAGGAAGAAAGGCACGAGCACTCTTTAACTTGAATAATGTGAACAGACTGACCTCTGCAACGAAAGGGGAAGAACAAGGCGCTTGTTACTGCTTGAAAGGTTAGGCTGGTCTAGGTTTCCATTTTATGAACTAGATTTTTCTGAAACCCACAGAAGCAACTGAACTGGGCTGGAGCGCAGGGACCTGGAGGTGTTCACTGACTGGACCAACACACTGATTGCGAAGCTGAGGAATAACTCATGCCACCAAGCTGAGACCCCAAGAGGAACAGCTTTGGGAATAAATCCAGGGATGTCCTGGTACTACCCGCCATCACATCCTGCAAGACCCACTCTCTAACAGAGACAGCACCACCCACCCATCCATGGTGGATGGATCAGACAGACACTCAAGGCTGATCCCATCCCATCTGAGTAGGCTGGGGTCCAGGAATGGAGAAGCTGAGAGATCCAGACATTGCTTCCAGAATGTTGGCAGACATCATCATCTGAGCTGGATGCCAGCGCAGGCCACTGTGCCAGACAGCCTAGAGTGGGCAACAGTTCATCTTCCACGTTGCTTGTCCCACAAGACCGGCCTTGGTCCTGGATAATTCCACTATTGACATGCAGCTCCTGTCGCTCTCTCTCTGTGCATCTGTGTTCTCTGGAGACCCGTTAGCCCTGAAAGCAGTAGGCAGGCCGGGGTGTGTGCTGTCCCACTTTTCCAGGAGCCCACAGGGGAACTGCCATGTTCTGCACCAGTCAGTCATCAGAGCACTTTCTTGGCCCAGAAAGTAAACATGAGGGAGTGGAAGAAGACATCAGGCTAAAAACCAACATCAATCGTAACAACCGCCATACTTGACAAGGTGTTGGGACATCTGGATTCACAGCGTTAACAACCAGAGGCTGATTTTATTTTTCATCATTTTTACAGATCAAATACATTATAAATATTATAAACTTTCAAAAACTAACAGATTAGTCATAATTTTTTTTAAATGTGCACAATGTCACTGAGAAACTTCACAGTCTAGGAAATCAATAATTGTCTCCTCCTTAAAAAATAAAAATGGCACACAAGCTATTTCCCATTGTTACACCATTGTTGCCACATCAGTCGATTCACAGCTCCTACAAGCCTCCGCCCATAGCTAAAGGTACCTGAGAGGCCATCACGGCTCTGCTGTCCCACGTCCCTGTCTCCCCACTAAGAGCTCCCATGGCCACTGAGACCCTGTAGGTAAGTGACTTGTGTCCAGGCATTGCCCCATAAGCAGAACCGAACCAACAAAATCCATGCTGAGCCAAGAGAAGTGTGAATAAGAGGATGACAGCCCTGCTGCTCGCTGCTGGGGAAAACACCACAAGCATGAAAATGGGCACAGCACAAGGCAGTACCAGCACCAGGCCATGGTGATGAATGGGAAGGACGTTAACAGAAGGCATGTGGCTCCTGGACAACAGCCAGACTCCAGCAATGCTCCAGCCCTGCCTGCATCCGAGTCTACCGTGGAGGGAAGAACGGCAGGGAATGCCCAGCAGGGCCTCTGGTCTCCCCATCTCTGAGGGCCCTTTGGAAATCAACTTGCAAAATTCAGTGTCAAACAGGGGCAGCTGAGTGGTGTGAATAAGGGAATGGAGGGATTGTGGTGACTGAAGTCATCCCTGACTGCACTCCCCTTCCTGAGGACCAACCAGAACTCTCTGCCCAGCGGGCACAGCACAGACTGCCATCCAACCCTGATGGGTGACTCGCTTTAACAAACTCAACATTTCTACCTCCCTTTTGAGAGAAATGCCACAACACTCCAATGCAGGTGCAATTCCCCATATTTGAGAAACTCAGGCATTTTCAAAGGTGAGTTTTTACTTTGGAGGAACACAAATTGGGTGGGGCGTAAAAGCAAGAGCTTCCCATGATTCCTGGAGTCTTGAGATGCTGGGGGCATTCAGCACTTGTAAGATGTTCCATACCCATGTGCAGCTTCAGAAGTTTCACTTGAGGATAAACGTAAAAGCTAAAATGCTCCAAGAATGCTTTAAGAGCTAAGCCAGACACATACACACACACACCCCAAAACTCCCTGACGCCTCCCAACTTGCATCTCACTCAACTACTTCTTAGCTGATCTGACCGCCAGATCAGAAGTGAAGCCAGCAAAGAACAGCAAAGTTAAATGTAAACATAAACAATAACAAGGTTTTTCAAGAACCTCAAGGTAACTATCGGATGTTGTCCAAATAATGCACTTCTGGATACAGACTGTTAACAAGAAGGGCCAGGAAGTTTCTCCCATCTTGGAGGCAATGGCCAGGATGCTTTATAAACTGGGCGGCTTGCAGGATCTGGTCTTGGTACTCAATGTACTGTTTACTCAATGTCATGGATTCAAGAGCACTCAGAGCCTAAAAGACAAGAAAGACAGAGCGGGGCCAGTGTTACCACCATAGTGAACATGAGATGATGGCCATGGGTGCAGCATACTCACTATTAACACCTTGGTCTACTGCGAGCCTCAAGCTCAGAACACCTACAGAAATTTGAGCTAGCCACTCACAGGGAAGACCAACACCCCAACGCTTTCCTGGCCAGGAGTTGTGATGCGGCCAGACCTATCTTACTGCTGGACTTTCCCCTCATCACACCTCTTTCCAAAACCTGCCTCACCTCATCTTTGCTGCCAGCTCACACGGGGGGGGGGGGGTGGCGGGGGGGGGCCTCCTGCCTACCAGCTCCCTCTGCCCAAGGGCCATGGGACAATCACAGGCACCAGCTGCATCTCATCCACGCAAGCGCCATTCCATACGCTGCTGGGCTTGTTCTCATGCTACAGAACAAGGTCTTGTGAAACCAGCCGACTGTTTGAAATGCTGAAGAAACCTGTGAGCAATGGGTGCTCAGAGACACTAAGGTGGCAAAATGGTGACAAGCGTAAAGGCCACATCAAGTGCCTCCCTATTCTGCTGAGAACTAACAGGTGAGATGTCCTCACAGCTCTCCTTCAGAGGAGTACAGGAAAAGTGTGCTTTGATAAGTCATTTTAACTTTTGCTCCCTTCAGAGTAGAGGAGTCTACAAGGAGAAAATAGAGACCCTGCTTTATTTTCTAACTATTCAAGCTCACCCTCCCCAGTAACGTGAGCCAGCTGACCTCCCTCCTGGGACACACCAACCTCACCCAAGTGCTCTTACCATTTCACAAGCACCATAGCACTAGATAATATATATTTAAAGATAAAATTTGCTTGGTTCACAGAGATTTTTTTTTTTAAGGATAGCAAGTAAACTGGAGGTTCAGAAATGGCATAGTAAACCAATCTTCTACCTACAGTTTGAGAATCCCATATGAGCACCACTGCTCCACTTCTGACTCAGCTCTTTGTTGATGCACTGGGAAAGGCAGCAAAAAATGGCCCAAGTCATCAGGCCTGTGTCTCCACATGGGAAACCCAGAGGAATCTCTAGGTTCCTGGTTTCAGACTGGCCCAGTTTTGGCCATTGTGGCCATCTGGGTACGCTTAACTTGAGTAGCAAGTTAAGAGCTCTGTGAACAGAGGTCAAACTAAAACAAGCATGAGTGGGAACAAGCACTCCTACAAACCAGTGTTCGCCCTGTGCCTCCTGCACTGCAGACAGGGGAGCAGGAGATACCCCAATAGGAGCATTGGCCACACCACCTGTCTGCTTCTAGAACATTTCCCAGAGCTACCATTCTATCTACATCAACAGCCAACATGAGTGCTCACCTTCAGATCTACCAAGAGTCACTTCCTTGGCTCCCAGTTAAAATCAGCCGCTTTCCATCTGTCTCAACTGGGGCTGGCTGCATCTTCTGTGCTACCTCAGCTTTCAGCCCTTAGTCTTTCACAGGTAAGTGTACTGTCTCTTATTACCCCCCTACAGGCTTGCCTATAGCCTTCCTTCTTCTACAATGACAGTAACAACAGTGTTCTAGATAAAAACATACCAAAAATGGGCTCAAGACTGCCCTGGGCATGTGTGCCCCTCTGAGCACCAAGCCATGCACGGTATACACAGGCTGGAACTACCACCTCGCCAACTTCCAGGCAGGGTGTGCTGCAACCTCTGCCATGCCCAGGAGAAGGCTGTGTGGACTGACCTGCTGAGCTTTGGCAGTCAGATGCAACTCCGAACCGGGCTTCAGTCGGATCTGATCTTCTGTAGGAATCTGGACTGAAAGGAATGCAGCTAAGCCTCGGGCAACCACTCGGAACCTTAGGGGTTAGAGGCAGGCAGAAGGAGGAGCTGCTATTTAAGTCAGCATTTTACATAAACACATTTCTACATCTACTACATTGTTAACCTCTTCAGGAAAGTCTCACACCTCATCAACAAGGACCTTGGGTCCCCTCTTCCATTACAGCATGCACTCAATGCAGACATAGTTCAGCTTCAAGAATGAAATGTCAGAGAAGGCATTTGGTGCAGAGTTCGGGTCACCACCTGGAATGCCTGAGTGCCTGTGTTCAACCCCAGCCCTGTTTCCAAGCACAGTCTTCTGCTAACATGCACCCTGCGAGGTGGGGAGTTAATACATCAAATACTTGGATCCCTGTCACCTATGTGGGAGTCTGGGGTAGGGCTACCAGTGCAGGGCTTGGCCTAGCCCTACCCTGGCTGCTGCAGCAATCCAGGCAGTGAACCAACAGATGGACAATCCATGTTTCTATCTCCTGTTTGTCTCTCTGCTTTTCAAATACAAATAAACAACAACCAAAGAATTAAAATATTGGTGGAAATGGGATAACAGGCTGCTGTGGGAATATAAACAGTGCAGGTGCTGTAGAAGGCCTGGGATTTCCCTGGACTCCCAGCACAATGATCAAGCACGTACGGGAAGCAGCACACCGGCTCATTACAACTTCACTTTATATACCATCACTGGCTCAGATGGGGGCAGCACTGTAACACAGTTAAACCTCCACCTGTCAGGCTAGCATTCCAAGTGGGTGCCAAGCAGAGTCCCTGCTGTTCCATTTTCAATCCAACTTCCCACTAATGCACCTGGGAAAACAGTGGAAGATGACCCAAGTGCCTGGACCCTAGCAGCCACAAAAGAAACCTGGAAGAAGCTCCTGGCTCCTGGTTTCAACCAGGCCCAGCCCTGGCTGTTGGGGATATTTGGGGAGTGAACCAGCAGATGGAAGATCTCCCTCTGTCTTAATCTGTAATTTTGTGTTTCAAATAAATAAAACATAAACCTTTTTGGAAAAAAAATCAACAGGGAAGTAAAGATACAAAGTCAAAATTTAAGAAATACTACGGAAAAATACTATTTGAACTTAAAGTTGTTTTAAAATGAGAAAGAAGGAACTTGCTTTCTTAGAATATAAACAGGTAATTCAGTTCTGATTTTTCTTCCCTTAGTTTTTCTAGAAAACCTACATGGAGAATCTCCAGAAGTTTCACATCCTACGCACAGCACAGACATCTGAGGCCTGTGAAGGAGAGCAGCAGCCAGCATCCTCACCTGTTAGACAAGGGCGACTTCCGGCCCAAGCCGATTGCCCCCAGGATCCCAGAGCTGATCCTCTCCTCGGCCACCACGCTCAGTCTGCTCTGAAGCGTCAGCAGAATTCGGATTACGGACTCTGTCAGGACTGAGTCATTCTGCTCTGTCTGTACCAGAGACAGCTGCAGGACTTGGTGCCACCACAAAAACAGCTTCGCTTCTTCCTGCATGGAACTGGGGGGTGGAGGGGGTGGAAATCAGAGAAAAGTGAAAGGAGTAGATTTCTCCCTGCTCCATGAAGCTGAATGCTCACAGCTGAAGATGAAATACAGGAGACAATCAGGACCATGACAGCTGAGGCCCAGCTGATCATGCAAATAAAACAAGACTGTTAACAGCTGCTGCTTATCAAACACACTGCATGCCAGACACTGCTTGGGCTTTCGTTCTCACGGAATGCTCACAATCCTAGGAGGTGGAGATACTTATCTCTGCCTCATTGACAAGGAAAACTCAATCTTGGTGCTTCAAAATTCCCATTTCAAACAATAAATGCAAAAACAAAAACAAAACCACACTGGGAAAACATGCCCTCATATTAAGCATCTTTGCAAAGCGAGTAGTACCGCACCTTGGATACACCTGCTCCACCCACTTGCTCAGGTTGAGCAGCATCTTCATCTCGTTCTGGAGAGTCTGCTCACTGTTCAGGCACTGAAGCAGGTAGACGTAGAGAGTCAGGTAACTGCCAAGGGTGAGACACTCCCTCAGAAATTCTTCTATGGTGAGCTCAGGGACTTGAAGGGACACCAGGATAGGGCCCCATCCTAAGTTCTGATTGAAGGAGCCTAAAAATATTAAGAGGAAACATCAAAAGATAAGCAAGGGATTGGGGGAGGGTGGACCTTTAGTGTAGCAGGTAGGACACCACTTGGGAGACCCACACCCCGTATCAGAGTGCCTGAGTTCAAGTCCTGGTTCCACTTCTGAAAGGAGCTTCCTGTTACTATGCAACCAAGGAGTCACAGGTGACAGCTCAGGGAGTTGAGCCTCTGCCACCTGGTGGGAGACTGTGCACTGAGGGCACTGAGGCAGGGACAAAGCTCCTGCACCTGCTTCAGTGGCCCAGCCCTCACTGCTCATAGGCATCTAGGAATGAGTGAACCACTAAACTGCTGGTTCTTTCTTTGTTGTTCAAATAAATAACAAATTAGGAACACATTTTTTAAAAAAGAGTCAAGAATAAAACTACTTAACTCTAATGCATCTTTTCATTTGAACATTCATGTGAGATATTTCTAACACTGGCCTCAGACAACACAAAAGTGAATGAAATGGGGCCTGGCACAGTAGCCTAGCAACTAAATTCCTCAACTTGCATGCGCTGGGATCCCATATGGGCACTGGTTCTAATCCCAGCAGCCCCACTTCCCATCCAGCTCCCTGCTTGTGGCCTGGGAAAGCAGAAGACAACCCAAAGACTTGCGATCCTGCAACCCAAGCGGGAGACCTGGAAGAGGCTCCGGATTCCTGGCTTCAGATCAGCATGGCTCTGGCCATTACTGCTGCTTGGGGAGTGAATCAAAGGACGGAAGATCATCCTCTCTGTATATCTGACTTTCCAATAAAAATATAAATTTTTTTAAAAAGTGAAATATATGTGATGCCTGTTCTCAGGGTTGCCACTGCAGGCTAAGAAACACAGAGTTGTATATGAAATGAATCCCTCTTCTCATCATATCATGATCATTAAAATTGCATGCAGACACGCTTCCAGTCATATAAGAGTTTTAGCTACAGGAACACTTTTAAATATGTATGTATGAACAGTTAGGCTTTCATAAGGTAAATAAATGATTACAACTCCTTGTGTATTTTTGCATATCAAAGCCTAGCTTGACATATGCATATATGTATATATATTTATCTTAGTAACACATGTGAAATTGAGACAGGGGAACTATCTGAATGGCTCTCAGTCTCTGGGGGAGGAGGATGGGCTGCCTGGTGCCATGCACAGCACCTGCAGGGGTCATTGGACCAGGATAGAGGGCAGGTCATGGACACATCCCTTCACGCCTTCCCACTGCCTGCAGGGTGACTGCCCCTGGCGACCAGAATTCAGCAGGGCTGTTCTGAGCAACACTGCATCAACAAGGTTGTTTCCAGAGCCTGAGAGTTTACAGAAAGTAAGAAATAAAAGGCAGACACACACTTGGCCTAGCAGTTAGGACACTTCACTGGAAGCCTGCCTTTCATATAGTTTGGGTCCAGGCTCCACTCCAGATTCGGGCCTCCTCCTGGTGCACCCTCTCACAGGCAGCAGGTGACAGCTTCAGTGTCCAGTTCTTGCCATCCATGCAGGAGACTCAGTATGGGTTCTTAGGTCTTACCTGTTAGGAGCATTTGGGGAGTGAACCAGTGGATGGGAATTCTGTGTGTGTATGTGTATGTCTCAAATTTTAAAAAGATGTTCAAAAAGAAAAGTAAAAGGGCAAGACGTCACCCCTTTATAAGTTTGAAAAGTGTAACAAAAAGCAATGCAAGGACATATGCGAAAACTCCCCTACCCAAAGTGACAAACAGGGGTAATTAACAGAGCAGATGATGACTACATAGACTGTGGTTTTGAGGACTGTGACTTGGCACGTGAGAAAACAAATCTGTCTATAGCAACAGGATGGCTCTTATATGCTGAGCTAGTGTGAAATGAGTCAGAGCTGTCCTCCCATGAAACACGTGACCACTGGGCAGACATAAGTAGAGGCTCTCATGCTAATTGTGGATATATACATAGACGTATATATACGTATATACATGTATCACATCCACAGAGCAGAGGTTAGAATGGTATAATCTCTCATTAGAAAGAGTCTAGAAAGGTCCTTCTTGGTGACAATGCTTCAATGTTCCTGGCAAAGACCAATGCAATGAGAAGAGAACTCCCTCTTACCTTCTTTGAAGTAGGCAGTGATGCAAACTTCTGTGGTCTCAGCCATGTGGCGAACGGAAGCCAGGCTCTGGCAGGCTGCTGTTAGCAGGGGCAGCACCATCAGCCCATGCACTTTTTGGCTTATCCACGTGCAGATGCTGCCCCGGAGGAACTCGGCCGTCGGAATGGTGGCACTGTTCATCATCATCAGGACTTCCATGAAGAGGCTGCTGAGCGCCATGTGGCGCATCCGGCTGTCCAGGTCTGCAGAGAGCGGGAGGAAGGCGGAGAACAAGGGGTCAGAGTGCATCCATTTTAGCTGCTCGGTAGCAGATTTTTAAATTGTAGCACTGCCCACAGAGAGCGGAAGGCGGGCTCTGGATGGTGTTTGGCTTTTACAGACAGGATGTGGCACACTGAGAACATGAGCAAGAACAATCGCAAACCCCGGGGCACAGCAGTTCTTCAGGCATCCATCAAGCTAATCCGAAAAGGCAACTTACTTATCAGGACGCACCTAGGCAATCCTTATTTCCCAGATGTCAACTTGGTAAACTACTTAGCAACAGCCCTCTCCAGGCCCACCACTGCCATCCTTGTTCTGGGGTCATTTACACAGAATAAACGCAATGGCTTAAAATACAAAAGGAAAAACCTTTGGAAGGGTCCTAACTGCCAACTTCTCTTTGTTTTTTAAATAAGAAAGATTTGTTACTATAGTTCTTTCTAGAAAAAAATCAGAAAAGAGTAAAAAGCAAAAACAATGAGCAAATACATTTTAAAATCCTATGCAAATGAGTCAGAAACAGTCACTGAGACGGACTCGGTGCCTAGCAGCCCTCTGGGTTAAGAACGGCTATCTCTGCATTTCAACTAAAGGGAGATTTTCATTTATTTTTTTTTAAAGATTATTTGTTTTTATTAAACAGATTAGCAGAAAGAGCAAGAGACAGAGAGAAAGATCTTCCATCCATTGATTCACTCCCCCAAGCAGACACAATGGCCAGAGCTGAACTGATCCAAAGCCAGGAGCCCGGAGCCTCTTCCAGGTTTCCCATGTGGGTTCAGGGTCCCAAGGCTTTGGACCATCCTCCACTGCCCTCCCAGGCCACAAGCAGGAAGCCAGAAGGGAAATGGAGCAGCCAGGACATGAACCAGCGCCCATATGGGATCCTGGCACATGCAAAGTGAGGACTTTAGCAACGAGGCTACTGTGCCAGGCCCTTCATTTATGTTTTAAGAACAACTTACAGGAATAAATTATGGCACGAGCCTCTCCTCCAATAGATCCCAGCTTTCCTTCTGGTTCAATATCCACAAGACCAGCAATTGTTCCACCTTATTTGAGCCCACCGTTCTAACTATGAACCTAGAACACCCTTCTCCTCTTTCCCCGGTCAGTCCATATTAAACCTTTACAGCCCAAACACATATGATCAACCTTAGAACAGTTTTACCACAACTATTTGCTGAGTTTTCTTTCTTTCTGCCAGGACATGAATCAGCAGCCAAATTGGATCTCAGCACTTGCAAGGCAAAGATGTAGCCTCTGAGCCATCGCACCAGGTCCACTTTGCTTAAATAACTTGTTATTGTTTACTCAAATAATTTGTTTAAATAAGAAATAAATTCCAACTTACAGCCAAAAACACAAAGGATGCTACTCACTAGGTCTCCTGTAACCCTAATAAACCACCCACCTTAGTTTAGTTTACCTCATGCCACTGTCTGCCAGTGTCAATCCTTACTTCAGTTCCCACTCACACCTCCCCCAGTGTCCTGACACCTCCTGGCTTTACAATGCCTTAAGCACCCAGGAATCCACTGACCGAATGCACAGGCTCTCTCCCATTGGTCACTCACCAGGTGGGTTAAAGACAATGATGTCGTCTAACAGCTTAGACATTTCCTGTTCCAGGACTGCAAAGGTGATTTTCCCATTTTGTTCCAAGGTGCTGAGGAACTGAACCATTTGATGAATGAAAGCCTGGCACTTTGGAACTGCATCCTGAAAAACCAACAAAAAGGACCATTTAAATGAAGCCAAGCAATGAGTGACAACGGATGACTGCTGGGAGTATGGCACTGCACTGAATGCTCACTGGGCAGAGTGAAGATGATGCATCAGAAGCTGCCCAAGGACCTCACCCTAAGCAGCCCGAGGGCCCGTGTCTAGGAGTATGCAACCCTGTGCTGACACTTTTTGACTCCTAGGCACACTCTCCCAGATTCAGCAGAACATGCCTCCCTTTTTCATTTACTGCATAATAACAACATTAAGTAAATTATAATTACTTGCCAGGAAATTTTCTGTTCATTGTTTGATTCAAGCCTCAAACTACTACATGAGGCAAGGTATTATTTCCAAATCAAAGACAAAACTAAGGAACTTGTTTGGGGTCAGAATGGTAGTAAGCTGGGACTTGAGTTTGTTGCCAAGGATCAGATGGTAAATGCAGCCCTCAATATTTCTGACCTCTCATCAAAATGGGACACTACCATAAGGGAAAGCTTAACTAAAGAGAGAAAAAACAGGCTACAAGTTCGAAGGGGTCACAGTATGAGTACAAAATGAGCCACTATCTTGTCCTCTGCGCAGCCAGCAGGGTCAAGAGTGACTTAGGAGCATTCACATGGCTACCAGCGTCAAAGAACACTCTGTCTTTGAAACCACCCTGCCAACTTACACAATGTTTCTGGCTATCAGCAGGAATGGAGAGGCCTGCAGACACTTTCAGGAGCTTCACAATTAACTCAGCAGAAGACTCCTTTGCCAGGATGATGGATGGCGGGTAGTGACTGCTGAAATACCCCAGCACACTCTTGTATGACATAATATCCACAAGATGCCATGAAAGTGAGCTTGTCTGTCCAAGGAGACTGAGTAAAGGTGAATCCTAAAGGTGAAACACACAATCTTTTAGGTCCAGAGCCCTCACATCCCCAGAAAGGCATGTCTCTAATAACCACTCGGATGAGCATAGCCAGAACACCAAGTTTCTACTTAAACAGGAGTACCCCCAGAAGTAACAACAGAAGTCTTGGCAAAAACAACTTAAGATTTCTGAGCCCTGCATGGTAGCCTAGTGGCTGAAGTCCTTGCCCTGCACACGCTAGGATCCCATATGGGCACTGGTTCCATATGGGATCCATAAGGCTGTTCCATTTCCCTTCCACTTCCCATCCAGCTCCCTGCTTGTGACCTGGGAAAGCAGTGGAGGATGGCCCAAAGCCTTGGAACCCTGCACCTGAGGGCAGGCCTGGAAGAAGCTCCAGGCTCTGGCTTTGGATCAGCTCAGCTCTGGCCGTTGCAGCCACTTGAGGAGTGGATTAGTGGATGAAGGATCTTCCTCTCTGTCTCTCTTCTTCTCTGTATATCTGACTTTCCAACAGGAATAAATAATCTTTATAAAACCAAACCAAACAAAGATTTTTGAGTATTCACAATGTAGTCTGCACAAGACACTGCTTTGGTAGTATATGCCAAAACTGGCCTCTATAGGACAGAACTAGACATTATTGAGATATAAAACAAGTTGATTAACATATTCTAATTTAGCATACTTCAAAACTAAATAAACATGGCATTATTTCTATATAGTCCACAAAACAGGCACAGAGTTGAAGGGTCATCTCACAAGCCATGCATCTACCCACACAGGTAGGGACGCTAAGAAAACAAATGAAGAACTGTAACCCCATAGAAACTGAAGTTCAGGGAACCCGGCCACATATGTCACCACCAGATCCCCAAACTTACTGGTTGGTCAACTAGTTCAACTTCTTTTGCCAACAGAATCATCATGAAAAGGAGGCAGACAATCATGCTCTGGGTTTCTGGAAGGGGACTGGGATTCCAGGCATCTGCGAGCACACTAACCCAATTGACCTCACACAGCACAGACCCCAGAAACAGGAAACAGCTCTTGGGGCTTCCTCGTTCTACCTAAGAGGAAACAAATCAAAATCAACATTTTGCTTTCTGCTGTTTCATGTGACTTCAAAATGCATATAAACCAATGTTGTAAATTACATTTTAAAAAACAACACCTTTTCCCCAGAGGTGTTATTCACAATCCCACCTCCCAGATTTATACTTAACACTTCACAATACTTTTCCTTCCATGTTTGTGTACATTTTTTTAAAATGACTTGTCTGTTCAGATGTCGTTAGCTGTTCCAATAGTTAACAGGAGAGGAATAACCTGCCCTAACACCAACCCAAGTGGAGAATCCCCACCGTGGGAGTCACCTGAGCCACAGGGAGGATGCATTCCCCAGATGTGCTGCAGCAGGACAAAGCTGAGATCTCTATGTCAGTAACTCCTAAACTTCAGCAAGCACCAGAAGCACCAGAGGGCCTACTGAAACAAAGACTACTGAGCCCGTGCCCAGGCGCAGAGTGAGAACGTGCATTTCTCAGAAGTCCCTTGGCATTGCTGTACTTTGAGAGGTACTACTTTAGGTTATTTAAGATTTATACTGACACTTAAATGAAATGTGGTATTTATGTCTTCACATCATTTCTATTATTTTGAAGACTGTAAAAATACTTCTATTACAGACCAACCTCCAAGCTACCTCTTATTAAGTCTATTTTAGTATTTCTACTCTGTTTAAAACAAAGCCAGTCACAAGCATTTCCTTTCAATATGAAGGCTAAGAGCTCTCCTCCACTTGCAAAATCTTGACCAATGGAAGTTAGTAACGATTCACTTCCTCTCATTCCTGTTATTATAATATGCAAGCTAATAATTCTCTTCCCCTTCAGAAAACAATTCTCCCTTCCTCTACATAATTTATCCACTACCCTCACCCTCAACCCTGAAAACAAAACAAAACAAGAAAGCAGACTACTTCACAATGTCAGTAAGAAACAATGAATTCAAAGATTCCTAGCTCCAGGCAGGCTACGGCTGCCCATCGTTAGAATAAAGCCTGTGGAGACACAGCATCTACAGCCTCCCTGAACAGAAGGCTCTGCTCCTTAATTTGTCATATAGCTAGGGTCACCCTCTTATTAAAACTGTCTTCCAGCTCTTGGAACAACTTTCTTTCATGTGTTCCTGATGGTGTTATCTACTTAAGACCTGCTTCACATTGTAAGCCTAGCCATGAAATCATTCCTGAACTCTACTGTTCTAGAACAACTGCCCTCTACTTTCCTTAGAGTTCAGCTACAGGAGAGGATGACAAGGGCAACACCAGGTACAGTTCACTAATAGTCATAAATAATTGCAAATACGTATCAACTGAAGCACTCACGGTTTTCAGATAATAAGTGAGACATCAGAACATCCAAATAAACAGATAACTATGAACAAACGAAATGAAACTACTGCAAAAATCTGAGACAAGATCATGACAACAACAAAAAGCTTCTTAACATAGAAACTTGGAGCTGGCATTACAGCGTAGCGGGTAAAGTCACTACCTACAACAGATATCCCATGAGGGCGCCTGTTTGAGTCCCGGCTACTCTACTTTCAATACAGCGCCTTATTAATGGCCTGGGAAAAGCAGCAGGAGCTGGCCCGACTACTTAGGTCCCTGCCACCACGTGGGAGACACGGAAGAAACTCCTGGCTTCAGCCTGGCTAAGTCCTGGCCATTGTGGCCACTAGCAGAATGAATCAATGGACAGATAATATCTCTCTCTCTCAATCTCTCCCTTCTCTCTCAAATAAGTAAATAAATGAATCTTTTTTAAAAAGATTTTTTAATCATAGCAACAAAAATAGCTCCAAGGCCCAGCTTTGGGGTGTAGCATGTTAAGCCTCAGCTTTGAGACACAAGCATCTCATATTGGAGTATTGGTTCAAATCCCAGCTGCTGGGCTTCCACTTCAGATCCAGCTCTCTGCTGATGTGCCTAGCAGGGAGAGGGAGACTGTCCAGGTGCTGGGGCTCCGGCCACATACACGGGAGACCCGGATGGAGCGCCTGTCTCTGTGTGCGTGCATATACAATTACCCTTGTTTAGCTCTCTCGCTTTGCCTTTCAAATAAATAAACCTTTTTAAAAGCAGCTTCTAATGCCTAAGCTACACCATTTTTCATAACCATTGTTTCTTTAGCAAAGATGCACACCCATTTATTGGCACTCTTTTCCAGGTCTTTATACAACAGTGATGTCTCACAGGCTAGTACAATGAATTCCATGTCTGACAAGCTAATTATTCACTTACATAACTGCAAAAAGAAACAAAAGGCTTAACTACCAACTATTATTTGCTTTACTAGAACATTAACTAGTCATTCTAACAACATCAACCTAGGAGAACATGCATGTATACCAAGAGCAACCAAGACTGGGCATGACCAAGTTAGTAAATTATGTACTCACACAATATAATTACTTAAGTTTACGACAAGCAAGTTCTGGATAAAATTTTTCTCTGGGCTTTACAAATGGTCCTAAAGATGCTTTTCAATCATCCATTGACATTCAGAACTGACTGCCAACAGCAGCAGGTCTTCACAAGTACCGCCAAAGTAAATGCACTGTATGCCCACTTGCCCTCAGCATACCCTGCCTTGTGGGCAACGGCTACAGCTGCTCCCAAGCAGCTAGCTTTGCCCAGGCTGTGACTCATTGTGCAAAGAGGCTCACTTTGAAGAAGGCTTCCATGAGCGTCTGGTCAGGGTGCAGGTCCTTCCAGGGGAGCCTCCGATAGGCGCTGTGGAAAGCGTACAGGATGAACTCTGGCATTTTGGGGGCTGTACATGTTTCACAGTAGTGCATCAGGTGTAACCGAAGGGCTCCCTCATCACCCGGCAAAAGCTTATCTAAAATTTAAGAAGATAAATAGCTGAAGATCTTTGGTCTATCTTTATATAGATTGCAAGTTTGTTGTGAAAGCTAAACACTTAAGTTTCTAAATACATATCTAATTTTAAAGATTTTCATGTGCCAAATTAATAATAAGGAATGATAGTTTAACTAGTAATTTCAGTAGCTATAATGAGCCAATTTTATGGGAAGAAATAGTTGGGGTAATAAGTTTCTCTACAAAACTTCTAAATGCATGTTTCTAACTCAATATTCACTTCTACAATCTGCTGCCTTTGGCATGCACGCATTCTCATGTACTGTCTTCAGAAAGCACTGACAGTCCTCAAAAGTATATATTTCAGAAATTTTTCCAAAGATGATACACAAATGGTCAGTAGTTACATGAAAAAATGTTTAATAGCACCACTAGCCATTATGGAAATGCATATTAAAACTACAGTAAGATTCCATGTCATACATGTTAGAATGGCTTTGACCAAAATCATGAAAGATAAAGAGTCAAGAAGAGTGTGCAGAAAAGGGAACCTGCTCACTCTTGGTGGGAATGTAAATCACTCTAGCCAATATGGAGGCAGGTACCTCTGAGAAACCCGGGCTAGACAGTACTTAAAAGGAGAATCACTTCAAATTTTCCATAGCTAAAAAACGCAGGACAACCTTACAAAACAGAATAAAAGGTGCAAACTTAATTGTAAATAGTTGTATTAGTGAAAATTCTTGGGTCTTAAGTAAGGCATCAGGTAACTCCTTACCAACTAAAGGAAAGCATAGATAAGTCTGACTCAGGGGCTGTGGGGAAAATGAAACCTGAGCATCTTCCCACCTTGGAATTTCCTGTGCAGAGAGTCCACCAAGTCAGCGAACAGCTGCACGATGCTCGAAGCCAGCACAGCATCACTCTCCAGCCAGGGGTAATGTCGCTCCTGGCTGCTTCAAAGAAAAGAACATAATGCCTCAAAAGGGAAGGACTGTGACTGACTGACTCCTGGCAGCAGATTTGGGCTGGTCTGAGTTCTACAAAACTGTATAACATACCCTAGCATATACCAAGACCACTTCAAAGGGATCAACTCCTTCAGGTGACATTAATTGTGCAATTTAATTTCCTCTCTTTCCCACCTTGCATTACAATGCAGGAAGCTTCAGAAGCACACTCCCAGGACTCACAGTCCATATCACTGCATCACTGTGTGCACGTCATTACACCATGGCACCTGATTTGAAGAAGTGTGCTTTCTAAATAACCCTAAATTAGTAGCTTCTTTATGGCCAAGTTATGTCCTTTAACATCTTGACTGGATCTCAAATGTCTTAGGAAAATACTCAGATGTGACTTCAACAGATTTTTCCACCAAAGAAAAATAAATAAATAAATAAATAAATAAAATTCCATGTCAGTAAGATAACTAAAAATTGACACGAAGTAACCAAAGAAATTATGTACTTGAATTCAACTTCTGATCCAGTGTAAAAATCAAGTTTCATTAATTCTGCTTGGAAATAAATACACAGCCGGCACTGTGGACAGCAGTCTATTGTTTCAGATACTATAAACCCTGAAGCCAGCAGATGACTCAATAGTCCTCCAGTGGTACATCGACTCCATGCAATACTACTCAGCCACTAAAAAGAATGAAATTCTACCATTTGCAACAAAATGGCCCCAAATAGAGAAGATTATGCTCAGTAAAATAAGCCAATCCTAAAAGGACAAATATTGTATGTTCTCTCTAATATAAGGCAACCTCCATGCAAAATGCAAGATCAAAAGACACAAACATGTATATACATACACTCAGATAGAGTAACTAGCACTCAGTGTATGGTGCAGCATGCATCCCTACTCCTGATGAAAAGATGGACTCCCAGTGAAGCTGAGGCTGTGCTACTGTCAAGTTTATAAAACTCCTGACATTCACCTAGCCATCTTACGAAAAACTGCTGCCTGTGTACTTTGAGCAAACCACAGACTCGTCATGCAACTCCTACATTTGGACAACTCCACATTTCTGGGTATTGTGAGTCTCCAGGAAATAAAGCTTTTATTTGATTACAGAGATCCAGATTTAAAGGGAAATTCCCACTCAATACCCTGATAGTGAACTCACCTCCACATGTAAACCCGAAGTAGTGTAAAGAAGTTGTTAGTTTCTTATCCATGTTGTATTATCAAAACCTAAGAGAACAGTACCCATTTTCCTGAAATTAAGTCCTCAACAATCCTTCAACTTCTTTATAAAGGCAAACTAGAAATAAGTATCCAGCATTTTTCCAAAAAAATGTTGAGACAACACCTCTGATAGTCCAGACTAACCCATCCACAAAAGATGTCTGAAGTTCTGGAAATACACATTTTTTCTAAGTTTAAATATAGCTGCATAATTAGAATTGTGAATTCACCACATTTACCAAATCCCAGAAGAACTTCAAGACAACAAACTTCCAAGGACTCTGAATCTCTGCAAACCTGTTTACCTTTCACTGTCCTCCAACACCAGGACCCACGGCTTCAAGAGCGCGACGATGCGTGAATGCAGGGACCTCAGCACTAAAAGAGCAAGATTTCAAATACAAAAAATAAGCTGATCCTAGCACTGTGGTAATGGGATGTAAGACCCCATTTCTTATCTGTATATTCCCAAAACCATGCTGATATTCACCAAAACAACTTGTGCAAACTTAAGAATAGCTGTGTTTTCATTTGCTACAAACTCATTTCTATGAATTGAAGGAGAATTTGTATTATTATGACACAGTGCCATGGTAATTGCACGGCATGTATTTTTTTCTAAGCTAAGTGACTAAACATCTGTAACCTTCCCATTAGCCAGATAAATGCCCGGAAGAAGGGATTGGAGGCAGATAGCTATCTCTGTGCACCTGTGAGGGAGGGGCACACAAGCTGCAGCACGCAGCCCACACTCCCTGTGTAAGTCACAGATGACACACATGTAGCGTGCAAGTGTACTATATATCTTCCATTTCCTGTCCTTGACACTTGCTATAAATCTCCTAGTGAGTCTACTCAAATCTTCCTAATGGAAGGTCAGAACAACTCATTCACACTGTACTAAAAGCATAGTACCTGATTTGCTGCAAACAGATGGATCTTGGGTCAACGAGGCCATTTCTGAGTCAATCAGCCTTTTCACAAGATAGCCTAAGAATGTCCTCACATCAGCCACATAAGGACTCCATTTTGAGAATAAACCAAAGCTTTTGAAGTCCAGTTTGGATAATCGAAGTTTGCAGAAAAAGTCTGAAAGCCATTGTATTGTCTCTACCACCTGAAAGAGACAATCAAATGCTTACTCAATGTCTTTTTCTTTCTAAAATTTATTTACTAACTTCAAAGGCAGAGTGACAGAGGGAGAGACAAAACACAGAGAGGAGGAGGTTTGCTTGTTTTGTATGAATATCACATTAACATGAGAATTGTGTTGTAGCGATTACCAGGCATTGGCTGTGACCCTTAGAATCTACTAATAAATTCCTTTTGAAGAGAAAGAGAGAGACAGAAAATGAGAGATATCTTCCATCTCTGGTTCACTATGGAAAATGGTTACAAAAACTGGAGCTGGACCAGGCTGAAGCCAGGGAGCCCATCTGGGTCTCCTACATGGGCAGTGGGAACCCATGCACTTGAGCCATCAGCTACAGCTTCCCTTTCACATTAGCAGGAAGCTGGATCACAAGTGTGAAGCAGCCAGGACTCGAACCAGGCACTCCAACATGGCATACAGGCTTAGCATCCCAAGTACAGGTTAGTCTGATGTGCCAGTGTCCACTCGAGTGTCACTTTTAGCAGAGTGGTCTCACAGTGTATGAAGGGAGTACAGTAAGTGTTCAATAACAGAGTTGCAAAGATAGAATGCATATGGAAAATCAATCACCGCGTTTACAACGGTTTTTGTTTTTAAAACAATATAACCATTATTTCAAATAAATTCCCATGTGATCCCACATAGATAAAAGCTGACAAAACTGACTGGCTGAAAGGACACCTCAGAGAAACTCAACCAGTGGAGTCAGGGATGAGGCAGCTACATCTAGCTCAGAGGAGTTCCCTGGCAGAAGCACCTATCAGCCTGGACGGAGAGACAGGAAACCAGACTTTTGTGGCCCCTGTAAAGGAGGCACAGGGGATGAAATGGACCAAGAAAGAAACACATGGGTTCTTACAAAGTGCAGGGCCCAGTGTGATGGCTTAGTAGCTAATCTTTCACTTCGCAAGCACCAGGATCCCATATGGGTACCAGTTCATGTCCTGGCTGGTCTGATTCCCACCCAGCTCCCTGACTGTAGCCTGAGAAAGCAATGGAGGACAGCCCAAAGCCTTGAGGTCCTGCACCCACAGGGGAAATTCAGAAGAAGCTCCTGGCTCCTGGCTTTGAATCAGCTAAGTTCCAGCTGTTACAGCCACTTGGGGAGTGAACCACCAGGTGGAAAATCTTTGTCTCTCTTTGTCTATGCAAATCTACCTTTCCAACAAAAAATAAAGCCTTAAAAAAAAACACAGATAAAGCACAACAACAGTTTTCTAGATAGGATATTATTCAAAAGCAGCTCTTTAGGCCATTTTAAATGTGCTGCAACTGTTTCAAAAATAGACAGGAGGGGAAGTGGAAAAGAAATGTATAAACAAGACACACCTGTTCCTCTGACAGTAGAACCTGTGAAGAGGTTTGAAGCACGTTGCTCTCTGCAGACGCTGTCCCCTGCTGGCAGCTTGGGGCACAGCAGCCCAGGACTCTCAGGGTGGCTTTCCAGCACTCGGGACTCAGCAACTGCTCTGCAGAACCTAAATGGCAGTGACAGAGACAGCATCAGCAACCCTCACAGCTTGCATCAGGCAGCTTTTAAAAAGAATGAAAACAAAGGTAAATATCAAAAACAAATCCACGGGACTTCCTGTGGCGAAGAGACAAAAGAGATGCTATTAAAAGAATGACCACCTGGAAATTTGACTACCTGTCTCTTTAACCATGACCCCAGCTGGGGAGTGAGTGTACAGATGCCATTCTCCTGGTTAGAGGGTAATAGCTACTTTTAGGATGACAGAAACAGTGGCAGCAGGGCAAGACAGACTAGAAAGACGGCAACTCCAGAATCTTCACTCTGAGCAAGGAGTCTCTTACTGTCCCCTAAAATTCTTTTCTTCCAATGAGTAAAACCTAATCCAAAACAAAGAGGCCACAAGCAAAAGCAGCCAGCCACCACAGACCAGTACTCCCTGTAGTTCTCTGCCACTGGCTAAACTCCCATCCTAGAGCACAGGAATGACACCTCCTGAAGCACCCTGCACACACAGGCGGCATGAGAATCCAACAGGGTGAGAAATATTTGCAGGACAAGTCTCACGGGATGTGACCAGGCCCATTGTCACATATCAAGCCCCAGGAGTCCAGGGGCCAATGGCAGGTCTGTGTCTGTGTCTGGTGAGTACCAGGGTCTGGACTTTCGAGAGGAACCTGAATCAAGCCATCAGAATGGGAGTCATGCAGACCTAGCAGACCATGGTGAAGCCACAGCTCAGCCAGGCTGAACAAGCGAGGCAGAAGAACAAAGGCTGGGACCCTGGGAAGAGCATGGCAATCAGGGAGAGAATAGAAGACAGGAGGCTGCAGGTCACAGAGACTGAAGTGTGCAGGCAGGCAGGCACGCAGAGTCAGAGAGATCTTCTATCTGCCGGCTTACTCCCTAAACACCCACAACAGCCAGGACTATGTAAGGCCAAAGTCAGGATATTAGAATTCGATTCAGGTGTCCCACGTGGATGGCAGGAACTCAAGTACTTGAACTGTGAACTGGTGCCTTCAGATGCACATTGACAAGAAGCCAGATAGAAAGCAGAGAGAAACTTGACCCTAGCTACTCAGATATGGTGCGCAGGTGTCTCAAGTAAGATCTTAACCACTGCACCAAACACGCACCCCAGTGTTACCAGTCTTACCTTTTAACTGAATTACTTTTCCTGGTAAGTATATACTTTCAGCTAAATACAAGTCAATGGTGATCTGCATAAACATTTCGGAATATATTTTAAATGCTTCACAGGGAAACCCAATATTTACACTTAATCAGATTTTGAGTGTTCAGAGCAAAAATCAGCTGTGCACATATTCATTGAAACGATACAAACCTATTCTCCTACCACTTTTCTCTGCCCAACCTGCTACTCGCCTCAAGAAGTCATTAAAACTTATAGTGTTGTGAAAATGAGAACCCATATAATGCAAGATCCTTCAAGGAACCCAGCAGTAGGGGCCACTTCCTTACCCATTAAACAAGTTCTATTAAATAACACAAAGGTCAGTTGCAAAACAAAATTTAATTTTGTCACTACATATATCACAGCATAAAGTTTCAGGAAAAAGTAACATCAGATTTTAGTAAAATTACTTCCTAGTAAAATTTCAAAAATAAAAAACATCACAGTCTATTTCTCCTCTAATCTCCAACATTCCTACAGAAAGGAGACAGGAATCATGTGAAAATGGAAACTTAAATGCTGATCTTTCCTTGGTAACTACAAAAACCAGTTATCATTATACAGAAGAAAATTCATTTTCAAAAAACCAAGGAGCTGAAATTATAGTGTGGAAAAAAAAAACTCTCAAAAAGATATGCACTAGTATGAACTACTGAGGAAGTAACTCGATACTGTCAAAAGATCCCTTCCCTCCCTGGCCAGACAAGTCACCTGTGGAGCACGCAGGTCCTTTCCCATCAGCCACACTTAGGACAACAGCACAGTCCAGGCAGGGTTGGGGGGCATGAGTGTGGGCTTCAAGAGCAAAGACTAAGTGCTGCCTTGCCCCATCAGGGCCCATTCTAATACTGGGGACAGAAAGGACCATTCTGACAGACCCCAATTTTTGAGCCAGTGTTCACCAAGCCCCTTAGGTTATGAATAGAGATTCTCAATTTCTGTATTCACACTGCTTTTATACTTTTGGGTGGCTTCCACAGGATGACCAGCATGACACTGAAGACTCACAGGGATGGAGTTAGGAGTTAGAGGAAGGCACTTACTTTGCATCAGCAGCCTGAGAATGTCACTGTAGTGGTCAGGGAACTGGTACAGCAGGAGGTAGGTCCAGTGCTTACAGAAAAGATTGAATGGCATCAAAATGTCTTCTTCTGGTTCAAGGCCCCAGGCAGTTAGTGCCAAATGAATGGCCTCCAGTAGCCTGGTACGATCAGACAGAGGAGGTTTCGTGGTGTTTAACCATTGCTTCAGATCAAACTAAAAGGAAAAGAAACAAGAAGCAGTTTTACTCACACTAGAACACTCAAGCAGAGAGAGCACCACGTAGACTTGCCTAACATTTGCAAATTTACACAAACTACATTCACATGCAACTACATAAAATGTCACAAAGGAAGTCAAGAGTCTATCAGTTCCCTATCTCAGCTCACAAAAATTCAGATTGTTAAATCCCAAACTATAAAACACATTCCCCTCCATTACAGACCAAAATCAGCCTCTAGTCCCTAAAATAAATGCCAAGATTGTACTACTTCATAAATGTCGGAACAATGTAATTGATGGCAAAATAGCTATTAGCTCTGGAATTGTCATCAAGTTAAATAAATTCACTGCTCTGGTCTAACAGTTAATATTCTATTAAAAGTAAGGACAAGGTAAATTGCTTAGTGCTCAGATCTGGCTAAATCCAAACATGACAGACTCTAAAATAACTCACTTATCAAACACAAGCTTAATAAGTTCAGAATAAATTTTTAAATGGACTGTACTGAACTACTATTTTTTTTTTCACATCTCTGCAGTTTTGAAAGATAGCTTGGGCACAAGGCTGTTTTCATACTGTGTGGATAAGAGTAACACCATCTCACCTGACAGAGCAAATACCCCAGCCCCACAAAGGAATAAAGCACATCTAAAGAGCAGGCCAAATGCATAACAGGAGACTCAGTGGATGGGCTCTCCTTTTCCATGGGATGGGAAATGCACATCATTTCTCCACTTCAATAACATCAGCACTGAATTGCATCTCACCTTGGTTAGCAGCATGAAAATCACATCACTGTTGTCCTCACTTAGGAACCGCACCACCTTCTCATAGAGCTGTATAAACTCGGCAGGTGCAGCATTGGGAGTGAAGAACGGGGACAAGAGGGAGCAGAGCCTTCTGTTCTTCAGAATGGTCTCAAGTACTTTCCTGCACTCTGATTTAGTGCCACTGATAAACACCTGGAAAAGTAGAGATAGTCATAAAATTCTCTCCCTTCCTCAATATTTATGTATGCCAAGTTTTAAGTAAATTAGGTGAACAGAACTTTTTCAGAACAGAACTTTTTCTGAACAGAAGTGTGAAAATTGTCAAAAGATACTTCAGCCATCACTTCTAATGGAGGCAATGTTACAAAGTATGGATAATCACTCCCCTGCTAGGCTGCAGATCCTACTGCCAAGCACGAGAGCCAGGGCTGGTGGCAGACCCAGGCTAGACAAGGCAACAGCATCGTTGGCACTTGTATGGGCCTTGTCTGTACACAGGGTTGGGCCAAGCTAAGCTGCAGCACACACAGGTGTGCACAAGAGCCAGATGGAATGTGCGATGGGCTAGACTATCACAGCATATGACACAACACACAAAAACTGGAGTTGGGGTTGGGCCTAGTAAGGGTTTGGGGGATTGTTCCAGCTGAGCCAAGGTACCAGCTGGAATGCATAAGGACTGCACCTGTGTAACCGGACCTGGGCTAGGTAGCAGCACCTATTAGTTTACATGACACATGGGGTTGGGGGTAAAACTGACAAGGCAGCTGCTCCAACCAGTATGTGCATTGGCTAGTCAAGTGACAAACTGAACCTGACCCTACACTGGCACACATTAGAGTCAAGTCTGAGGTACCCCCAGGCAAAGTTTCTTGGGGAACTCCCCAACTAGACACCTGGATTCAAATCCCAGCTACAGGGGAAAAAAATCAAGATATGTGGTCCAGCATTGGAGTGCACATATTAGGACTGGACCTCCTCTGCTGCTGATGCCTGTGCAGTGGGCAGCATGCCCTGATGCACACAGGGGACATAACAGCCAGCATATCTAGGTCAGCAGAAAACACTGACTGCTATGTCAAAGAAGGGAAAGCATAACTGGTTGGACTACTCTCCTGGATAAACTTTGCAGCAAGTGTCTGGGGCTGTGGATGCACTAAGGTGGACTTGGTCAGCCAAAAGACTTTGGAAAGATTTCTTCAACCCTGGCGCAATGAAACCAGTAACACCTCAGAACTATCAAAACCACTCAAGTAACACCCTCAGAACATTCTTCCCCACATCAGCGTCTCTGAAGCATCATCAAATGACTACCCCCCCATCCCCGGGTGCTAATGTAGTTTGACAACAAGGAGCTATTCCTTCCTCTTAAGCCCTGTGAACACAGGAGAAAAAAAACTGAAACGTTTGTCCCCAAAACCTTCCTCCATAGCTCAACCCTCTCCAACTTGGAGTCCCATATGGGCATGCATTCTTCTCAGCTATGTAAACAATATTAAAAGTTAAATAGGGGCCAGTGCAATGGCTCAGTGGCTAAATCCTCGCCTTGCACACTCAGGATACTATATGAGCACTGGTCCATGTCCTGGCTGTGTCACTTCCCATCTAGCTCCCTGTTTATGTCCTGGGAGAGCAGCGGGAGTGGGGGGTGGGGTGGGTAGGCCAAAGCCTTGGGACCCTGCACATGCATGGAGACCCAGAAGAAGCTCCTGGCTTTGGGTCAGCTTGACTCCAGCCACTGCATCCACTTGGGGAGTGGATGACAGATTTTTCTATTGGTCTCTCCTTTCTGTGAATCTGCCTTTCTAATTAAAATAATCTTTTAAAATAATAATAAAAAATAAAAATAACATGAATTTTTAAAAAGTATGGATAATCAATTAATCTGATTTGGACAAGCCACATGCAGAAAACTCAAGTTAACTATACTATCCAACATTTATAGGATTACTGGAGAGGAGCCAGCTTATGGTATTGCAGATTAAGCTGTTACTTCTGATCCCAGCATCTCAGATTGCACACCAGTTCCAGTCCTTGCTGATTTGCTTCAGATCCAGCTCCATGTTAAAGTGCCTGGGAAAACAGCAGGTGACAGCCCAAGGATTTGGGTCCTTACTATCCCAGTGGGCGATTCAGACTGGGCTTCCAGCTCCTTGTTTCTGCCTGGCCAGTCCTGCCTGCTGTGGCCATGTGAAGAATGAGCCAGCACTTAAAGATCCTTCTCTGTGTCTCTTCTCCTCTGTCACTCTGCCTTTCAAACATACACATACTACATAAGTATGTAAACTTTTTTAAAAAGTTTTTTAAAGTAACAGGGTAATTTACAACATGACTACCATGATTACTACACCGATTCTGCATGAAGTTAAGAAAATAAAACCTTTAGGTTACAGATTTATTATAATGTGCCTGTAATATCTAAAAATAACAATTACTGCAAATGCTGATCAAGACACAGAGAATAATAAGCATCTCTGGGCCAACAGACATAACTGCAAAATTCCTAGGAGGGGAGTGTGACAATACATAGAAGCAGCAGTCGTACACATTCCAAATATATGCTATTTATACATCAAATCCCTCTGACACGGCAATCATACTTCTTGGAAATCATCCTAAAGAAAATAGCTCAAAAAACTTCACAAACCTACACAAGAACAGTTGTCTCAGCCTTATAACTACCCATCAAAACACTGTATCCAGAGAACCCTGGATTGGTACACTACAACACATCTGTATCACAGGATATTCTATGTAGACATTCAATTTCATGGTGTAGGACTGTTTTTGGTAAAAGACGTGATGTCTAGGGCCTGGCGCAGTAGCACAGTGCTAAAGTCCTCGTGCCTTGCATGCACAGGGATCCCATATGGGTGCTGGTTCTAATCCTAGCAGCCCCGCTTCCCATCCAGCTCACTGCTTGTGGCCTAGCAAAACAGTCGAGGATGGCCCAAAACCTTGGGACCCTGCATTCGTGTAGGAGACCCAGAAGAAGCTCCTGGCTTCAGATCAGCACAGTTCCGACCGTTGCAGTCACTCGGGGAGTGAATCAATGGACAGAAGATCTTCCTTTCTGTCTTTCCTCCTCTCTGTGTATCTGCCTTTCCAATAAAAATTAAAAAAAAAAAAAAAAAAAGAAGTGATGTCTAAAAGATGATTTAAATGAAAAAGGAAGTTACAAAAATGGTATGTGACCACTTTTAAGTGTATCTACATTTATTCGGATACTTACACATATACCTAGTCAGATGTGTACATATAGACATAAATGAGAAATTATATCTATCATATAGACTAGAGAAATGATACATATCATCTATGTAAGAATGATATATTATGTTAACATATACACTCAAGACCAGCTATAATTAAAAAAAAATTGCCTATGTAATTAGCATCCCCAGTTAAGGATTAAGAGAAAATTTTATTTTAACTTTCTATACTATCTATACTGCTTATGAAAGGTATATGTTAATTTTCATGATGGGGAAAAATTTAGGGAAAAAATCTATTAAAAGACTGTCTGGGTATCAATTTTTCCTAAGTAGTCAAGAAATAAGCACTTGTTCAGTTAAACCTTGACATATTTTTCAAACAAGTGTCTTTCTTTTTTTTATGATACAGCGCATAAATATGCATGGGTACTTTGTCCTTGCCCTTGTTATACATATATACAGCTAAGTGTCAGCCAAGTAGGCAAATGAATGTTGAAAAGTGGCAACAGGGAAGCAGCCATGATAAGGCGAATGAGCTCTGAGTGTGGTCAGGAGATGAGATCCCATTTCAGCTCCACCATTCCCAAGCTCTACTCCTTGAACTTGTCACTTAACCTTTCATAGCCACACTGAGAATGAGATAAAATAATGAACTGGAAAATATTTTATAAATGATAACAAACTTCAGCACAGCACTAACAATGTATGATAGAATCAGGCACCTCCTCAGATCTTCAATATGAACACTCTCTAATCTGAGAAGGGAAGATCTATGCCAACATCTTAAAAAGGCACCAATTCCCAAGGACACTGACTTACATAAACCACAGAACTTAAGTCTGAAGTCAGTGCTGACAATATTTAACGGAAACCCTGTGGGGCCTCGTCGTATCTGAACAAGGCCGAGAACACAGAATAAGCTTACCTGCCCCAGGATGTCGATGCATGAAGTGAAGAACTGCCTCGTGGGAGGATGACGCTGTGTCTCCTCACTGACATAATCCACAACCATGAAGAAAAGGCTAATGCCGACCTGCTGAACCCCAAGTGTGGGCTGCAGCTTGTAGGCATTCACCAAGGCCCTGTGGGAAAACGCGGGTGTGACCGTGAGTCCATCCTCACAAGCGTGTAACATTTTCATGTCCCAGATAGCATCCCTAAGGGACCTCCCTCAACAGCCCTAAGAAACTGTCACTTCAGACATGTTTCCAGAGGCAGGCATGTATCTTCCAACTCTTAACTACCGCCAATACACAGCAATCAATGTATGCATCATTATTAAAAACAAGAAACTTATAAAAGGACTAATAACATTTTTACTTTTTAAATTTTTACTAAAATTTTCCACATTTTTCTTTAGCATTTTATATTCTTTATATGATACATAAATTTCGACATGAGAACCTTGGAGCTAGCATAAAGTCTCTGCATACAATACCAACAGCCCACATGGGCAACGGTTCAGGTCCCAGCTGCTCCACTTCCAACTCAGCTGCTAGAGGCCTGGGCAAAGCAGCTAGCGTGGCCCCAGCACTTAGGCTCTTGGCAATCTCGGGGGAGACCTGGTTCCTGGCTCCTTTTTCGGCCTGGTCCAACCCTGGTCGGTGCAGCCTTCTGGAGAATGAATGAGCAGATACAAGACCTTGATCCCACCCTCCATCTCTCTCACTGTAACTAATTATTAAAATTTTCAAACAAATAAATCTTTTTTTTATTTTTTTTTAAAGATTTATTTTTATTATTTTGTTATTGGAAAGGCGGATGTACAGAGAGGAGAGACAGAGAGGAAGATCTTCCGTCCCATGATTCACTCCCCAAGTGAGCGCAACGGGTTGATACTATGCCAATCCGAAGCCAGGAGCCTCTTCCGGGTCTCCCACGTGGGTGCAGGTTCCCAAAGCTTTGGGCCGTCCTCGACTGCCTTCCCAGGCCACAGGCAGGGAGCTGGATGGGAAGCGGGGCTGCCGGGATTAGAACCAGCACCCATATGGGATCCCGGGCGTGCAAGGCGAGGACCTTTAACCACTTGCGCCACCGTGCCGGGCCCACAAATAAATCTTTAAAAAAAAATTTTAAAGCAAGAGCCCTGGTTTCTTTAAATATCAAAATTTGAAACACTGACCAAGATTGAAGAAAAATATTTTTCATTTATTTTATTTTTATTTGAAAGGAAAAGTTAGAAAGAGAAGGACAGACAGACAGAGGCCTTTCACACCCTGGTTCAGTCTTCCAAAATAGTTGCAGTGGCCAGAGCTGAGTCAATATGAAGTCAGGAACCAGGAGCCTTCTCCAGGTCTCCTACACAGCTGCAGGAGTCCCAAGGCCTGGGGCCATCCTTCACTGCTTTCCCAGGCAAGCTGGATCAGAAGTGAAGCAGCCAGAATGAGAACAGGTGCCCACATGGAATGCCAGCAGTGTAGGCAAAGGCTTAGCCTACTATGCAATGGCACTGGCCCTGAGTACCATGCTAGAATAAAAATAACCAAAATTCTTAACACACTTCTAGTTCCTTTTCCAGTGAAATAAACTTCAACCTCTTGCTCAATCAAGAGCAAACTCAGAACCCAACCCCTTAAAGAAGTCAATGTCCCTACCAAACACCCTCTGTAACCAAATGTAGAGTCACCCAAAGAAGAAGGCAGAGAACCGGCCTCTCTGATCCCAAGCCACACTCTAGGATTATGGACACATGGCTGGTGTGATTAGGCCAGGCGCTCTGGCAGGAAACCCTAACAGTCAACAGCAGGTTCCCAACCACCCTTGGCAGCCCTGGCTCCCCAAAGCAATTATATGATGAACTCTGTTCAGTAATCAAACTGATAATGCTAACTTCCCAGGTAAATAGGCTTTGATACAAAACAGAAAATCTGACTGTATTTCAACATACTGAATCAACTCATAACTCAGAAAGCCAACACTTTCTATAAGAATTCTATGTTTGGTGGCCATAAAATCTCTGCCATCACAGTCAACTCTGTCATGAAAGCATAAAACACTTAGACATTATAAATAAATGTGAATGAATGCATATTCCAATAAAGCTTTATTTATTAAAAAAAAATGAAGAGCAAACCAGGTTTGGCTGAAAGACCACAGCATGCTGATCTTGGCACTAATTTAATTAGCACATGCCCAAGAGAGAAGTCGCACTTATGACCAGTATTCAGAACAAAAATTATATTTTAAATGACAGCATCAAAACTTACGTGATGAGGTTCTCTGCATGCACAGCAGCTTCGACCACATTAAGTGATGGCGGCTTTGATGCTTCTGCTTGCAACTGCTTCACTTCTTTTCGCAAAACCTGGAGCTGCTGGCTAACTGCTTCATTCTTACACATGCCTTCAAACTAACAAAGATTAAAAAAATCAATGGACTTCCCCACTCCATCTACTTCTAGAACAAGTTTTTTGCCACACATATGCTGAGTATGTGGCAAAGACAAGCAGTATTACAATCAGTTTTGTACTTTAACACAAAACCATTGGCTGAAGCTGGAAATGATGGGAAATATCTTGTCAAGACAACACTCAAAAACTACCAAGCTTTCACAAAGAATCAAACTTAAATAAGAGCATTTTTTAAAAACTTTACGTCCAAATAAACTGATAAGATCTGGAATTAATTTATCAATGGTTCAAAGTCTTTTGCAGGATAATTCCTCTTCCACTTTATGTTTCGACTCCTCAAATATTCATTAAACAGACACAGTGCCTCACGCCACGGATGCTTTTCTTAAAGCACATCAAGTGCATAGCCTTCATCGACCACCATCCCACACAATTTTCCTCATCCCAGTAGATAAGTGCACACACACACACACACACACACACACACACACACACACACACACGGTCTTCTAGTAGAAACACTTGGGCCACATATGTGCCTGACTCAACAAAAAGGAAAACAGAGGCTGTTAACAAACAACAAAATAACAAGGAAAGTGCTCAAAGTCACCTGCATGCCCAGAAAAAGGCAACTGACTAACTCAGTGACTACTGAAGATTAGTCTTTCATGAAATTTTTAATGGTTCTTAGAAAAGATATGAAAATGAAGAGAAGTTATTGTGCTATAAAACACACACACACACACACACACACACACACAACCCCAGGGCCCAATGTCCTTGCCTTACAGGCACCAATGGACACTTGTCTGTGTCCTGGCTGCTCCACTTCCTATCCAGATCCCTGCTTGTGGCCTGGGAAAGCACATGAGAATGGCACAAAGCCTTGGGAACCTGTACCCATGTGGGAGACCTGGAAGAAGTTCCTGGCTCCTGGCTTCAGGTGAGCTCAGTTCTGTCCATTGCAGGAACTTGGGGAGTGAACTGGTAGGTGGAAAATCTTTCTATCTCTCTCCTCTGTAAGTCTGACTTTCCAATAAAAAAATAATAATAAAATCTTTCAAACAAACAAATAAACAAACAAAAACATCTAAATTTAAAATCTGACTTCTTTTTCAGATGGTATCTTTCCCACTGGAGAAGTTGTCATCATACCCTTAACTGGCAACCACTTACATACTGACCAGTTTTGTTTATGTTCATTTAATGTCCTTTTCCAAATGTGGACAGAGGCAAAGGAAAGAAGAGGACACTTAAAGCCCAAGTTACCACACAACAAACACCATGACAACTGTGGAGGACAGAGACAGAAAGGAGGCCATCTGAACAGGAAATGCTGGGACAAGACTAAAGCTACTTTTTTTTGAAAGCTGAACTCTAAACCAACTACCCAGGATGGTAGACATTAAACAAAGGCAATTCATTTAGGAAAGTTTGGATATGTTTACCAAAAGCAAAAAATCCTTAAATTATTGTCACTTTCTAGTTTTCTTATTTTTGACCACTGTCCCCACGGCTGTTCAGTTTTCTTTCTACTGGAACAGAGATGAGAGAAACTGAATGACTCACCTCATAAAGACAAGAACACCACCATATGGAGAAAACTCCTCCATTTGAATCATTTTAAGCAGACAAAGAAATTAAATAAGTGACCTTCAGCAAGGCTTACAGTAATAAGAGGCCAGCTGTTATTTCTAGAAATGAACAAATATTTCACATCACAGTAAATCCTATGACTAACAAGCATGCTGAAGTACAATAAAGGGAACCCAACTGTAAATCACCCCATTTCCTCAGGGGATATCACCGAATTTTTAAAGGCTTTTATTAGGATGGGAGAGTACAGAATAGGAATTTTTCCCTTCTCATAAAATATATTTGGCTTTTGTGTGTCTCAAACAAACCATACACAGTTCAAACAAGTTGCCGACAGCTGGAAATTTCCAGGACTTTCCTTCTCAGGAAATCCTTATAAATGAGCCATTTAAAATTATATTTAAAATAAAAAACTATGTTTCATGAAGCTCATTTTAAAATGTGAATCCCATACAGAATATTTGGTTAGAATCATACATTCTGTAACCACTGACAAGAAGGTAATACCATCTCAAAGACGTAGATATGGAATGCATGCTCAATTAAATAAGCCTTGACTGTCACGATCAGAATCACTTCAGAAAGAGGAGGTCAAGCAGCTAAAGAAAAATGGTCCATTAATATTGAATGGGAAGAGTGTGGGCTTGAATCTGGATGGACGCAGGTTCGAACCATGACTGAGTTACTTGGCAAGTCTCTTTGCATCTCTGGATCTGTTTCTCTAAATACAACCTCACTGCAGAAGACCTAATATAATGTAAGTAAAGTACCTGACATGTGAAAGCAAGTGAGAAAGTGCTTGAAAATGGGCTGGGAGAGAAAGTGAATTACTGCAACAATCCAACAAATTAACCTGTACTGATTCCCAAGACCACATGCATAGTAAACACATGCTAAGACTGCTCATTTCGAGCAGGAAAGTTACAACATGCATGTCTTTCACAAAACACATCAACAACATTCCTATAATTTGTGAAGGATATAAATCTAGTTGCTCATTCCTTCAAAATCCTATTTCTATGGCAATGATCACTCAAGGCATTCATAACATAAATCAGAATTAAAGTCCTTGAACTCATAACTCAAAATCCAGCAACAACCACAGAACACTGCAATCATAACACTAGCTGTAACAATTATTGGTATCTTCCATGCACTCACTCGAGAATATCCACTACACACTAGAAGCCATGCTAGCAGGTACAGGTATTCAAGAATAGAAGCTGTATTCTCAAAGTTCAGTCTGGTGGTGGGTAAGGGACAGGCAGAAGCAAGTACTCGTCAGGATATTATCAATTAGCAATTTATTATTTAACTTCTCTGAGAAATGTTATTTAAGTCTCAGACTATAAAAGCAGCCCACTGCCTTCATACATCCAATTCTGTTGTCACTGTATTATCAGAACAACTCTGCTTCAGTAGACATTATTACTGAGCCTGAACTCCAGGGCCATTAGTGGGGTTCTCAAGGCTCTGGGTCTTCCAAATAGAACTGACAGTCAAGGAATTTGGCAAATGAGCAGAAAACCTTCCAGCAGAAAACTAAAACATGCCATAAGGGGCAGGTGCCATTAAGCCTAGCAGTTGAACATGCCCACTTCCCACAGTGGTGTGCCTGGGTTCTACTCTTGGCTCCAGGCCCCTATCAATGCAGATCCTGGAACATAGCAGTGATGGATCAGGAACCAGGGATCCTGGGGCCAGCACCACAGAGCAGTGCACATAAGAAGGGTCTGCCCAGGCACTGGCATCCCCTAAGAGCACCAGTTCATGTCCCTGCTGCTCCACTTCTGATCCAGCTCCCTAGAAATGTGCCTGGGAAGGCAACAGAAAATGGCCCAAGGCCTGGGGCCTCTGCACTGTGCTCCCACATGGGAGATCCCAGAAAGAAGAAAACTATATTGAAAGTATATTGTAGGCCCAGCACAGTAGCCTAGTGGCTAAAATTCTCACCTTGTAGGCGTCGGGATCCCATATGCCGATTTCAAACCCTAGCAGCCCTGCTTTCCATCCAGCTCCCTGTTGGTGGCCTGGGAAAGCAGTCAACGATGGCTCCCAGCCTTGGGTCCCTGCACTCATGTGGGAGACCTGGAAGAGGCTCCGGGCTCCTGGCTTCAGATCAGCACAGCTCTGGCCATTGCGGCCACTTGGGAATTGAATCAACGGATGAAAGATTTTCCTCTCTGTCTCTCTCTTTCTCTGTATGTCTGACTTTCTAGTAAAACTCACTAAACCTTACCAAAAAAGCATATTGCAAAAGGTGTACCATTATATTATAGAATGAACAAAGCTAAAGAGTATAAACAAGACCTCAGCTTAAGGGTCCAAACATCTAACGCTGTCCCTGCCAGCTGAGAGTTAGCCCCCTGGCCTGTCCGGTGGTACTTTCCACTTGCAGGACCCTGAGAGTTAACAGAAGGCCAGGCCAATAGGCCTTTATTTGATTGTGACAGCAAACATTTACAACTCTCTACAGAGCAATTAGAATCAGAATTAGGAAAATATTTTTCTGTATTTCTCTCATTGTCATTTACAAAAATGTACTTTCACAGAATTCCATTCTCTACAAATAACTAATAGCCTGGTAATAACACACAATTCCAAGATACGGAAAATTACCACATTTGCAAAAACAGGTTATATTTTAATACATCCTCTTTTTACTGCAATGGGAGACAAGTTCAGTATTTTTCTCTCCAACTCAAACTCCACCCTAAATTGGTAAGCTTGTCTTCTAGCATTTACATGTTAGCAACTGATTCTTAAAGCACTTGTAATTAGATCTTGCTACAGCATTAGAAATGAGGGAAACATACCCCAAGAGAAAGCACCAAGCCAATGATAACTTGTTTACAATAAAATGTAAAGTTGAGCTTATTTGGACTTATCGGACAAATTTCTTCACTTTAAATACATACAACAAAATGCAGTAAGTATGAAAGATTATTTCCGAGAAAACATTTGAGAGGTAACAGTCTCCTAAGGAAACTAATGATGAAGAATACACCAGAATAGTTAAAAGGTGAATTGCAGGGAGAAAAAAGTACTGATAGTGTGTAGACAATCAAGGATGGGCAAAAATAAATTTCTAAAAACGAATTTCTAAAACTTCTAAAAACAAGAGGCTTTTTTTGGTTAGTTTCGTTTCGTTTGTTTTGTTTTTGTTTTTTGTGTGCAAATATAGGTAGTGACTATATTCTAGATTTCTGTCCCAGCGAGGGGGACAGAAAGAATAAAGTGCTCTGTTATGCTTTCCACCCAGAAAGTACAGACAGTAACAACCACCTCATATGTTTGCTGTAAGGATAAAATAAGGAACTTCTTAGACAAGGTCTGGCATGAAGTTCAGTGCCATTAATCAGGTTGCTCGTACCACCTCTCCCTGAAGGTAAGTTCCCCCTTGATCCGTCCCCCAAACATGCCTCCCATTTCAGTCTTGGGGAATCTGTTGTCTGTAGTATACAGCCAGTGGTCACTCACACCACATTTCCCAATGTGAATTCCCACCACCAATCCTTAAAGAGTTGAAATACACAATCTAGCCACTGACACTGTGGCTACTCCATTCCTTCTAATGAAATCCAAAACCCAGACGAAGATCAAAAACTTCTGACGATCAGTTTAGGCTTCTCTGTCTAAAAGTCTTCAATGAATCTGCTTTCCATTGAAGTTCTATTTGAATATCTCTCTTGTAGGATTTAACTAGTGCTTATGGAAATGTGTGATCAGATTTGCATGGGTTTCATTCTATATGCACTTTTTTTTTTCTAATTGGGACACAGATCACACATTATGCTTCTTAAAAGATTTTTCTTAAGGACATGTCAATAACAAGGACTCAATTAAAATTATCCAAGTTATGGAGAAATCTACACAATCTTACTTGAACTGTTACAACTGCTGCTCCTTGGCATTTCTTGCCACTGCTGCCTCTGCACTCCAAATGGAGGGTGATCTGCTCTTCTCGATTAACATATTGCTTGGGCATTGTGTCTAAAAGTTCACCATCCAGGGCAACCTGCTGAGATTCTCGAAGAGCTGCAGTTCTGAAAAATACCATCAGGAATTAAAAAGAAAATCTTTGAAAAGGTTATACACAGTAATAAAAAGTTTTTAGCTACTGCTAGCCAGCATTACAGCACAGCAAGATCCAAGCATTCGACAGTAACAAAAGACAAAAGATGTATTTGCCAAGACTGAATCAAACCCTCTCCCTGTCAGATAGGCTAATCATTAAGTTGAAAATGAAGAAAGGAGCATAACTTTTCAGTCATTCAAAGAGTGACTTCTCTACATACATTCCTTTTCATAAAATGGCAAACTAGAATCAAAACTTTTAACAGCTGATCATTCTATATCCAACATGTGACCTAAAAACACTAAATTTTTCCACACTTTCCACATAGTGCCCATGTCTTTTTTTTTTTATGGAGAATTAGATGGCAATATTCCTCTCTCTCTCTCTTTTCCCCCTATAAACACACACAAACCTCAGTTTATACATCCTTCCCACATCATCTTTCTAGTATCAAAAGAAGTGAAAAGAAAATCTTACTGGCACTCTAACATTCAAATGCCACCACAGAAAACACCTAAGACCAGTAGTACACGAAAGTGCTACCCTAATTTTAATACAAAGGTAAAGGACTTGTCACAACCCAATCAAGTGAACCACACTACCTGGTCCAGTCTAGTCCAACTTAACTATACAGTGAGAATCCTGGCAGGCAAGCCATTCCAGAAACTACATCATTCAGGCTACCAAGGCACCAACACAGGAACACTATGCTTGATGAGAAGGGTCTTACCTGGCCTGCTGCTGCAGGACGTTCAGATCTGTGTACACCAGCTGTGTGGCTTCTTTCTGACTCAGCAGCACAGCTGGAGAAATCACCGGCACAGGAGGCCTCACTGAAGGCAGGACGAGGGGAGGATGCGGATCCTCGTGCTTCCGCAAGTTACTCAAAATCCTCTCTTTGGCTAAAAGAAAATGAAGTCACATTTATGAATTACAGGTTCTACTGGGCAGTAACACACTAAATTAGGACAAAGCTCTGGCCTCTAAGCTTCATAAGGAATGCCAGAGATCTCCAAAAAAATTTTTTAGCCCAAATAAATAAAACCATTTTTTTTTTCTTATTGCTGTTACCTGAACATTTCAGGAAGCATTCACAGGCATAAAAATGTTCTATACTAGGAGCTGGGAGCTCAGGAACCTGTGATATAATTCAACAGAACCCCCATCCTCAAAAACCAGTCAAGCAGGAGAGAGCCAAGACTCCTGATCTTAAATTACCAACAGCCTTGCACATGTGCTATGAAGTTTGGATCAGACACTACTGTAAAGGGGATCTAGCAAACAGCTTCTGTCTTAATCAGCTTGAGACAAAAAAGAATCCACCAGATGGACAATGGGCTGGACAAAAGAGGTAGATTTGGGGTGGTCCAGGTGAGAATTCATGCCACCGTCCATAGTAACTGCATAGGAACAGGAAGAGAAAAACCAATAGACATTAAAAATACAGATAAGTCTGAAAAATTCTGAAATTAGCTCAAGTTTTGAATAGGAAGTATTTATAGAGTCCAAGTAAGTGACATGTGCCACAAAAACTTTGTACTAGGTTGCACAATATGCTAATTCAGCAAATGTAAAATTTGGTATCTCTTTAACTACATATTATAGAGCACAATAGGCATCCAATAAATTCCTATCTCCCTACCCTCTCACTCTATCACACAACAGGTACGGGCTGAAGAACACGACAAAAGACACCATTTGTGAAATGGAATTGAAAAGATATGCATGCTTGCTTTTTCTCTTTTTCTCTGCCTCTCCCTCCCTCCTCCTCTTTGAAAAGGCCAGAGTTATTTAGCAGGGATTAAGGGGAGGGCAGAAAGTCAGAAGGATTTTCCATTTGCTCATTCATTTTCCAAATGACCACAAAAGTCAGGCCTGGGACAGGCTAAAGGCAGGAGCCAAGAACTTCACCCAGGTCTCCCATGTGGATAACAGGGCCCAAACATTCAGACCATGTTCTGAGACTTTCTCAGGCCATTAAGGTGAGCTGGATCAGAAGTGGAGCAGTTGAGACTTGAACCGGCCCCACACGGGATGCTGGCACTGCAGACAGATACTTAGCCTGTGGACCACAGCACCTACCTCATACACACAGAATTTCCATAAACTCTTTGAGGCATAACTCTACAATTTTATGACCCATATTTTTTAAAGATTTAGTAATTAAGAACAATGTGTACTCAAATATTGTTTTTCATTTTGTTGTGAAATATGTCAATCATTTTCTAGATGGAGTTTCTGGCTCTTGGTCTCAGCCTGGCCCAGCCCAGGCTATTACAGCCAACTGGGAAATGAACCAGTGGTCAAAAAATCTTTTCCCTCTCTATCTGTCTCTCTCTCTCTCATACACTACCTTTCAAAAAAAGTATCTTAAAGAAAAAAAAAAAAACAAAAAACCCTCTGGAATATCCATTTGAGTTTCAGATACAACAAAAGAGCTTACAAAAGAAAAAGACTTCTGAATGCTAAAACTGAAAACCCCCAAAATAATTACACTGAAACTTCTTGCAGTTTTTTATGTGGATTTAAATGTGTTTTTAGAGCTTCACAGGAAAAAAGGAAACACCAACACAAGTGGTCATGTTCCAGCTCCTTTTCCACCAGGGACAGCTACTTGTGCCCTGAGGATGGCCCATGAGGAATGACTAGAATGTCTGTCCTGGCAGGTGTCCTCTGGCTGTCGAAGGTGAAAGTCAATGTGATGGCTCAAGCCCACACGGCCATGGTGAGCATTTGGTGACACCTTTCTGAGAAGTCAGAAGTGGCAGTAGTCCTCGACAGTTTCTAGGCCTCAGGAAATATTCTCTTCCAAACTTCTTCTATTTGAAAGAAAATGAATATCTTGTTTAAACCATTACTGTCTTGGAGTTTTTTCTCACTTGAATCTTAACCTAGTGCCTTGGCAGACAGAGTAATATGGAGCTCTTAAAGCAATTTGCACAGGCAAGACAAGGTGTAGAAATTTTAACCCTCAGTGGATTAATCCACTCATTCATTCATCCACACATTGAGAGGAAGAGAGGATCACAAAACTCACCTAGCAGAGGGTCAGTGAAGTCCAGCTGAACTGACACACTACAGGACGGGCAATGGGACTCCAGCTTGACCTGCATCCACAAACCAACCACCTCCTGGAACTCGTGGCGTATACGCTCCATGTTCAAGTACTCTGTCCACAGTTCCTGGAATGGAACCACAGAATTTCAACTCTGACAGGCGGGTCACAGTCACATAGAAAAGGATATATTCAACTATACAGTAAGTAAACTTCAGCAGGAAGTGGCCCCCTACAAGATCTTCAGTATTAGATGAACTACATCTAAAATGGCTACACTAACAATCTTAGTATGATTCAGAAAATTTTCTGTATACCAAGATTAGAAAAAGTTTAAGTGGAAACTGTATGTATGTTCATAAATTATATACATACACTACTAAGCTTATAATTACATGCACTATAAGATTTGGATAACAGCCAAAACAACTGAAAGAGATAAATAAATAAAGAAATAAAACCTGGGGCCCGGCGCGGTGGCGCAAGTGGTTAAAGGTCCTCGCCTCGCACGCCCGGGATCCCATATGGGCGCCGGTTCTAATCCCGGCAGCCCCACTTCCCTTCCAGCTCCCTGCCTGTGGCCTGGGAAAGCAGTCGAGGACGGCCCAAAGCTTTGGGACCCTGCACCCGCGTGGGAGACCCGGAAGAGGCTCCTGGCTTTGGATCGGCATAGTATCGGCCCGTTGCGCTCACTTGGGGAGTGAATCATCGGATGGAAGATCTTCCTCTCTGTCTCTCCTCTCTGTATATCTGCCTTTCCAATGAAAAAATAATAAAAATAAATCTAAAAAAAAAAAAATAAATAAAACCTGGATTAGATAAAACCTCTAAATCCAAACAATAATTCGCAGAAAATAATGGGAACAGAAAAACATGTTAAACTATCCCACAAACACACAGCTAGTAAAATACAATCTATGCAAAAAGTTTACAAACTATCCAGTTTCCTCAATAAATAAGTTATCAGGGAAGAGAAAGTAATGATATGGATCCCTATTAAAACAAACTATAAAGACATTTAAAAAGCAAGACTTTTGTCCATTTGTGCGGCAACCAGAAGTCTAAAATCTGAAGAGACATTTGATATTAAAGAATGTTTCAGATGTAAATGTCATTATTTTTGCATTTGTAGCTTTCGAATTCTGCAAGAAGTATCCAGTGCTCTTTAGGATTAGCCAGAGCTGCCCAGATCTGAACCCAGGAGCCAGGAGCCTCTTCCAGATCTCCCACATGGGTGCAGGGTCCCAAAGCCTTGGGCCGTCCTCGACTGCTTTCCCAGGCCACAGGCAGTGAGCTGGATGGGAAGCAGGGCTGCCAGATTAGAACTGGCACCCATATGGGATCTCTGCCACTAGGTTACCATGCTAGGCCCTGCTAAACAATCATTCCCAAACTAATGACAAAACAAGGCATTCCCTAGTCAGAGGAGGAGTCCCAGTGTCATCCTAATCACAACTTGACTCCAGCATGCACCTGACTATCTGATGAGCTGGACTAGATTCTCCAGTGCACACCCATCCTCATTAAATGAGGTCACGCAGGACCACCTTTACTGACTATACTAAGTAACCACTGACAAAGGCTAAAGGCTGCATGGAATTCTTAGAGCTAAGTACCACAGTACGTCTTAAAACTATAAACTTCAAAATGATGTAACAACTCAGAACGTACAGATCAAAAATGGGGATTGGGGTGCACTGCCCATAAAAATGGCAAGCAAAGAATGAGAGGAATAGAATGAATTAAACAAGAAAAAATTCTGTAGATGCTGAGGAAACAGGACAAGCTTTAGAGATTAAGAAAATCTAGAAAGCTGCCATTATCTGTTGAAACACTGACCAAGGGCTTACTATGTGCAAAGCTCTGGAAAGGGTCTCTCAGATGTGAAATACACTGTGGAAGAGCTGGGCAGGAAACCGTACTAAGGGGATTCCACAATATTTCACCTTGTGTTTATTCTTCCTAACTCCCTGGCTCTGTATTCTAAGCCTTCTGTCTGTGGTCTTAATTGTTGATAATGCTTCTCGGGTCACATCTCCAGTTCTCTATCTTTGAATTACATAATTCCACCCACCTTTTCTACCTAACCTCACTCCCATATCCCTGTATCCACTCTGCCCAACTCCTTGAGCTCTCCTGGAAGCCTCTCAGACACTCCCTCCTCAGGTGGCCACACCTGTGTAAACAGCACCCCTGGTTGTCCAACTTAGGGACCTTCGTGTATTCAAACAACCACAAAATCCCGCTGACTATTCCTCAACATACTACTAATTCACTTGTTAATTAATCACTATCAAAAGCATTGAGTATGAGATTGTAATTAGCCATAAATGAGCTTCAAGATCATTTAGGGGGGGCCATGTTAGGTTAGAGACTCAAAGGGTAATATTCCTTTAATACAATCACTTATATGGTGACAAATTCCAGAGACAGTGACTACTTCAGTTACCACCCTTTTCTACATCAGCAACTGGTCTAATTGGTTCCTCATTAGGAACATGACAATGCAAGTGACCTTTAGATTTGTTAAAACACACACAGCTATAGTTTCACCTGCTGATTCTGCATCACTTTTGCTAGCCTGTGAGTATCATAGTGCTTTGGCAGAGAAGGGATATAGGTATCTCCTTTTTGGAAGGTCTCATCTTCTAGCCATAATTCATATACATTGAAGAGTCTAAAAGATAAAAAAAAAAAATACACGCAATTATATGCAACATAAAAGATAAGCAGATAAATGAGATTTCTCCTAACTCTGGAAACTGGCAGCTCTATGTAAAAACAAGGAAAACTCTGTAACACAGAATACATGTCCAACCACCCACCAGAGCGCCAAGAAACTCCCAGTTTCTTTCTAAAGCATTAATGCAATGCAGTCATTGCCAAACAGGAGATCAAAGGGGCTGGATGAACTCCATCACAGAGGCAGGGCGAGATGTACACAGAGGGAATACTTGGAAAAGGCGTCTTTAGCACAGACGTAGGGGTTTGCATGCGGAGCTCTGCTATCCTGGACAACTCCGGCCCGGGGGCCTCAGTGCTTAGGAAGGTACAAATAACACTCCCAGTAAACACATTTTCTATCTTCCAGAAAAAGCCTTGAAGGTTTCCTAAACTTACACTCTGGAAACACTTGCCAACTTTAGGTTCTGTGAGCATCTCCTACCTTAAGGAATCACAAATAAAATTCATAGTATGAGTACATTCTGTTCTCATCAGGAAAAAAAACAATAATGTTGTGATTTTCCAGTAAAATTGCTTTTTATAAACATAATGAGGTTTCCTTTATTTTTGGTTTTACGAGAAGCACAGTCTATTCAGCTAAGGTCACTGGTATTTTAAGCAGTTGTTTGCAGCAGCAACAATACTAGAGAACTAACTGCCAGCACAGTTAAATGGTTGAGGAGAGGACAGGGAGGTGGCATGGCTTGGAAAATTCCCTCTCCGCCTGGGGAAGGCTGTCAGGCACCAGGGCTCCGATGGGGCTTCGAGCTCCTTCCAGGGAGGACGATGGCCCAGTTCTCTTCACCAGCTTCTCATTCAGCAAGAATGGGAGCCACTTTATGAACGCACCACAGGAAAGGGAGAAGGGAGACAGAAAACAACCGCAAAGTCTTTCTTGGCTGCCCTAAAATGTCCAAAGACAAAGCCTTCCACTAGTCACAGCAGATTAAACAGGAGCTTTCCTCCAGTCCAACAAGATGAGGACAGAGGGCTTGATGTCAGACGCGCCTGAGGCTTTATGCTGGAAGACAGTTAGGTTTGCTCTCCTAGCCACTTTGCATTTCAGAGTGAATTATTAAGACCAATTATTTTAAGTCTTATTTATAAGAGTAATATTTGGATTGTGTCAAAAATATTAATGAAAGGCACAGGAACTGTATAGAAGAAAATCAGAGTTCCATGTTCCTAACCTTTTGAGGGATGCAAAAACCTCAATTTTATAAGCAGGTTATTATTTCTCACAAAGATTATGGCGCCTGCATTGCAGTACCGCAGGCTAAATGATCACTTGCAACACCAGTATCTCATATCAGAGTGCTGATTCAAGTTCATGCTACTCCACTTTCAATCCAGCTTCCTGCTAATGAAACTGAGAAGGGAAAAAACAACTGCCCAAGTGCTTGGGCCCCTGTCACCAGTGTGGGAGACACAGACGCAGTTCCTGGCTCCTGGCTTCAACGTGACCCAACTTTGGTTGTTGTAGCCATATGGGCCCAGTGCAAAGGTTTAGGTGGCTAAATCCTGGCTTGCATACTCAAGGGTCCTATATGGATGCCAGTTCATGTCCTGGCTGTGTCACTTTCCATCCAGCTCCCTGTTTGTAGACTAGGAAAGCAGAAGAGGATGGTCCAAACCCCAGGGCCCCTGCACCAGCATGGGAGACACAGAAGAAGCCCTTGGTTCATGGCTTCCGATCAGCTCAGCTCTGGCTATCATAGTCACTTGGGGAGCGAACCAGTAGACAAAAGCTCTTTCCCTATATATGTCCTTCTCTGTAAATCTGCCCTTCTAATAAAAATAAATAAATTTTAAAAAATAAATAAGAAAAAGATCTCTCTCTCTTTCCGTTTCTCTCTCTGACATGCTGTCTTTCAAATGAATAAATGTTTAATGAACTAGTCTAGCAGGCTTTTAACATTGTATACCTGCTACAATAAAATTTTCTAGGTTTATTTTTATTTGTACAGAAAAAACTATGAGACCTGAGTTTATCATTGAGACACCTGCCACTAGGCAGAGGCGCCAATTCGCTTTGGCAATTCAAATTGCCAATTCGCTTCTCTTGAGAAACACAAGAGAAATATTTCAAGATGTAACCTTGGCAGCCAGTGTCATGACATAACAGGCTAAACTCTATCTGAGGTACAGGCATCCCATACAGGTGCCTATTCTTGTCCTTGCTACTCCACTTCCAATCCAGCTCCCTGCTCATGGCCTGGGAAAGTGCTTGGGCCCCTGTATCCACATGGAAGACCCACAGGAAGCTCCTGGCTCCTGGCTCCTGGCTTCAGATTGGCCCAGTTCTGGCCTGTTGTGGTCATTTTGGGAGTGACTTAGCAGATGGCAGATCTCTCCATTTCTCTCCTTGTATAACTCTGCCTTTCAAATTAAAATAAAAAAGAAAAACAAAACAACAAACAAACAAAAAGTAGCAGCAAGCCTATACCAAAGCCACCTTCCACAGTCAATCTCACGGGTTTAAGGTTAACAACCACCAGGTGAAACACAGCCAGCCGCTCCAGAGCAACACCTGTACTGCTAACGGTAACCCCAGCGGATCCACTACCTCACTGACCTCACGAGTTCCGTGTGCAGTTCCGGTGATGTGAGGTAAGCAGCGGTGCCAACCTGGCTGGCCGGGAGCCCTTCGCTGCCCTCTGCTGGTACACGGAGGGCCTTGCTCGCTGCATGGTGGAAGTCAGCCACCTCTGTCAGGCGCTTCTTCATTTCTTTCAGCAAATTGATATGAGCAGGGCTTTGAAAGAACCTTCTTCCAATGCATCCATCTATGGGTAACCTTAACGAAGTATAAGCATGGATTATGAACTCACAATGCACATGTGCTTTCTGCACAGCACAGGACAGCAGTTATTGAGTGGGTGGGTATTTGGCATAGCAGTTAAGATATCATTTGACATGCATGTCAGAACAACTGGGTTCAAATCTGGCTCCACTCTCAATTCTAGCTTCCTGCTCTTGTGCACCCTAGCTCAAATATATGAGTCCCTTATACCCACATGAGAGATTCAGAATGAGTTTCCGGCTCCTGGCTTTAGCCAGGCTCTACCCCTGCAAAAAAAAAGTATATATAAAAGTAATTTAAAAACAAAGACAAGCTATATAAACTCAAGATACCATCACTGCTAGAGGCAGAAAATAGATTAAAATGGCATCCGGTCCTGGAAAACATACAAACCTGGTATAAAATGAAAGTGACAAAGAATCAACATCCTCATTTTTCAAAGGAATGGTTAAGGGAATGTGGGTGAGACAGGAATTAAAGTGGAAACTAAAGTAACAGAGCACAGGTCTGGCTGGCCACACACGGCACCTTCTCACCAGTGGAGATGCTGTGCCCTCCTGAGCACAATTCAAAGGCTGCTACACACACTGGCCTTGGCTCACAGCCATGGCACTCTCCACAACAGCCCCTAAGGGTCACACATGGAGCCTCAGACAGGGGCAGAGCCTCAGACAGAGACAGAGCCTCGGACAGGGGCAGAGCCTCAGACGGGGGCAGAGCCTCAGACAGGGGCAGAGCCTCAGACGGGGGCAGAGCCTCAGACGGGGGCAGAGCCTCAGACGGGGGCAGAGCCTCAGACGGGGGCAGAGCCTCAGACAGGGGCAGAGCTTCGGATGGGGGCAGAGGATCAGATGGAGATAGAGCATCAACGGAACTAGTTTCCATTCGTACCTCCACAGGTTCCATGCTAACTCCTACTGAGTTCCACATTATTGATTGCCCCACAATCAGGTGCAGAGGTTGTTAAAGGGAAGTTACCACAATATATCCCAAACTCAGAGCCATCCAGTTTAACCGAGGGAGAGAGATTCCTAGTTAAATGTCACCAAAGAATGATTCGAACACTCCACAGTTTAAGAACACACACTCAGAAGTAGCAACACAGAAATGTACTACAACACAGGGTAGCATACCCGTACTGTGGGCCTGGGCGGTGGAGATACAGGAGGAAGAACTTCTGCCAAATGAGAGGCAGAAGAGGATGATCAGAAGGTGTGGCCAAAGCCTGGTGGGCCCAGCGGTAGATCAGCAGCCTCTGCAGAGATGGGACGATGGGGAGTTTCAGCTGGGCTTGAGCTTTCTGCAAGAAAGGAAGGCTGTTAGCTGCCATGAAATGAACATTCACAATCAGTCTTTCTAAGTGATCTAAATAGAATCCTGAATATTTTGTCTCCAATTTAAGTAACCCCAAAAAGGCACAAAATATTTTCTTCTACAACCTCTAGCTGCTGCTTCATCCTTAGTAGTAGCAGCTTTTCTGCTGTCAAAACATATCAGACCTCAGCATCAGAATGGGCCTTAACAGTCATCTAGTCTAATTTCATTTCCATTTCTGCAATTCCTTTGCACATAAAATGCCACAGAACAAGGGAATGATATGGTATAAAAACCAACTTGAATAATCTTGTGAAAGCTTATATTTCAAAAGAACTTTCAAGAATGATACATTCTCTGACATACTCTGAAACACAAAAGTCTAAACTATGACATCTAGAAGGTCTTTAAAGCACAATGAATGAACATTAGGTTGTGACTCCATGATAAATGGAGCTTTAAGCTGGCTTGGCCGGTGTCCTTTCTAAGCATTCACAACAAAAGCAAACCCAGATGGTCACAGGCTAAAACAAATCATTAACATGTGAGCCACCTTCCACCACTCAAACATGGAATTGCTATTTGCACCTTCAGAGCTTGGTCAGGGGTAAAAGCAGAGTTTATAACCAGCTCCCCTTCCACGACTCTTCGTAGCTGGGAGTCCTCTTCAAAGATGGATTCCATGTTCAGCACAGTCCAGGCAAACCAGACCTACAACACCACCAGGAAGACGTAGGGTCATGAGCCAAAAGCTCCAAATTGACAAGATATATCCTGATACTAAAGAATATCCCTCTTATTGATCTCGGTCCTCAAATATTTTTCTAAAATGAACACATTTTAAAAATCTGTACATATTCTTGACACATTTATCATGTTATATAAACAGGATAGTTAATATCCAGCTAATGTTAAATGTTAAATTGCTATACAAAGTGTTATATTGTTAAATGTCAAATTGTTATACAAAATGTTAAATTGCTATACAAAGGCTAAAATAACAACAGAACGGTGTCCACTCACTCAAAAATATTAATTGGGCAAGCTATACATGAATGAAGGACAGGGCCAGGGCCAGGCCCAGGTTCTGCTGCATCCACTGGACTAAGGAAGGGGGCAGAGGTGAGGATGAGCCAGGCCTGAAGTAGAGATGCATGGGAAAAGCACAGTTAAGACTCAGTGAGGCGAGAGCCAGTGATGTGCCAGCAGGGTCAGGGCGTCAGCTTGATTACAAGATGAGGAAGGAAGGAAGGAGACTGACAGGGTGTTCACGGGTACAAGGACTGATGTCAGTAATGAGACAGAGGCACACAACCCCAATTTCACACACGAAGTCTGAGAGGCAGTCACGATAAAAATCAAGCTGCTGCTAATGACAGTAACAACCAGGGCCGGCTACTCGCAAGCTGATTAGTAAGAGCGTTAACCTCTGAGCCCACAAACCCAGCAAATGAGCCTCTCAGTGGGTTTCCTACCTGCGTGGGCATGGCTGTGCCCTCCACAAAGGAAGGCGTGATGTTGCCTGCCACGATCCAGCTCACCAAAGAAGTCAGCAGACTCCGGTCACAGTGGTAGCCCAAAGCATTCTACATGAGGGACAAGCAGAACAGACAGGATGCTTTATAAACACCTTATCAATGACCTTTGCAAAAGTGTTAGCAATTCGTTCACTATAAGGAAAAATTTCTACTAAGACACAGGTTTCCAGGCGGCCACAACAATGGTCCTAGGCAGTGCACCACAGACAAATGTCATGAGTAGGGCTCTTTCCGAGATGTTTAGCCTTTGAATGCTCTAGGAGCAGCACAAGTGGACGACAACTGATAAAATACCACAAAGTTTTAAAAAGGCAGAGTCCATGGGCCCAGAGCAGAAGCCTAGCAGCTACAGTCTTTGCCCTACACATGCCGAGACCCAATACTGCCACCAGTTCTATTCCCGGCAGCCCTGCTTCCCTTCCAGCTCCCTGCTTGTAGTCTAGGAAAGCAGTCAAGGACAGCCCAAAGCTTTGGGACCCTGCACCATTCGCGAGACATGCAAAAAGCTCCAGGCTCCTGGGTTCAGAATGGGGCAGCTCCAGCTGCAGCCGCTTGGAGAATGATTCATTAAGTGGAAAATCTCTCCTCCTATCTGTATATCTGACTTTCCAATAAAAATAAATCAACCTGGTGGTGCAGCAAGCTAATCCTCTGCTTGCAGTGCCAGCATCCCAAATGGGTGCCAGTTCTAGTCCCCCCTGCTCCACTTCCAATCAAGCTCCCTGCTTATGGCCTGGGAAAACAACAAAGGATGGCTCAAAGCCTTGGGACCCTGCACCCAATTTAGGAGACTCAGAAAAACCTCCTGGCTCCTGCCTTCAAATTGGTCCAGCAACAGCCATGACAATCTCCTGGGAAGTAAGCCAGCACCTGGAAAAACTCCTTCATTCTTTATAAAAATCTATCTTTTAAATAAAAACAATAAATCTTCTTTTAAAAAAAAAGAAAAAGAAAAGAAGAAAGGAGGGACAGTGGACAGAGTTCAACTACTTGAAGGGATTTCTTATTTTTACAAAATGTATTTATTGGAGCCTGTGCAGCAGTGCTGCCATCCATATGGGTGCTGGCTTGATCCCTAGTTGCTCCATTTCCAATCCAGCTCTCTGCTTACAGCATGGGAAAGCAGCAGAGGATGGCTCAAGTCCTTGGGTCCCTGAACCCATTTGGGATATCTGAAGGAGTTGGCTGGCTCCTGGCTCCTGATCAGCTCAGCTCCAGCTGCTCCAGCCATTTGGGGAGCAAACCAGCAAACAGAAAAATCTCTCATCTTTTTTCCCTTCTCTGTAAAATCTGCCTTTCAAATAAAATTTTTAAATCTTCCAAAATTCTATTTATTGAGTTAGAGATGAAAATCCCAACCAATGACTCATATCCCTAATACCCACCACATCCCTGGCTGGAACTGGAGCTGGGAACCAAGAACTCAGGCTAGCCCTCCCATCTGAATGGAGAAACCTAACTTTTAGGGCCAATATGGCTGCTTCCCAGGGTCTGCACTGGCAAGAAGACAAACTCATGAAAATAGGTATTGACCTCAGGTACTTGGAATGGGATGTTAACTACTAGGCCAAACACCTGACCCACCGGAACCTATCCAGCAGTTGACACAGAAATGCTCTGACATGTTTACCTTATGCTGCTGGTAGAGCAGTTTCTGCACACAGTCTTCCTGCATTAGCTGAAAAGCTGTTTTACATAAGTGGTCCATGAGGAAGAGGATCGCTTGTTCTCGATACCAAAGGTGCTGGTTTATAAGTGCCTGAACCCAGAACTCCAACACAGCAACAGGACCCACTTGGTTGGGCTGAGTGCTTACAGATATGTGAGCCTGCAGAGAAAAGACTCGGGATGTAAAAGCAACCCATGTTGAAAGCATGAACCAAATCCTATCTGCCCCACCTACAAAGCCTAAAGCTGTTGACCTGCTTGGCCAAAAGCACTGTGCCAAGTGAATCGGAATGATCAAATCACAACTGTGCTTATACTACGAGGTCTGGGTAGGAAGAGGGGGAAGGGTGTATTAGGAGCTTGCAAGCCCCCTGACCTGGATCATGCTGTTGAGAAGCTTCACGTTGTCCCCATGGCTGGCTCCTGTCAGGTGCTGTGCCACTTTGTGGGTGACCTGCTGCGTGACACCCTGTGGGACACCACTGTCCAAGTGCAGGAAGAGGAGGAGGTGGGACAAAAACCTGCCAAGTACACAGGAGGGTTACACACTTTACCTCTGCTCAAGAGTTGACAGAAATGGGCCCAGCGCGGTGGCGCAAGTGGTTAAAGGTCCTCGCCTTGCACGCCCGGGATCCCATATGGGTGCCGGTTCTAATCCCGGCAGCCCCGCTTCCCTTCCAGCTCCCTGCCTGTGGCCTGGGAAAGCAGTCGAGGATGGCCCAAAGCTTTGGGAACCTGCACCCTGTGGGAGACCCGGAAGAGGCTCCTGGCTTCAGATCGGCATAGTATCGGCCCGTTGCGCTCACTTGGGGAGTGAATCATCGGACGGAAGATCTTCCTCTCTGTCTCTCCTCTCTGTATATCTGCCTTTCCAATGAAAAAAAAAAAGAGTTGACAGAAGTTCCAGGCCCTGAGTATTCAGGAGGGAACAGAAAACGATGAAATCGGTTCCATTGTTAGACAAAAGAACTATCTAGGGCTTCTGAAAAGCCTTCAATTATTTCTAAAGAAAGCTTTCATACTTAACATAGGTTAAAAATCTCTACCTGCATAGGTGTCATGGAAAGATCTAAGACAAGCTTAAAAGTACTATACAAAAAAACAGGCTTAAAAGTACTACACGAAAAACACCTTAAAGCATGTCGCCACCACCTGCACCAATACAAGAAAAAATGCTTGCCAAGTCATTCCATTCCCAAACTTCCTTAGCAGCCAAGATGCTAATTTCAAATAATGGGCATGAGGGGAGTGTCTAGGGGTGAGGAAGTAATAGCCCAAGACCATAACCCATTCATACTACAGTAAATACACAAAGGACGTTAGGAGTCTATATTTAATAAGCTCTCCCAGATGATACTTAACACCAGACAAATCTGAGACCCTGGTTGTACAAAACCCTTGGACGTTCCACCTGTCCCCATAGGCCTTACTTTTCCTTTCACCATTGTTCATGAAGCCTCAGCCAGATACAGCACTCTCCCCTCTGGGCAGTTAGCTCTCTTCCCATCTCAGTGCAACACTGCACCACCACCCCACACCAGTGGCAACTGAAAGCAACAGGTTTCATTATTGCCACAGCAGGAAAGCCATTTGCCACTCATGTCAGAAGCAGCATTCCCAGAGCTGCATGAAAACAAATGCGCTTTCAAAGACTAATAAGCTATAATGAGCAATCCCAAGTTAAATGAGAAGGAAAATATCTTTCATGCTACTAAACCCAGAATCATTAAAATCACTGATCTAACTTGAGATGTAAACGTTTTCTGCCTAATAAAAAACATGCTATTAAAGCATCATTCCTTTCATTTTACTTGAGAAACCAGGACATAGTCCTTTGGGCTGCTTTAAAGAAAGTCTCTGCCCTAGAATGAAGATACTTACAGCTCGTTCTTCAGCAAGTAATACTGGCAAGGGTAGAACAAAGGCAGAATCTTATCCAGTACATGGACCACCGTTCTCAAATGCCTCGACTGGATAAGAGTTCCCAAAAGTGAGATGCCTTCTGCACAGAACTTTTCAATACTATGGGAGAGAAGACAATGAGCATTAGGATGGCCACTTTGTCATAATCACGTCCTTCCACTGAGCTAAGAGCCCGTAACGCCTGGACTATCCCAGGTCCCCAACTATTCTTACACACCTAAACTACACACAGAAATACCAACGTCTAAACACTGAAGTACAAGAAATGGAAAAGCTCATTTATACTTTTATTTGACAGATGTGGAAGATGAAGTAGCATGCCCAAATTCACATAATTTCTTAAAGCAGGGTCCAAATGAGAGCACAGGCTTCTACATTTCTAGCTGACAGCACTGTCACTACCCCATGTGGTGCTTTTTCTAAGCCCTGGTGGCCCTCTTTGCGTGTACATTCCCACGAGGCATTACAGCAAAGAGAAGATTCAAAATTGAGCTCTGTCATGAGAAACCAGCAATCTATGTGTTTTCTCTTCCCATGACTCACTTCAGATAACCTGTCCTAAAGAAAGAATTTCAAGTACCAGGGAAAATATGAAAGATGGTTTTCATATTTAGCTGCAACAGCAAAAGTAAGATGCAGAAAACAGCTTAGGTGCACCCAGGAAAAAACCATTCAATGGGAATGTTGGCGTGGCTTTCAAAATAACAAAGATAGTTGATGGAAAAATAAGATTTAAGGATAAGTTTATTTGCTGCACAAAAAATCTTAAAATGTGCACTTTTTTTTTAAGTGACATCTATTTTCCATCAACTTTGAGCCCACTCACAAGCATGGTCAAAATTTCTTCCACTAAAAGTACCTCTTAATTTCATTTTCCACAAACTTTTTGCAATCCTGTATGTATGTAATGGCCAACACCACTATTGAAAAACTATTACTACTACTATAGTGATACCAGGAAGAAATTTAAAAAATATCATGCTTGCCATTACAACCATAGCGATAGGATAATACCAAAAAGTTCATTGTTCTAGAACAGCAGCCCTGAGCAGATTTTTCTCCAGTTTCTTAACTCTGCAGCTTTTTTCCCAACCAGGAACTAGGCGCTTCAGTCAAAAGCATTCCCTCATCATCTACCTTGTCTCACCCTCTCTACCTGTACGCCCCATCCACTTAGCAGTTTGCTGACCACCTACTAAGTCCAACTTCTGAAAACATCAATCTGAGCAGGACCAAGACAACAGGGAAGGGTGCTGCTCAGAAGGCCTGGGTGCTGCAGGTGGCAGGAATCGGCCTTTTAGCTGACTCTCACACAAACAGAAGGCCTTATGCCACCAAGGAAGCAAGAGTCACCACTCCACCCCTGAGCCTAGGATGTTTCCATGAAATGACACTGCTCCACTAATCTTTCCTCCTTTACATTATATGCTCACATTCTATGTGGTTCTCATTCCAGTCTCTCCCATAGCATCCCCCGGACAACAGACTCCCAAACCATTTACATTTTTCACAGAACTCCAACAGGAATTCTAAAGAGCAGCCAGGTTGGGGAACTACTGCTGTCTATGTAACCTCAGGTCGAGGTTATGTTTTATACCACTGCCAGTCATTTTCTTTCTAACAAGCCCTCCTGGCTGTCAACAATCTGAGGGCAGCTATTTAACCATCCCGTATCTCTCCTACTTCATGGCACAGAGCAAACACCAGGAGCTGACAGGAAAATAGCATCTCACTGAAATTATACTTAATGTGGAACAAGGTTTCGAAATGAGAGTGTTAAAAAGCTATTTTGGTTAGTCTGAAATAAGGGTGTCAGAAAGCTCAGCTGGAAATGGCTTTAGAAAAGTAGATGCACTAGAAAAAATTACTGCCTCTCAGGAAAAAATTATTTAACAAAAAGAACTTTCACCAACAGGGAATTCGTCGATGCATTCCATTATTTACTGCACCAGAGACATTCTTCATCACTAAAGATAAAACTGTAGATAAAACAGTTCCTGGGTACTGAACTCAACACAAGTTATACCTAACAGACAACCGCAGTATGAGGGGGAAATAAAACAAAGATAGCTGTGGACTTATACTGCAACAGCCCATGATCTGACCAGGAAGTTCACAAGCCTGAGTTGGCCTGCCAACACTTTTTCAAAAAATTCATTACCAAAGCAGGGCTGGGCACAGGAGGTTGAGAAATCACTTGGAAAGCAGCACTTCACATGAGAGGACTGGAATTGATTCCCCCCGTTCCCCCGCTTGGTTTTCCATCCAGTTTCCCATTAATGCACACCCTTAAGAAGGCAGCAGTTGCTGAGTAAGGAAAATTGGGCCTTTTATATATAAATAAATAAGGAAATAATTCATTGCTGACAGCAGGCATTTAACTTAGCAGTTAGCTCACATCAGAGCACCCTGGTTCAACTACTAGCTCTAGTTCTCAATTCCAGCTTTCTACAATTATAGATTCTAGAAATAGCCATAATGGTTCAGGTAACTGGGTTCTGCCTGGATTCAGTTCTTAGGTCTGACTTTGGCAACAGTCCAGTTGCTACAGTTGTTAGGGGAGTGAATCAGTGAATGGCAGCACATGCTTGCTCACTCGCTCGCTCTCTCCTCTTTCTTTCTGTCAAATAAGTTATTTTTACTTCACCGTAAGTAACTAACTATTTTTACTTGACAAAAATTCTGAGAAAGAGAATACAAATTTATTGCTAATATGGACATTTTAATTTTGGGACAACTCCTTACATAACAAGACATTTTTCTGGTACAAATCTATTTTATGTGAATTTGGGCAGCATCTCCCCTTCATAAACTATTAATAAACACTTATTATTTGGCCCTCATTACTCCTCTTCAGGCTTCATGGACGCCTCAGTTTTAGAAACAACTCTAGAGGTTCAGCCCAAACTCTGTACCTGTGGCCCAGGGCTGTCATGGCCAAGGCCAGGTAACAGCCAATGGGCATGCCCGCTTTCACAGACTTCAAGAGAGGATGAAACATGGGTGACTCTGTCAGGTCAGGTGCTGTGCTGGAGAAGGGAACGGTGGGACAATTCTGCTGTAATCCATAATCATTTCTGTGTAGTTTTAACCTCAAGATCAAATTCCAGGCCCACTGGTTAAAGGAGCTCTCAGGTGTCTCTCCATAGCGAACAATACTGGCCAAATATGAAACCTAAAACAATTATTTTAAACCACATTAGTGACACGCAAATGAAGTCAACAGCCTCCTTTCTCTCTCCTGTCACGGCGAACAGTGCCCACAAAAGAGAAGAAAAGCTACTAACTGTCAATTAATTGTTGCTGTACAGCATGAAGGCAATTTCTTACCACTAACCACTTTGGTTTCCCTACTAATAATTTTGTGAACGTGATCGTTGTTCATGTAGAAGAGAAATGATGGAGACAATGACGATCAATCAACAATGTGCTGAGCATGTAACTGATGAATCAGGAGAAGGGGTCTCACTTATAGCACCTGCCAATTTGAATGGCAGAAATACTCCCTCCATGGCAAAAGTTCTTTCTTCACTGTTATTTATTTATTTTCATTTTATTTGAAAGACAGAGACAGAAACAAATAAAAAATCTTCTACCCTTACTTTACTCCCCAAACGCCCAAAACAGCCTGAACTGAGCCAGGCTAAAACCAGGAGGCCACAATTCAATTTGGACCTCCCACATGGGTGGCAGAGACCCAAGTACTTGAGCCATCATCCGCTGCTTGCCAGGGTGCACACTAGCAGCAAGCTGGAATGGAAAGAAGAACCGAGACCCGAGCCCAGAAACTCCAATACGAGGCGTCCACAAAGCATCTTGCAACTGCTTCAACTCCTTCCCAACACCGTGGCCAATTTCAAGCTACTAACATAACTGGCAAAGTTCCTAAAAATCACCAGTTCACCTATACTGGTTCAAGTCAGCTCTAGCACATCACTGTAGCTTAAATCAAATGGTCATGAAAAATCAAATAAAGACAAATCTTTAGACACCTGAGAAATCAATTTTGTCTTCTTAGGAAATCACAGTTTCAGCCTTCCAGGCCCCTACAAACAGACATTCACATTCTAAGGACAGTAAAGAAAATACCTGCTTCATACTTTCAGAAAGAAGCCCAGCATATGGCTTCTGTGCAAGATGCTTCTGGTAAGCTTCCAGAATCAGTAAGGCAACTTCAGTATGGACCGCTTGATCCAGGTGAAGGGTACCCTTCCAAAGAGAAAAATGAGTATTAACATATCACCTTGATAATTAAGTCTGAAGTCTATATACAGAGAAATATACCTCAGTCATCTTCCACACCAGTAAAAAAAAAAAATTATTTAATGGGAATCTCTACAAAGACTATGGATTGTAAGTTAAAGGCTCTACCATAAACCAGGGAAGTGCCTCGAGCAGCCTTCTTCTGCACCTTGAAAAGTACATTTCTGGGTCCTTCCACAAAGCATGACTTTCCTAACAACAGAGGCACAGGCAACATGGGACTCCATTCACAAAGCCCCAGCTGTGTAGGTAGAGAATGCCATCACTCTCACCCACCAACACTTCAGTGACAAAAGCCCCACGTGAACTCAGGGACCTCGGGTGCTCAGGGTACCTTTCTGGATTACAGCCTCCTGATTGCAACAGGCTTCCTGCCAATGTGCCCCACACAGGACGGCTGCCAGAGCTGCAAACTGCTTCAGAGCGGTGAGGCCTCCCCATTTTCCCTTCAAATGGGAATACACATTTTGACCAAAGAGCAAGAAATAAGGCCTTTAGTGAGGCAGGAAAGGGTATGTAATTGGCAAAATTCCCTGATAGAAGACATCTTTGGAGATAAAAGAATCAGAGCAAGCCCTTGAGAACAAACTGCTTTGCTAGTTATATACAAAATGTCATTTTTACCGATTAAAAGCCATATAAAGTGTAAAAATGCCCTCTAACCTTTTGATTCATTAAGTGTATATTTCTGTGACTTCTTACACTAACAGTGGTGTAAGTTCAAAGCAGTATTTATACTTGCTAATAATTACCAATATTTTTATTTTTCTGTACTTTTCATCAGAATGTCTACAGCATTTCCCAACTGAACATGCTAACTGTAGAAAAACAAATGGTGATGCTATTCCTAACAAGAGCAGTTTAGTGGTGAGAAGTAGCCACCGTTGTTCACACATCTACAACTGCTCTGTGGTATCCATGTAGTTGCAAGGTTTTTAAAATTTAAACAGTTTTTTTTTTTAAATTCACTTTCAGAAATCATACAACCATATCTTAAATGCATACCTGAAATATCTACCACAAATTCTTTTTTTCCTTAACTCTCCCCTCCCCACCACCCAAACATCCTAGTGAGGTAACAGGCATGTAATGCTCCAGTGCTTTGGTCACTGTGTGAGTAGTTAATTCAGCTTGTCACCTGTCCTCTGAGTAAAGCAATTAGGATGGAAATGTGGGCTACGGCCCGGGTAATGTGTCCCTCCGAGGGGATGGGGTCGTCACAGCATAAATGATCAAGAGCATTTTCCAGGCCCAAAAAAAGAAAAAAAAAACTCAATCATGCTCACAGAACAGTAAGAAATACAGAAATGTTTGGAGGGTCTAGTGTAATGTTTAGCAGGCTAATCCTCATCCTGTAGTGCCAGCATCCCATATGGGTGAGGGTTTGAGTCCTGGCTGCTTCACTTCCAATCCAGCTTCCTGCTAATGAACTAGGACAGCAGCAGAGAATGGGCCAAGTCACTGGGCCTCTGCACCCACTTGGGAGACCTGGAAGGTGCTCCTGGCTCCCAGCTTCAGACCAGTGATCCAGCAAATGGAAACCATCTCCCCACATTATAACTCTACTTAAAAGTAAAAATAAATATACCTAAAAATGTTATAAAAACTTTCTGAAAAAAGAAATGCATGGGAAAATAAATACATAAACACAACCATAACCTTGCCACACAGAGATACCTACTGTCTCACGTACTTTCTCCCATTCCGTGACTCTCCCCACCCTGATGTGTGGGCCACAGAGGGATGTATCCCTCTCAACTACATAAACATCATCTCTTTTTTTAATTAAAGAGAAAAGTGCGTAGAATCTCTAGGTTTTTTTTTTTCTAGTTTCAAAAGAATGATTTTAACACATACCTGTTCATCAAATCCCCAATTCAACCCTTCCAGAATAACACAGGCCAGTTTATTCTTCACTGCAGCTAGGTTGTAATTCAATAACCAATCTCGAATCACAGCTACCTCGGAGGCAGAAGGTCGCCAAAGATACAAAGGCAATTCTTTAAACAAGTACAAAGAAACCTTATTGAAAAGAAAAAGATAGCCATTTAGGGATAATCCTGTATGACTACAAAAATGTATCACTAAACTGCATCACTGCAAAGCAACTACATTCTTTTGCTCACACCATCTTCAAAACAGCGCATATTTTATACTAACAGCACATTCCAATTTGTACTAACACCATTTCGAGAGCTCCACAGACAAATGTGCCTCGTGGCTACTATGAGACAGTACACTTCTACGACACACATATTATCATACATCAGGTTCATGATCTGTGCCCAAGAACCAAAACAAAATTTGGAAGTACAGTAGAAAATATGAATTTTTAAAAACTTACCCTTTCTGTTAATCTGTTTATGTGTTCATGACAATTCATTAATAAAAAGTTGCTTTGCATAAAATGGTAACTTTATTTTATTCATTCATTCAAGATACAGAGGCTGAGTGGGGCAAAGCAAAGAAAGAGGCAGAGAAATAGAACTCCAACTCAGTGCTTCACTTTCCAATGCTTCTGACAGCCAGGGCTGAGCTAAGGCTGACCCCAGGAGTCAGGAACTCACTCCAGCTCGCCCCTTAGATGGCAGGAACTCCCATTACTTGAGAACCATCCAGACAACCTCCCAGGGCCTGCAGCTGCAGGACGCTAAAATCAGGAGTCCAAGCCTGGAATTTGAACCCAAGTGTTCCAACATGGGGCACAAGTACCTTAAAGGACCTGCTAATGGCTGAAGGAAGGCCTCCCACAGACAGGACCTTCTTTCTCACAGTTGTTTATTATACATTATGATTATGAAAGCAAGAAGAATTACAAATAAAATTCTCATTAACTATAGGCTTTAATTAAGATAAACACCCATTACTGAAGGTCGTGAGAAGGTCAACTTTAAGCAGATTTGAGAAAATGTCTCACTTTTTTACAAGCAGAAGCTAATCCCAAACTTACACAGGATGAAAGGCACGGGGCCTGGCAACAGCACCACTGGTTCCTTTTCTCCTGCTCTAAGTGCTACAATCCTCCTATTTTGTGTTTGCTCCCAGTTCTTCACAATAATAAACAAACAAGATCAGTGCTCTTACCATTCCAACCTGGTCTATGGTATCTTGAACTCGATCCAAAAGGATGGAAATTATCTTGGGGTGAACAGCTGTGATAGCCCCTAAAAGTTCTCGACCAACCTTTGAAAACGTCTCTCTCGTGGACAGGGTAACATATGATACCTAGGTGGAAGAAGAGGAGAAGTGACAGGTTTAATAGCAAACAGCAATCAAAATATATTTCCACAGTCATTTCAAGTGCAACAGATAGAATCTCAGATTGAGCCTCACTTCACACCAGAACTTCAGACAGCAAATTGCACACCTGAGGCTGGCAATAGAGGGAGAGAGGCGAAAGGGAACTCATTGTAACAATGAATTGGGAGGTATTCAGAAAATATTTCCCAAGGTGCACAATTAAAAATAAGCAATCCCTTTGGTGTCAAAACTTTCCTCAATTTCAGACAATCACTAAAATGATAAAAATCACAAGGCACTTCATGGAAATATCTACTTCCTCCTACAAAATAGGACATTGAACTATAAGAGCTTCTAAATTACCAACTGCTCGTTGACAATATTTTTCAAATCAATGGGTGGAAAACTCAAAAGAAATTTTTAGCTGATTTATGAAACTTCACATTCTGACCTCGTATATCTCCAGAGCAATCATTTTTACAAAGTCTTCATCCACGTTGGTTCTTCTGGCCTGAGCCATTTGAGCAAAGGTCGTCAGAAGGCAGATCTCTTCTGAACTGTTCATGGAAGAAAGACACTTCTCAAAGTTCACAAAGTGTTCTGGGTCTGTAAGTTCATAGCAAGAAAATTAAAATAAAAAAGGGATAAAGCAACATGACTCAATTACTCTTCCAGAGATAAATATTACAAGCCATAAGAGATTTTTCTTTGTTCTAGAACAGAATTCTACAAGTAGGAGGAAGACGGCTAACCAGACGAAATTCCAACAAACTCTAGCTAGAATGCGGTCTCAGGAAGACAAAAACTATCATCTCTATGCCTGTTTCCTCATCTGTCAATGTAGGAAAAGTAAACGATATGCCACTGGGGAAGTCCTTGGTTAATTTCAAACTACCACTGTTGGCACTAGATGAGCCACGCATTTGCTGGACTAATGAATGAAGGCCCTACTCCAGAAACTACTAAGACTATACACTCCTTGGCTCAAACGTGGCATTCCAAAAGAGGCCATGAATGAAAAGCTGCAGTGAGAAGTGTTATAGCCCTGACTGAAATATTACTGAATGTGACAGTGAGTACGTAGAATGTTCTGTCCATTTCTCAGACAGTGCCATGTGGCCACTATTACATTTTATCACTAGGAGAGGCAGTATTGACACACAAGGAAAACCAGATGTTGCAAAGACAAAATTCTGAAGAGGGAAGAAGGAAAAAAAGTCAATTTAAGAATCCGTCATTCCCTAAGGGGGCTTTTCAATCAGAAGGAAATAAACAAACAACCCTCACCATGTTTGCACATCTGAGAAATCAAGGCCATTATGAAAATTCTTGTATTTCTGAAATCTCTGCATGGGGGCATTTGCTAATTTTCATTTCCCATCCCAAATTGTATTTGTAGTGGAAATTACTACCTAGAGCAAGAGTATTTTAAGGTACAATCAAAGGAGAGGACTAATGTTTTAAAAAGTAAATAAAATTTCTAAAAATTAGAAAATTCAAATAACTTTATAACTAGCTTTTAAAACATTAAGGACAAACAAGATAGGCATATTTATACATTTATATTCAATTTTACATATGTACCCAGAACGTTGATCATACTAGAAACGAATATAACAAAAAAAGCCAGTTTTTAGCAATCACTGCCGAGAAGCTGGCTAGCTAGAAAATCTAATTAAATTCATTGTTTGAAAACTGTGACTTGAGGCTAACCCTATCCCCTTTACCACAAGGAAGTAAAATTTGGCTACAAAGACTAAGAACTTTGTATCTATTAAACATTAAAACATGTAAGGAAAGCTATACAGAAAGTTTCATTGCCTCATACATGGTAAAATCAAGAATGTGTTTAAGAAATGAAGCAGCTGAAAAAACAGCTAACTAGCAAGAGGACTACATTTTGCAAAGGCCCCTGGATGGAGATGAGAATCTAAGGCAGATGGATCTCATCTACCGTGTCACAGTCGCTCATGCACACACACACTAAAGCAGAAGTCCGTGGGAGCCTGGAATGCAGCAGAGAATGGACAACGGCAGACTCCAGGTTCCTGCGGACAATGCCAGGACTGCCCCGTCACACCCTGGAATCACGTCCATTAGAGCTGAGCCACTCTGCTGCCACATCTGCAAAAGCACTTCACGTGCTGCCTGGCCAAGCCCAGCACCAGTGAGGGTAGACCATCCAAGACAGAACCAGCCCAGGCACTTCCAAAGGAAACAGCTCTTGTCAGCACCAGAGGAAAGCTGGGGACGCCCTGCCCTCACTCACTTGCAGCCCAGGCCCTACTGAGAATTCTGCAGTGTAAGTGCCCAGCAGAGGGAGAAGCATTATATGATGTAAAGTGACATGAAGGAGTCCAGAGCTACCACTAAGTAGACAAGGAAAAAGGACAAAGTAGATTTATTCAGATCCAAAACAGAAGGAAGGGTATTGGAAGAGAACAAAGTTAGAAAGACATAAACTAGAAAAAGAAAGAAAAAAATGCAGGAAATCATGAGCAGGTGCAGAAACTATTTTACAAAAAGATTTCTAATATTGATACAGGCACTGAAAAATGTGGAAAACAGAATTTGCTTTTACTAATTTTTAACCTGTTAGTACTTTGGTATATTTTCTGCCAGATCTTACTTTTTTAATGTTCACATAGTCTGCTTTTTTTTTTCATTTTTAACATTACACTAAAAACAAATATCTTATAGTTTAGAGATGTTATGATGCTAAAATATAGCAGGTCTTCACCAAAACTATTTTAGAAAACTTGTCTACATTTTTCCTTTTTCTTAGCTCACAAAATTAGTAACTAGAAAACAAAACAATACAAAAAAACAGCAACAAAAACACTGCAGGAACAACTGAGCACAAAGCCTGAAAATTTTCTGGATGATTAATACATACCTATTAACCTGAATGTAAACTACAATCATTTCACATCCACATGCAAAAAAAAAAGTGCTTTTTTAAAAGTCAGGATATGGTGTTTATTGACACATTAATAGAATCTGGGTCTCAGATTCCCTAATAACAAAGTACTATCTCTTGTTAATTTCAAAATCACAACAGCTGAGTATACTCAGGAACCTCATCCCTCCTCAGCAGAAGAGCAAAGCAGAGAGAGAAGCACACGGAGCGAGCAGACGCTGGCACCGCCGGTGGCACTACCGCTGGCACCTCCGCGTACCTTGGAGCCGCCTCTTGCACTCAGCCGCCTGCAGGTTGGAGCACACCTGCTGCAGGGTCCCGCTCTCCTCCACCTGGTGCATGAGGTAGAAGAGCTTCCAGAGCATGTGGGCCGACAGAGTCGCGAAGGGCATCTCAGACATGAACAGCCAAATGCCAAGTCTGTATGTTTTAAAAACAACAGGAATAATGTTATATGTTCATCAGATTTACCACACAGGAAAAATATACCCTTACATCATATGACCACACTATCTCTCCACACTTGCACAGCGATGTCAGCACATGCTCAGGAAGCACTTAGCTGTGCTTTGTCCTATGCACCTGGGACCAGAATTGCTTCAGATTTGGAATTTTTTTTCAGATTTTGTAAAATTTGCTTGTATGTGTAAGATATCGTTGCCGGAATTGGATCCAAATCTAAGCAGAAAATCTACTTGTTTTATAGGCACCTGATACACATAGCTTGAAGACAATTTTTTATATTAGAAAGTTAGATATACAGAGGAGGAGACACAGAGAGGAATATCTTCCACCCGCTGACTCACTCCCTAAGTTATTGTAATGGCTGGAGCTAAACCAGTCCAAACCCAGGATCCAGGAGCGTTTTCCAGGTCTCCCAAATGGGTGCAGGGTCCCAACTGCTTTCCCAGTCCAAAAGCAGGAAGCTGGATGGGAAGTGGGGCCACCAGGACTAGAACCAGTTCCCATTTGGGATGCCGGCACATACAAGGCACTTGAAGACAAGTTTATACAAGATTTTTAGTGTGTCTACGTTCCAACTCGGATTCACTACATTGGCTCAGATGACATCATCACGTTGGCATTTAAAAAGTTTCACCCGTATGGGGAGAGTGGAGTTTCAGATTATAATGCTCCACTAAAGACTTATTAAAGTCTCACTAAATTCAGGACAAAAATGACTGATGTTATCATAAATTTACACGAGGCTCCTAAGGCACAGGAAGGCATGAGAAGCAGATCTGGGTGTGCCCTGGGTGAGAGGCAGCCCACATGAAGATGTGTTTGTGTTAGCAGATACAGAGGTACAAATGCGCACTGGCTCACAAGTGCAGTGTCTTGGGGGGAAATTTCTCTCATCACTGAATCCTGGGGACCCAGGAGGACTCTAACCACAGTGATCCTTAAATCACACCGTGAGAATCACCTCACAGTACTGTAATTTACACACACATTCTAGCCAGTCTACCACCAATCACAGAGCAAAAGGGGTTCTTGTCCATTAATCTTTTACTTAAAATCAGCATCTTCAAAAAATTTGTATTCAATGACTACTTGTTAAAGTCATTAAAAACTCTATTTGGAGCCCAAATACAAATTGATCAGTTACAAAACCAAATTCATTAAGAAAAAAATCAGTGTATGACTAATTCACATCTATGAACCTATTAAAAAACTGGTGGCCCAAACTCCTTTTGGAAAAACAGACCAATTCTTGAACAAGAAGTGAGGAAACTTTTGTAAAGTAGGCCACACTTCAGTCTTAATTAACCTGGCACTTTGCATGAAGTCCTGATGCTGTTTCATAATCGATATCAAAACATTAAAAAGAAATTACGGGGGCCCGGCGCGGTGGCACAAGTGGTTAAGGTCCTCACCTAGCACGCCCGGGATCCCACATGGGCGCCGGTTCTAATCCCGGCAGCCCCGCTTCCCTTCCAGCTCCCTGCTTGTGGCCTGGGAAAGCAGTCGAGGACGGCCCAAAGCTTTGGGACCCTGCACCTGCGTGGGAGACCTGGAAGAGGCTCCTGGCTTTGGATCGGCATAGTATCGGCCGTTGCGCTCACTTGGGGAGTGAATCATCAGATGGAAGATCTTCCTCTCTGTCTCTCCTCTCTGTATATCTGCCTTTCCAATAAAAACATAATAAAAATAAATCTTTAAAAAAAAAAAAGAAATTACGGGGACCTTCAAAAGAGCATCACCAAATTGACACCTCAAAATGCTATTCTGAACTAAGGAATTCCCCACACAGCAAACACAGTATGTCTGGCTTAGATTTCTTGTTTATCTTTTGCTTAGTTTTGGTTTGGTTTAGTTTTAGGTTAAAGGGATAGCTTAACCTAAATTTAGTTCAAATTTTGTGTCTTTAAATAACTGATTTTCATAACATTTATTTTCTAAAATAAGTTTACTCAAGAACAATAGCTCCCAACATTCTAAATATTTTAACATCAATGAACTCTATGTGGTCTCTAGTTGGGACCACCTAGTTGTAAATACTAGAATTTCTTTCTTCTTAACAGCTGAATAATATTCCATGTAGTAGATGTACCACAGTTTCTTTAATCACTCTTCTTTGGATGCACATCTAGATTGTTTCCATGTCTTTGCTATTGTTCAGTGAAATGAGTCAATCACAAAAGAATACCATATGTTCTCTTTTATATAAGGAAACCAGCATGGGAAGTGTAACTTCAATAATCCGATCCATAATGTTTTTTCTTTGTTTGTTTGTTTTGGCTGTATCCCATGTTTTTTGGATTTTATTTATTCCAAATAATTTCTTTTCTTTTGTTGAATTCATTGCTGGCTCATGGACTACACGGTGGCATCATTTTTCCCAAGAGACTTTTGTGTTTTCTTTTAGTCACCCAGGTGCTGGTTACTCAGTGGCATGTTTTTTCATGGTGCTGTAATTTACTGAGGATGTTGTTGTTGTGGTGGTGGTGAATGTTGTTCTAACTCATACCAGTTGTTGACCTTGTTTCATGGCTTCTCAATTATGGAAATGTATAGTGATGAAGTAGTAGGGTCTACCACATCCAGATGCTCGGGTATAATGCAACATGCATCCCTGCTTTCCAGACGAAAGATGGATTCCCAATGAAACTGTTGGACATGTGTAGATAATGGGATGCTGGACTGACATTGTCTGTACCAACAATGTTGGGGTACACTGAAATAAGAGACTGACAGAATTACGATTCCTTATGAAGGACTACATTATTGTAACAAAATGGGAAAATCTGATGGGGGTAGGAGTTTGGGAGAAAATCACAACCTATATGAAATTGTATCACATAATTCAAAATTCAAAATAAAAATATATTAAAAAAAAGAAGTTGAAAAGAGTATACTATGCAAGGAGAAACTGGGGCCCAATGACTTGCCCATCAGAAATACATAACTTATACTAAGACACAGAAATTGACTTAGTCAATGCCTTTCTTACCAGGTAGGGAGTCCACTCTTACCAGTTATCCTCCTATTTCTCACCTTTTAGCTTTCAACACATGTAGGACAGCCCTCAAAAAGAGCTCGTCAAATTCAACTTGTAGCTTCTCCATGGAGTAGGGCTGCAGAGGCGATCCTGAAGCCCCACTGTAGCTCACGTACTGTGCCCAGTGGTCACTCACATAGCCAAGGGTCATCCTGGGCACAGACAACAGGGCGTTTCTCATTAACTCATGCGATACCAGCACCTTTCTATTACACCAGAAGAATACTTATTCTACACAGATTTACTATGTACCTACTCTCTTCCAAACTGAAGGCAATGTAATGGAGAAAATTTTTCAATTCTGCCCACAAAGAACTTAGATTTAGTAGACAATTAACAAAGTAAAACACAGTGTTTGTCACATGGCTGCAAATGACGCACAGAAAAATCAAGTAGTGAAGGGGCCAAAGTATGTCTGGGGCTCCAGGCAGAAAGATGTTGGCTGAGAGCAGGACAGATCTCACTAAGGAAGGACCTGTGAATCAAGACTGGCAGAGTGAATGAGGCACTGGATTCTCTGCGAGTGCCCAGGGGAGGCTCCAGCGGGGATAGGAATGCCTGAGGGATAGCAAGGCAACCAGTGTGCTAAAACAGACTTACAGAGACAGCCTGGAAACAAAATCAGCAAAGTGGCAGGAACCACAATGTGGTGGGTGCTGCCAGCCCACCACGGGGACTAGAATTTCTACTCCCAGGGACATGCGTAGGGGCACACAACAGCAGCATGAGCTGACAGGGAGTACCGGGCACTCCATACCCAGAGTACACTTGGGTATGGAAGGAAGACTAGGCAAGCTAAAAGAGCGGGAGGAAAAGCCAGCAGTCCGTGGCAGCAATTGGTGAGAAACACCCGGGCGGACACACAGTGGACACACTGTAGCTGGTAAGCACGCTGCATCCTGGAGAAAGGTTTCACTTGTGAAAAGAATACAGATGTTTCACACTTGGACTTCCCGTCATTCAGGGCATCCTGTGATCATGTGCTGACTTTATGAACATACACTAACTGGTTAAGTAAAGCCATTTTTTTGTGGAAGAAAAGAGACAAGTTCTGTTTTTTATGGAGTGTTTTCAGAGAAGGTCGCAAGAATTAACAGCACCTGTGGCTGTGGAGACAGAAAAACTGATGATGCCAAAAAGGGGGAAGATGTAAAATAAATCAAAAGAAAACAAAATGTACTAACCTGATCTTTAAAACAAATCCACTTTTTGCTCAAATAATACCATCTCATTTCATGTAAGTGACCAGTGATGAGTCTTAAGATTTTTTTAATATTTGCCAGAAATCAGAATAAAAATAAAGGAAATAATACTATAAAGAGCCAGTGACACCTTCCCATGGCTGTGTGACTATTCCAAGGGAAGAGCCAGAGAAGACAGAGGACAGAGCAGAGAAAGAGTCCTGCAGGCCACACTTCAAAACAACAGCAGCTCGAGGGATCTTGACTTCAAGAAAGCACCTGGCAAGCCAGTTAAATCTGATATAATTACCCAAATACTTAGAACAGCCACGTTTATATAAAAGCATACTTTGCCAGCTCTATCTTCAGACCAGAGTTGTCTCCCCAAGAAGCCACTGAATTGATCTGGACAATAAGATGCTGGACTCTATGCTTGGTATATGCTTGCAATGAAAGAATCTCAACTGAACTTGAACTGTGGTAATGCAACAAGGTGGAGGAATCCACCATGGGGGGAGGATTTGGGGAGGGGTGGAGAGAGTCCCAGTGCCTATAACACTGTGTCACATAATGCAATGTAATTAATTTTAAAAAAAAAAAGTAGACTACAAAAAAAAACAATTTTCGCCTTTTATGAGAAGTAAGATCAGAAGACTACAAGTTCCTGTCTTGCCCAGTATGCAATGCCCACACCAGACCACAGCGAAAGCAGACGCAGAGGGCAACAGCGTGTTACCTGATCAGATAGCCGATGCGCTTCACAAACTGCCTGTAGCGTGCCCTGTTGAAGGTTTCTAACCCCACCGCCAGAAGTTCCACTAATGAGTTGGCAAAGGCAAAAATTTTCATCATTTCTTGAGGTCTTGTTATTTCAGGCAAATAATCATCTAGACATTAACCAAAGAGGGAAGATTATTATGAAAAATACAGATATAAAGGAGGGACAGATGGTGAAAGTTCAACAATTTTATTACTCTTGCTCCTCTACCTATATGGAATGAAAAAAAAAAAATTAAGACAAACTTGAGACAAGCCACAGAATGAACAACTTCTTTCAGCTGGGCAACATGGAAGCCAGTCAGCCTTCTCTCAAGCACAAAGAGGGAAATGGCCAGCTTGAGAGAAAGGAAGACTAAAGTCAGTGAGCTCAACACACACTCAGCCAACACAAGCAGCCCTATTGCAGCCTGTGTTTAGCAATGGGCCGTTGCCACATACTACTTATGACCAAAGAAATTAGCCTACCTTCTGCTTGAAACCCAAGAAGATGCTGAAAGAGCTCATGAAATGGAAACTGTGATAAAAGAACAACCAAGTCATCTTCATTAAGGAGGCTCCAACTGGTGTCAGGGTCTTCATCCTAAGGGGAAAAAGCCAAAGTCATGTTAGCTGCATCGATGAGCCGCCTCGGGTTACAGGGGCTACATTATCACAAGTCTCACATGGGTAGCATAGATGGTATTTTTCATCAATTTTTTCTAAAGATTTACTTATTTTTATTGGAAAGGCAGATTTACAGAGAGGAGAGACAGAGAAAAAGATTTTCCATTCACTGGTTCGCTCCCCAAGTGGCCGTAACAGCTGGAGCTGAGCCAATCCAAAGCCAGGAGTCAGGAGCCTCTTTCAAGTTTCCCAATGGGTGCCGGGTCCCAAGGCCTTGGGCCATCCTCGACTGCTTTCCCAGACTACAAGCAGGAAGCTGGAAGCAAAGTGGAGCAGCTGGGACACGAACCGGTGCCCATATGGATCCTGGGTGTGCCAGGCAAGGACTTTAGCCACTAGGCTACCACACCAAGACCATTTTATGAATTTTTATAAATCTTTTTACCAGGAGAAAAATTTATAGTCTCACATTCACAGATAGCTCGTAAGTTCCTTAAAAGAACACACACACATTTTTAAAAATTGTGTTCATCTGAGAGACAGAAAGAGCCCCTATTCTCTGGCTCACGCCCCAATGGGCCAGCGCTGTGCAAGCGCCAAAGCTGGGCACCAGGAACACAATCCAAGCTCCCACACGCATGGCAGAATCCAATCATCTGAGTCATCAACACTGCCTCCCAGAAGCTACAAGAAACCAGAGGCAGGAGCTACAGCAGGGGATGAACTCAGGCATGCACAATGTACACCACAGGCATCTATTGTTTTGTTTTAAGAGTTACTCATTTCAGACTTGGTGCAGTAGCCTACTGGCTAAAGTTCTCACCTTACACATGCCAGGATACTACATGGGTGCTGGTTCATATTCCAGCAGCCCCACTTCCCATCCAAAAAAAAAAAATTCTCATCTAAAAGAAGACAGAAACAAATAATCTTCTAACTCTGACAACATCAAATAAAGAGCCACTAATTATAGTCCAACTTATTTTAGCTTCAATTCTCTTCTCCCAAAATCAAGGTCTACCGTATTCATCAGCAGACCGATAAAGCAGTGATTAGCAATTGCTGCAAATAACTTAAGTTCTGTTGTCAATTAACACTGCTGGAAGCCGGTTAAAAACAACAGCAGTACTGCAGAGAATGCACGGGGGAAATCTTTGAGGTTCTTTTGCTTGATGCACTGCACTAAAGTTACCTCACAAACCAGCTGATGCCCATTTCCCTCCCCTCCTCACCCATTTTTCTGCCCTTTCATGGGGAGGGCCTGGGAGTCCTGAGCCATGCTGTGAGTGGGCCTAAGGCCAGAGCCACACAGCCTGGGATGGTTCCTGGCCCAGCAGGGAGGGGACGTGGAGCTACAGCAACAGTGCAGGGCTGGGAGGCCTGCTGGAGCCACAAGCCGGGATACAGTGTTTGCCCCGCCCAGCAGGGAGGGGCTGGAGCTGAATCCCACAGATCAGCCAGCTAGGACCCCTCAAAGAGGACCAAGACTGGAGACACAGGAGCCAAGACAGTTCCCCAGCTGAGCAGGGAGGAGGCCTGGGCTGGAGCTGTTCCAGGTGGAACCTGGCATTTACTAAACATAAGCCTACCTGCTCCAGTGAAACAAAGACCTCAAATACTGCATAAAAAAGCGGGCCTACCATGATAGCCTAGTGGCTAAAGTCCTTATCATGAGTGCACTGGGATCCCATTTGGGTGCCAGTTGGCGTCCCAGATGCTCCACTTCCCATCCAGCCCCCTGCTTATAGCCTGGGAAAGCAGCAGAGGATCACCCCAAACCTTGAGACCCTGCACCTGCATAGGAGACCCCAAAGAAGCTCCTGGATCCTAGCTTCAGATCACCTCAGCTCTGGCCATTGTGACCACCTGGGGAGCAAGCCAGCGGATGGAAGATCTTTCTCTGTCTTTCCTTCTCTTTGTATATCTGCCTGTCCAATAAAAAATAAAATAAGTTTTTAAAAAAATATGGTTAAAAGATAAGTACAGCCTTTTGCTTTCTAAAGCTTAAGGCTGTAACACTTTACGCCATGTTTACCAACCTCTTCTCGTGATCCTTTCTAGAAGCTGCTGTTTGGCTCTCAGTAGGTCAGATGACACTAATCTTAAAAAAAAAAAAAACTGACTGGCTTTAGGCAGTTTGGCCTATACTTCAGGCCAATTTTTACAGCAAGTCCCTAACTTTGTTGACATTCTTATCTAAAGTAGCCAAGCATAATACTCTGGCCTTACAATAAAGCTTTGCCTGCCAAGGAGAGGCAGGCCAGGGGCCTGACACCAGGGTCCTAGGCAGACCAGACCCACAGCATGCCAAAGTCATGATCTGGGAGTACACAGCCCAGAGGCCTCAGGGTCCCATCTTTTTCTTAAAAAATATATGCCAGAAATCAGAATAAAAATAAAGGAAATGATATTATAAAGGGCCAGGGCCATTTTCCATAGCTCTGTGACCATTTCAAAGCAAGAGCAACTACTGGGTCCCTGCCACAAGAGGGAGAACTGCCTGCATCTAGGCTGCTGGCTTCAGCCTGCTCCAGTCCTAGAGGACTGCCTGCATCTGGGGCTGCTGGCTTCACCCTGGTCCAGTCCTGCTGGTTGTGCCTATTTAGGAAGTGAATCAGTGGAATAAAAGGATTTCTCTCCATGTGTCTGTCTCTCCGTTTACCTTTCAAATAAAATGAAGTAATGATTTTAAAAAGATAAAAAGAAAACCTTTAAGATAAATTTTACATAATATTGCTGTATTTCATTTCCAGGTTTCACACGGACTCTGAACAAAAGGATATCCTAGGATGTAGCATAGTGGCTCTAAGACACAGCACTTAATGACCAAGGGATTTAGGACAAATTACTTCACTTCAAACACCTTATTTTCCCTATCTTTAAACGGTAACCTAGTGGCCAAAGTTCTTGCTTTACATGCTCCAGGATCCCATATGGGCACCAGTTCATATCCCGGCTGCTCCACTTCTCTTCCAGCTCCCTGCTTGTGGCCTGGGAGGGCATTCAAGGCGCAAAAGCCTTGGGAACCTGCACCCATGTGGGAGACCTGGAACAGGCTCCTGGCTGCTGGCTTTGGATTGGCTCAGCTCCAGCCACTGTGGCCACTTAAGGATTGAACCAGTAGATGGAAGATCATTCTATCTCACCTCTCTGTAAATCTGACTTTACAATGAAAATAAATAAATAAAAGAAATGAGGATGAGGAGAAGAATTAAATGAGATCATCTGTAGAAAATGTTTAGAATAATAAGCTGGCACATGAAAGCATTTTAAAAATGATTAAAGTAGAGCTCATAAAATCACAGAGGAACAAGGGTCGCCAGCACCCAGGAAGTGCGGGAGGAGCAAAGGCAGACAGGGAGGAAAATGGTCACAGCTACACACAGGAGGGAAGTGGCACTGACGCCCTTAACAGAGCAGGGTGACCACAGCCACATCGATGAATTATTCATTCCAGAACAACCAAGGAAAAGTGTGTGATAGTCCCCAGTGCACAGAAGGGGGGAGGAGGAGATACTAGCACCTTTCCCCGATTTGATCATCACACACTACACAAGTACTGATTATGGTGCTGGACTCTTCAGAGAGGCACACAATTCTACGTGTCCCAGCAACACAGATGCGACAGACACCACCGTTACCTCTTCTCCTCCCTCATCTACGAGCGTCCAGGTCCCAGACGCAGGCCCCGAGGAGGACGGCTTCTGCTCGCTGGGCTTCATGTGGCACATAAACTCCGCTCGATTTCTAAGGAACAGAGGCACTCACGTCAACAGCGAGTCCCGGGTGCACCCTGCTCCTCTTCCTGCCCTCAGTCCTCACACGCTTCCAAAAGCCATAGGAACTGGCTGGAGACCAAAGTACCAAAACCTCACTCTCTTCAATGGAGAGACCTCAGGCACCCTAAGTTAGTAGAGCCGTGTTCCTGCAGGGGAATGGTTAGACTCGCACAGCTGCTGATGCTCAGTGGCCCTCTGTGCACATGGACTGCTGCTGAAGCTGAACTGAAATCACGCTGACAAAGGGTGACCAGGGAGACAACTTCAGGAAATGGCCCTCACCAAATAAAAAAGGATAACACAGCTAATGCAGAAACTTGGGTACGGTCAGAAAGTTCTCAGAAACGCAGAAATTCTGGAAGGGCAAATCATACCTGCCACATGAAGGTGCAGCCCTGCATGCGGACCATAAGGAAGAGGCAGGGAGAACTCCAGCCAGCCAGGCTGCCCTCACACGGCTACATCTGCCTGACAGGCAGGCAGAACCCAGCTAGTCTCTCCTCTCAGTTCCTTTCTCCTTCCCCGACCCTGAAAACCCAACCGCTCCTACCTTTAATCAGAAACCTTCTTCCATAACCTCTAGCTTGGTAGCGACAGTGCTGTCCCTCTGTCCACATGAATCCCAACCCTGGACCTCAGATACCTCTGGCATGTATCCCTTGTATGTGTCCACTTAAATGTGTCAATGACCTCAAATTTCCCTCCTTATAAAACATCTCTCTTTTCTATCTATTCTCAGCTAAGACTGCCAATACCCTGTCAGTCACTTGGATTCAACACAGGATATCTGACCCACTCCTCCACAGTTTCTATTTAATCAGCTACTATAGCCTTTCCTGGAAAGATGACCTTTAGGTTCCCCCTCTTTGTTACTACCAATTCCCCCATCCAAGCCCTGAGGTAGACAGACAGCAATAACTCTTTAGGCTCACCTATGCACTGATCCTGCCTTCTCACCATGTAACATGCAGCCTCTTGATGCTCAGTATACTCCAGTGCCACAACAGCCAGGTCTCTGACCCCTTGCAGCTCAGCCTGCCTTCAGTCCATCCTAATCTTGTTTACATACAACTCTTAGCCCTGCTCAAAAACCCTCCACTCCTGCAAAGGCCACATCATATCAAACTAGATTCTTCTTCTATCTTATTTCAAGGACTTAAATAACCCAAGCCTCAGTTACACACCCTTATTACCAGCACCTGCACATGTCTTCACTCCAGCCAAGCAGGGACCTGTCCGCTGCACAGAAATCCTGGCCACGCTGGGACTTCTGCTCCCATTGTTTGTACTTCCCTGCTTCCTTTGCCCTTCCCTCAACAGGAACACCAACCCATTCCCAAAACTCAGCTCATGCAGCATGAAACCCTCAGCAGCCACTCCACTGAGTTCTATTCACTTCTCCGTTCTGTCAGCTCAGTACCCAAGTCTCCTTGTGTTTTCCCCTCTTGCATTAAATCTTTTTTTAATTTTTTTTATTGTTAATCACATTGTATTATGTGATATCGTTTTGTAGGCACTGGCATTCCCCCTACCCCTCCTACAACCCTACCCCCACGTAAACCTCTTCCAAGGAAGAGGTCATCCTCTTTGTGGCACCTTTCACAATAGCACATATGGCTAAAGAGGCAAATCCAAAACAGGGTGGTTTGTACAGAGCAATCAGTCATTCTGGGGCCAAGGATATCAAACCCAAACATTATGTGTAACAGTAAATTCTAGAATGCTAACATTTCCCTTAGCAGTCCTTTTATTCAGATCTGGGGAGATTAAACAGCCAACCCTCCCCTAGAAAAAAGGTACTTTGATTCCTCCTTCACGGAATTCTTCCACACTTACTTGACAGGAGACATCAGCAAGGCAAGGGACTGCATGAAATGAAAGACTCCTGAGGGGTTATTCAACACTTTGATCTGAAATCAGAAAAGCAAAAAAAGGACACTGTAGAATACAATAACCCAGTGTCTATAACCAGCCACAAGAGGGAGACACAGGGCAGGGGTTGTCTGGCACCAATGACTCAGCAGTACACTAAGAGTTTAACAGGCAAATAACAAGGTGGGATGAAGGCAGGGACCAGCGCTTTAGCACAAAGGAAAGGAAAACCAAAAAAAATCTGCCTCCTGCCTCAAAAGAGTCAGAAGTACTAAAGTGCAGAAGTTGAACCTGGCATGCATTTTGATTCCTGTGCATCTGACTGGCTGCTATGGGTGACAAAGGCAGGCAGCAGAGAGGAGAAACGCTAACAGCAGAGTCACAGGAGCCCCAGGCTCTGCTGGCGTAAAGGAAGCTGGAGCGGCTACAGCTGTAATGTGGGATGAACTGATTCAGGAAGCAGTGTGCATCAGCACAGCCTACTTGCAAGGAACTTGACAGAACTAAACAACTCAATATTTGCCTTTCACAATTTTATCAAAGGAAGGTGGCCCAAAGAAGTTTCCGCTCTACAGATCAGGTGTTGGATCTATTTTGGGGATTTTATTCCAAATATCCGTTAATTAGCAACTTCTTCAGGAGAACTGTAGAAGGGACACAGACTCAGAAGGCTACGTGTCACCGCACCTGGATGAAAGGGACAGCCCATTTACTGACGCCAGCCGGGCACCGCAGAATATGGTTGAGGAGGAAGAGGTGATCTCCAAGAGCACCGACTCTTTGCAACACTGCCACCTAAACATAAAAGACACATGAAGACATCTGTTACCCAACGCTCACACATGCTCACTCTTTCAAAGAGCTAACCAGACACTGGAGTATTTCAATTAAAACACCACAGGTAGTTTCTCTCAAAATCTAATTTTTAATTTTCTGGCAAATTACAATTCACTATTTCAGGCTATACATGAAAAGATTTAGGTCAAAAAGTTTAATCTACTCTTATTTTGTTATAGTGTCCCAAATCTAAGTATGCTCGAACATCTTATATTTATGAACTCTAGCATGTGGTCCGGCGTGGTGGCCTAGTGGCTAAAGTCCTTGCCTTGTAACCACCAGGGTGCCGGTTTGTGTCCCGACTGCTCCACTTCCCAACCAGCTCCCTGCTTGTGGCCTGCGAAAGCACTCAAGGCCTTGGAACTCTGCACCCTCATGGGAGAACCACATTCCTGGCTCCTGGCTTCAGATTGGCTCAGCTCTCTGGCTTATGCAAACACTTGGGGAGTAGACCAGCAGATGGAAGATCTTTCTCTCTCTCTCCTTTTCTCTGTAAATCTGACTTTCCAATAAAAATAAACAGATCTTTAAAAAAAAAAAAAAAAGAATACTAGCATGAATCTTGAAAAGCACCCAGGGGTAGGTGTTTGGCACTGCAGCTAAGACTTTGCTTAAGATACAAGCATCCCAAACCGGGGTACCTACATTCAAGTTCAAGTGCCCAATATCCTTCCAATGCAGGCCCCTGGGACGCAGCAGTGATAGCTCAAGTGGCTGAGTCCCTTCCCTGCCCCCATGGGAGACATGGACTGAGTGCCCAGGTGCTAAGCACCAGGGAGTCAGCAGGAAGGAACCAGGAGATGCGAGCACTTTGTGTCTCTTTCTGTGTATCCAGCCTTCAAATAAATTTTTAAAAGTGTCCAAGGCTGCTCCATTGAAGATTACAAGCAATAAACAAATACTCCTCTCTCTCTGTAACACACTAACATCTTTCCTAAGTCTTCTAAATCTGAACGCTTTTCTCTCTCTTAAAAAACAACTTTTAAAAAATGGTGATTTAATGTGTGATCTCAACTAAACAAGTTATGTTTAACAATTGCTCTTGAGATTCTCACACTTTATAATTTCTTTTTTTTTTTTTTTAGTTTTTTTTTTATTGACAATCTTTACATAGTTAATTAGGGTAAAAAGGTTCAAGGACTATAGGAAAGAGGGTAAGACTATTATTTTTTCCATATTGTTTCCTTCATGTTTAAAGGGGGGTATTAAGGGAGAAGGCCCACCCAATTTCCCACCCTCCGCAGGTCCCGGATGTAGGGTATGCTCAGGTGGTTTTGATATTTCAACTTCTTGAGTCAACTCACTATGTTTAGTACACCCAATTCATACTACTGCACCACATTTTTTTTTTACAACCTTAAGTTTGTTTATGGTCCCACTTCACAAGCTTTTTTTAAAGGTGACTAACTACAATATTAACCCTAAGAGGATAAAAAGAATGAGTTCTGAAGTTTTCAGATCAACTACTTATATCCTGGATCTGCACCCATATTCTTCAATGTCGCATTCTTCCCACAACCCTCCTACTTCCTAAACTGAAGCCAGCACCTGTGCCCAACACTACACCAGGTAAATAACTTACTGTCATGTGTCATCATCACAGAAAATTCAGAAACCAGCTCATTCAACTAACTGAAGAAGCATTCAAAGAAAAGATATATTGAAACACCAGATAATTCTTCCCCTACTGGGGAAATGAAGAGCCTTGCGTCCGTTTCTGTTCCTTACCAATTTCTGCAGCCAGAGAAGAACATCATCGTGGAACTGGGCGTCGTCACTGACTCTCCTGGTGAACATGAACAAGACACTGATGCATTCCTTCAGCTGACACAGATCCGAGGCAACACTTTCTGTCGGCTTAGAAGCTATAAATTGAGAGCAGGCTGAATGAGTCCCACACAAACAGTATTTTAGGTAGAGCTATGTTTAGAGTCTTCAATTAGAAGAAGCCAAAAACTAGCCTTACAATATTTAGTTCAGTTAAAAATTCAAAGATAATAAGCTGTATCACTACTACGCAAGGGAAAAATAACATCATAATTTTTTGTTATCTGAAAATCAACAGATCCCTGGCTCACCTTTAACTCTGATTAGTTAAAAAAAAAAAAAAAAAGGAAAGTTGGAGGTTAATTTAAAGAATCCTAACATCTCACCCCAAGTAAAAATTAAATAATCCAATAAGTATACTTAATACATATATAGTAATGGTTAATTTCTTTAAACTCAAAAAAAGATGAAAACTTCAAAATGTTGCAGATCTCTGTTGAGTTTCAGAACAGGCTAACTAGACAATCAAAAATAAACAGTGACAGAAGATAAAAAAAGTATTCTGACGATAAGGCTTACAATCAAAAACCATGTGGACTCAACTTGGTAACAAGCACATAAACTAGGACAGCAAGGGCCAGCACTGCTAGAGAGCAGGCATTCCGACATCCCAGGGAAGCAGAGGATGGTTGCCAGGGAAGGGAGGGCTGCCAAGAAATGTCATTAAAGTAGGTCTTCAGGGCCCGTTGCGGTAGCCTAACAGCTAAAGTCCTTGCCTTGAACATGCACCAGGATCTCATATGAGCGCCAGTTCTAATCCCAACGGCCCCACTTCCCATCCAGTTTCCAGTGGCCTGGGAAAGCAGCTGAGGATGGCCCAAAGCTTTAGGATCCTGTACCCACATGGAAGACCCAAAAGAAGCTCCTGACTCCTGGCTTCAAATTGGCTCAGCTCCGGTCATTGTGGCCACTTGGGGAGTGAACCATCAGATGGAAGATCTTCCTCTCTGTCTCTCCTCCTCTCTGTATATTTGCCTTCCCAATAAAAATAAATAAATCTCACAACAACAAAAAAAAAAAGGTAGGTCTTCAGCCTACATTGGGAGTGGGAGATAAAACGGAGGCAAAGTGGCACCTTGCAATAACAATCAGTATACAGTCAGATCCACCATGCTGCACCCATCAATTCTTGATTCATTCCAGGACTCAACGAGTGAGCCCTCCACTACTCACATACCTCGTTCTTGTTGAATTGCCAAAGATCTCAGAACAGCTGAACTATTCATTAGTGTGTAGAGATAAGACTCCACTTGCAACCTTGACAGCACAGAGGTGTAAGAATGAAGTGCCAGGGTCTGGTGGAGGTGCTCAGACTTGGCATCAAAAAGCTTCTTTAAGTCGCCCAGGGCACTTTCGTTCATCTCTACTCGTTGGTAGCGATGACAGCCATACACTTTCACTTGGTCTGCACAGACACCCTGCCAGAGGACACAAGAACCAAACACAAAACCAGTCACCCTTTGCATTTAAAGCATTCAGAGAACAGCTATACGATACAGAGGCTTAGGGACCATCTTCAAAGAGCTTATAAGCAAGGTTGGGGAACAATGCTACCCTGTGAAGAACACCACCAGAAAACAGGATCATGGGCCCCGGAAACACTGCCAACCATAAACAGATCACAAGTTCAGAGAAAACAAGGCTGGGGTGGCAGAGGAGGTGGGAGGAAGCAGCTGCAGCCACTGCTCGGGATACCCAGACCTTAGGAGAATGCCTGCTTTGAGTCCCAGCTATTCCACTTCTCAGGCAGCGGGTGCTGGCCCAAAGATGTGGGTCCCTGTAACGCAGCTGAGAGCACCAGGTTGAATTCCAGACTCCTGACTTCAGCCTGGCGCAGTCCTGGTGGTTCTAACCATTTGGGGAATGAACCAGCAAATGGAAGATCTCTCTCTATCTGTGGGTGTGGGTGGGTGTGTCTTTCCTTCCCTCCCTTTCTCTCCTTTTCAAAAAGGTAACTTTAAGAAGTCAAGGAAAGGGCCCAGCGCAGCAGCCTAGCAGCTAAAGGCCTCATCTTACACACACTGGGATCCCATACAAGCGCTGGTTCTAATCCCAGCAGCTCCACATCCCATCCAGCTCCCTGCTTGTGACCTGGGAAGGCAGTCAAGGACAGCCCACATGGAAAACCCAGAAAACATTCCAGGCTCCTGGCTTCAGGTCGGTGCAACTCAGGCCATTGCAGCCACTTGAGGGGTGAATTATCAGACAGAAGACTTTCCTGTCTCTCCTCCTCTCTGTGTATCTGACTTTTCAATAGAAATAAGTCTTTTTTTAAAAGGTGAATATTAAAAAAAAAAAGTCCATGGCATTATGCCCCAGGTGACAAGCTAATGATCCATAGCTAAATTTGATTTCAGATATGATATGTCAGCCTAGACTGCGTAAATGTGTGTTTCATTAGATGGCAATATCTTCCCATTAGAAAGCCTAATGTAAAATTCCAGATTTCCAGTGCAGTGGCTAATCCTCTACCTGTTAGCATGGGCATCCCATATGGGATGTCCCAGATGTTCTACTTCTTATCCAGCTCCCTGCATACGGCATGGGAAGCAGCAGAGGATGCCTCCAAGGCCTTAGGATCCTGTGCCCGTGTGGGAGGCCCAGAAGAAGCTCCAGGCTCCTGCCTTCAGCTCAGCTCAGCTCTTCTGTTGTGGCTATCTGGGGAGTACACCAGCAGATGGAACATCTTTCTCTGTATTTCTTTCTATAAAACTGCCTTCCAGATAAAATAAGTAAATCTAAAAAAACAATCCAGATTTCCTACAAAACAGATTTCTCTACAAAAATCCTAAGCTGCCACACCGGACCAAAACAGTATAACAGGAACAACCAGCTGGGACTCAGGAACGGCTGGCCCCTGCAGATTGGACAGGAACTTAGCCACTAACCACTGTTCTATGCAGTCAGCTTCTCTCCAGGCTACAGCTGGGCCCCGTGGGCACCTGTGTTGTGATTCCTAAACTAAGGCTAAGACGGGGTCAACATGAGCAGACACCCACACTCCAGAGCTCCCTGGTATCAGAGATGACAGTCCCTCTGCAATTCCCTTTATCCCCTGACCACCTTAGGAACACTAGTCAGATTACCTGCACAGACACCTGCTCCTCCTTAAAGTGCCACAGTCGACTTTTAGCATTCTGGCAATCCGCCGTCAGAGTCAGAAGCTCAGCTTCGGCCAGCAGCAGTTGCTTCCTACATCGTGAGTAGTTCAGAAGCAGCTCATAAAATTCATGCCTGTCCTGATGAGCCATACTGTCAAACTCTTCCTCATATGACTCAACATTTTCCAGCCAAGAGCCAGGCTCCAAGATTCTCAGCTGTTCTTTAGTGAACGGTGCTAGCTCGGGCTGAGACGGGAGCTCCGGGTACAGTCGCTGACTACAGAGCAAGGGCTTCACCGCCACCAGAGATGGCACTTCAGCCACCTCGGCAGGCAGCTGGGGGTACAGCTTCCTCACTCGAGCTGGCTGGAAAATGTCTTTGGCTTCACAGGATCTCGGCACGCCAACGTTCTGTAGCACCTCTACAGAACCACTCAGGGTGGGTTTTTCTTCCATTTCTCTGACATTCGAATTCTCCATTTCCTGCTGAAAGCAAGAAAAACCAGACTGCAACACGCCTTCTGAAGGTTCACGCTGCACCGACCTACCCTCCTCCACTTCCATCCAGGTCCTGGGAGGCTCCCCTTCATCTCGGGCGTTGACATTCAGCTTGCTTAGACCATCCCTGACACAGGCACCATGCTCCTCCGCTTCCTCCAGAGGCTCCATGTGACACGTCACGGACCCTTCAGTGCTGAGAGTCAAGGAGGTGAGTGGTATTTCGAACATGTCACTTTCGCTGTGTCCCCCGGCATCCCTCTGGAGTGGGGACTCGGCTAACTCCTTCAGGTGTTCTCCCAGGACCTCACGAGGTAGAGACGGGACCTCCTGCTCCGTGGAGAGCTTTGGAAGGGAGGTTTCGGACTCCTCCTTCTGCAGGGTTTCATATTTCTTCTTTTCCTGAAAGCAAGATTTAGAATATGAAATAACTTAGAACAAAAAGCGATGCTCTCACCATGAGAATTCATACACAGTTCTTAAACTGTATGTGAAAATCTATGTTGGCATTTAACACGGGGAGTTGAACTTTGCTTCAGGAGCCGTATGTTGCCTGTTTTGTATCATCACAGTTTTTGAGTATACTCAGATTGGAGATGCTCTGCTCCAATTCCTACAGAAAAATCAGACAGTAAATTATGTTTCAAAACTGAAGAGGAAAAGTCTCAATTTGATTTTCATGACCTGGGCAGAGATCAAGCGAAATAGGTCCACTCAAAACTAAAGCAGAAAACACTGGGACAATTTGAACAGTAAATCAACTACAGGATTGGAATAAAAATCTGCAGAACAAAATCAATACTCAGGAGCAATAAGTAGCTACAACATAAAAAACCACCTAATAAGCAAATTAAGTGGGCAAGAAGAAGCAGGACCATAGTAGAAAAGCTGCTGAAGTTCGGAAGAGGCCTAGATTGCAGTTCCCTGCACTGCTTCACTGTTCATTACTTAGACTGACGAAAGTTCTAGGACACAGAATGGAAGGCTACTTAGACGGAAACTGCTGTGACTTGCTATGGTTTCACTGTGCCCCACCTCCTGCCTTCAAGGCTCCCATGCTACAAATTTTACTCCTACTGTAAGATATGAAGAGGTGGGAAACGTAACCTGACCATGGTATAGAGGTGGGGGACTTCCGAGGGGATTAAGCTTAGCTAGGTCATCAGAGAGGAGCTCCCGTGAGCTATACCAGTGGCTACAAAAGAAGACAAGGAGAAGAGCAAGGACAGCTGGTTACACACACACACAGTGTGTGCACCTACCTGCACATGCGCTCTGTCTCCTGCCATGGGACACCTTGTGCTACCCTAGAACCCTGTCAGCAAAAACAAGCATCGCAGAGACTACTACTGAGCACAGCAAACTAAGGACTTCCTGCGAAGCCAGCATTCCATATGAGCACAGGTTCACATCCTGACTGCTCCATAACCAATCTAGCTCTATGTTAATACTCCTGGGAAAACAGCAAGAGAAAGGCCAAGGCCTTGAGAGAGACCCGGATGAAGTTTTGGGCTCCTGGCTTCAGCCTTGTCCTGCCCCTGAAATCGCAGCCATTGGGGAGTGAAACACTGGATGAAGATCTCTATCTCCCTCTCCCATTCACCCCCACCTCTGCCCGCCTGCCTTTTGAATAAATAAAATCTTTAGGACAAAAACAGATAGGCATCACAGATGCAGCCCCTCAACCCTGAGGCTCCAGAATTAGGAGCCAAACTAAGCGTCTTCATAGCCATGGCCGTGGCACACTGGGTAAAACTGCTGCCTGCAGTGCCAGCGTCACATATTAGCACCAACCTGAGGCCCAGCTGCTCCACTTTCTATCCAGCTCCCTACTAATGTTCCTGGGAAACCAGAGGAAGACAGTGAAGACCCTGGACCCTGTAACCACATGAGAAATGTAACTGAATCTACTAGCTCCCAGCTTCAGCCTGGTGCAGCCCTGGAGGATGCGACCACTTGGTAAGTAAGAAAGCAAATGGAAGACCTCTCTTTCTCCTCTCTATAACTCTGCTTTCCAAATAAATAAATAAATCCATGGGGGAAAAAAAGTACAAAACTTTGGGAACCCAGGAATATATTTTTGACATGTCATTTAGCAAAAAAGTCATTTCTTGAAAAGTTAACTTGGTTAGGGCGTAGTAACCCAGTGGCTAAATCCTCACTTTGCATACACCAGGATCCCATATGGGTGCCAGTTCATATCCCAACTGCTCCATTTCCCTTCTAGCTCCCTGCTTGTGGCCTGGGAAAGCAGTCAAGGCCTGCCCAAAACCTTGGGACCCTGCACCCACGTGGGAGACCCGGAAGAAGCTCCTTGCTCGTGGTTTCGGATCAACTAAGTTCCAGCTGTTGTGGCCACTTGGGGAATGAACTAGTGGATGGAAGACCTCTCTCTCTGTATATCTGCCCTTCCAATACAAATAAATAAATCTTTTAAAAAGTTAACTGACAAAGATAACATAAAATGAACCGTGGTTTTTAAAATATCTGTGGCATGTGGCTGGGCTGTATGCATCACTCAACAGTAAGAACCGAATGGGTGTGGGCTGGCTGGGCAAGGCCACTGTCCCTGTCAAGACAGGAGGTAGACTAAACCAGTCTGGGCCAAGGACCCAACTGTGTGCACAAGATATGCCACTGGAAGGAGACCTGATCGAGGAGCTTGGGGAACTCCTCTGTCAGGACTCAGTCCCTGCAGGTGAGCACAAGAACCAAGGCTGCAAACAGCCCAGACCTGGCCAAGTTACAGTAGACGCCGCTTCACTGTCCATCTGACTCCCTGCTTATGATCTGGAGAGACAGCTGAGGATGGCCCAAAGCTTTGGGGAAAAAAAGAGAGAGAAAAAAGCTAGTGTTTTGATTTCAAGAATGGACTAGCCAACCAAGAGAGGCAGGGAGCAAGGGGCTTAGGGGTGAGGGAGGGGAGGAAGGACAGACCTGGCCTTGCTCCCTCTGACCCCTGCCATGTGGTAGGGGCACCACTCATAGGGTGTCTTCAGTCACACAGTGATCATTCACCTTCAAAAGCCAGGGACTCCGGAGCAGCATGGAGGGCTCCGAGCAGCATGGAGGGCTCCGAGCAGCATGGAGGGCTCCATGGGGATCCTTTCACTTCTCCAAAGCCCAGAGAAGGTAACAAGTCCTCAGCAGCGTTCAGATTCCCATTCTCTGCTCCACCAATAAATCATCCCAAACGCTACTACAATCTAACCACCACAAAAATTGTCCTGGCTCTTCTGAATGCAAGACGGACTCTCCTCTGGCATTCCAGGCCCTCGATGATTCAGTCATGATCCTGTCCCAAAGCAAACCTTTCTGAACAGACTTTCCTTTGAATGCCTGTGACAGACACTAGCCATGTGCTATCTCTGGCTATTTCACTTTATGTTCTGTCTCCTGGAACAGACCATAAGTATTGCCAAGAGCAAGGACTATAACGTATGCCTCTTCAGAGTTGATCTGCCTCTAATCTTCAACACTGAGTTAAAAAAAAAAACAAAATGTTTCTTGAGATAATACTGATGACCTGTAATTCATAGGATTAAGTACTATTTGTTGAACTCTGTCCCAGGTACTAGAATTCCTTTTTTTTTTTTTTTTTCATTTTATTTTTTGTTGCTCACATAGTTGACAAGGATACATACCCATGAGGACCTCTGATTAGGGTGGGGAGAGTCCAGACAGACACAGGGGAGGACAGGTGGGACAAAAGCTTCACATTTTCCTTTTCTTCCCTTTTCCCCTATATTCTCCTATATGGGGGGGGGGGGGTGTAGTTCAGTTCCTGTCACTTTTGAAATTACACTCATTCCCAAAGTGATCCAATCCCATTTCTGACTTTAAATACCAGTACATAGTAATGATTCCCAGATCTACCTCCAGCTTTTAAGCTCTCCCTCTCTCTCAAAAACTAGATTCACAAACTCACCCTAATCCACATTCCCAAGTGAATATTTAAAGGATATTTGATTTGAAAATTAAGATACGCAAAACTGAACTCCTGATTAATTGTCTCCCAAAAACGTGTCCCACCCTCTGCTTTTCCATCTCGGGAGTTTTGATTGCTTTCTCTCAATCCACTTCCAAAACCCAGCCAACCTCAGCTCTGACTTCTCTCCACCCTCTTCGGCACAACTCTGCTCCAAGCCACATCACTCTTACCTGAATTACTGCAACAGTCTCTTAAATCATGTATGTTCAACTCTTGGCGCTTACCTATTTTCAGCAAGCACTGAAACCCACTCCTCGGTTCAAAACGCTGAGGTTACTCCCAATGCCACTCAGAGTAAAAGCCAGTTATTGCCCCAGGTGACCTGGCCGATACTACTTTCCAACCTCATCCCCTAACCCCCCCTCCCTCGCTCCACCAACCACTGCCTCCTCGTGGTTCCTGGAACATCACCACAAGGCATTGCCTCCCAGCCTCTCACCAACTGTGTCTTCTGCCTGGAACACTCCTGCCAAGTACTCACACGGCCAGCTCCCTCATGATTTTCATGGCTTCAATTAAATGCCACGTTTAATGAGAATTACCCCAACCACCTGTGTGAAAATGCAACATTTCCTGATGGAGATGAAGCAGGGATCAAGGAGGGGTAAGGCTCCAAGAATGACCACCACCCAGATTCACACGGCCACTCCTCACCATGCAGCCAAGCCTCACTTTCTATCCTGCCCCAGCCACTCTGACGCCCTCTTCCTGGAGATAACCCCAGAGCCTGCAGCCCAGCCCAAATTCTGTCTCTGCTGGGTCTTTAACCAGGCCCCTATCCTGAACACCACCCCTACCCCAGAAAACAACAGCGCTAGCCTGCATGGGAGCAATTTTCTCTGGAAATTTCCCACACTTCTGAGTGTGTACTGCCTTTGTGCCTCTTAGTAGACCCTGCTCTGATTCCCCACCTGCACCTCCCAGTTGTATTCTCACATGCAGGAAGACAAGAACCTGAACTAGGTCTAGCTGGGGGTCTCTATGCGCCAAGGCAGGAAGACTCTCTGGGACTCCTCTGGGGACCAGTGAGAGTTTAACGAACTGGAAGGCACAAAAGAATCTCACACTACACAACACAATTCACTCCTATAACCCGCAACCCGCGAGGCAGGGAGGGAATGTAGGTGGGAATCAACCATTCAGTCCTCGAGCAGATGGGGACCTAGAGGCCTTTCCATCTCAGCCTTAACTGTTGAGTTGCTGGGATTCAGAACTTAACATTGCCTGTTTAAAAAAAATAAAATAAATACTTCCTGTGACTATAAAATATACTACTGCTGCAGAGTAAGTCCAAATCTAAGAATCTATTGTTCCTAACTCACGATTTACCAAGATGCAGGCAGTCAGCATCCTGAGGATGACACCACAGATGAAAGACAGGCATTGAGCACCAAACACGTAACCACAACCCAGCAACCTGAGATCATCTACCAGATAATTAGCACTGAGGAATGTGGGTCAGCTGCTGGGTCACATCCAGAAGCCGCTCAAGCTATCTGCAGGCAACGGCACGTGACACTGTCCACTTCCTGGCTGAGCCACGGGAGGATTCAGTAAATAGTCACCCGATTGTGTCAGCCAGCATGGCTTCATTCACACAGCCTTTATATGCAACACCAAACATAGCTCCACACCAAGAAGTGCATCTATGCACTCTTAGGAGAATTCATTTTCTTGACTGACAAGTAGGGTAGGAGTACCTAGTGCTGTTGTGGACTTTTTCCATTCGCTTTCTCACACTCACCAGAAGACATTTACTAGAGCAAATCTTCCGCATGACGAAGCTTGCAAATACGCTTCAGCACTGGCATTTCTTTATTCATTCAACAAACACTGTCGGTGGAGGAGGCCACCAAGGGGGAAGTGGGGTGGGGGAAACCCCAGTACCTATGCAACTATATCTCATAATACAATGTAACCACAATGTAACCAATAATTTAAAAACTAAATTATATAAAAAAAGAAAGCACTATCAAGCGACTCTAGTGTCTATGAATGGCACAAGCCCCATCCCTCAGTGAGTTCATACTCAGAAGTGTTGGCAACGTAACTAACATGCGATGAGGGAAACTGCGGCACTGTGGGCTAGACGCTCTCATCCTGTTCGTAATACTGGTAAAGTTCCAGCTGTCCCACTTCCCATCCAGCTCTCTGCTTGTCGCCTGGGAAAGCAGTGGAGGACAGCCCAAGGCCTTGGGACCCTGCACCGGCACAGGAGACCCAAAGAAGCTCCTGGTTCCTGGCTTCAGATTGGCTTAGCTTCCCCCATTGTGGCTACTTGGAGAGTGAACCAGTGGATGGAAGATCATTCTGTCTCTCTTTTCTGTAAAATCTGCCTTTCCAATAAATGAGAATAAAAAAAAAGTAACAAGAGAATCCTCTTACCTGACGGTTTCTAATCCTTACAGTCTCCTCACAGAAGTGCATAAGCATGTGGATATCTGAAGTAACTGTTAAGCTACATTTCTGGCTTTCACCCGATTTCTCTCGCTAAGTATGTGGCGCTGCTGGCCATCTGAGCTCTCTAGTCTTTAGCTTCTCCCTGTATTTGGAGGTGAGGGGATACTAGCAATCAATACAGGGGACTCTCCAGTGCTGAGGCTGGATGACTAATGTTTACACCCACCCCGTGGTCTGGGCTCAGGGATCTCCTGCAGAGCGTTTTGTTTTGTTTTCCTTGCTCCTGTGCCTGGATGGTTCTTCAGCAACCTAACACAATGCAAAATTATTTCTCTTAAAAACGTTTCTGTAGGCTCAGCATGACAACCTAGCAGCTATAGTCCTCGCCTTGCACGCACTGGGATCCCACATGGTGGCCGGTTCATGTCCCAGCTGCTCCATTTCCATCCAGCTCCCTACTTGTGGCCTGGGAAAGCAGTCGAGGACGGCCCAAAGCCTTGGGACCCTGCACCTGCATGGGAGACCTGGAAGAAGCTCCTGGCTTCTGGCTTCGGATCGTCTCAGCTCCAGCCGTTGCAGCCACCTGGGGAGCAAACCAGCTCATGGTTCTCTCCTTCTCTCTGTAAATCTGACCTTGCAATAAAAATAAATTTTTTCAAATGTTCCTGTACTTGAGTACCAAGACAGCCATGAGACTATCTCCTCACAGACCTGGATACACTGATGTGCCTAACTCCACAACAGCTTTTTCACAAGCCATCACGAGAGGAATCTGCTTAAGCCATTTAGGGCTCACTAAACACGGGACTTAGGAAAACCAGTTTCCTGTAAAAGCCCTGTTCCCAAGGATCACGTTTACATCACACCCGCTTCTGAACATCAACCACTAGTGTGGAAAATCCCCTGTAATTGTAACACCATCCCTAGTACTTTCTGAACGTAAACTCTGTCTCAGATTGAAACCAAAATGATGTAGGTCTGGCCACCTTAGGGTAGCTCTAATCTATTCGCTGTAGAAAACGTGTAAGAAGCAAATCAACTTCAAAGCACACTAGAACTATCCGGGGTCTAACCTAGGAAATCCAGATTACTCAAGCACGCTCCTACTGCCCGAGTCCTGCTGTACACTAACTTCTAGAAACTTCCAGATATCCGCGCCCCACGGATATGCTACACCTGTCCGCACCAGTCGCTCCCCACGCAGCCCCGGCAGAAGGACGCCGTCTTCACGCGGACAGGCTCCCTTCCCGTGCTAGGGAAATTAAGCAGAAGAGTCAACCATGGAGACGTAAAGCGAACGCTGCCTCAGGAAACCGAACCCCCTGAGCAACCCGAGCCTAGGGGAGTCAGGGAGGAGGCAGAGAGGGATGGAGGCGCAGAGCCGCCTAGGTGGCTGGTGGAATCCCACCCGGGATCCGAGGGACAGGAGCAGAGCCCCGGGGGGACCGAGGCAGAGCCATGGAGGAAGGGGAGCGGAGCCGCCGGGGAACAGGGGCAGAGCCATGGAGGAAGGGGAGCAGAGCCGCCGGGGGACAGGGGCAGAGCCATGGAGGAAGGGGAGCAGAGCCGCCCGGGGACGGGAGCAGAGCCGCCGGGGGACAGGGGCAGAGCCATGGAGGAAGGGGAGCAGAGCCGCCGGGGGACAGGGGCAGAGCCATGGAGGAAGGGGAGCAGAGCCGCCCGGGGACGGGAGCAGAGCCGCCGGGGGACAGGGGCAGAGCCATGGAGGAAGGGGAGCAGAGCCGCCGGAGGACCAGGGCAGAGCCGCCTGCAGAAGCCGAGGAGAGGGCAAGGAGCAACGCAGCAGAACCTGGGCAGGGTCGGCAGGAATCCTACCTTGGTTTTCGTGCGGCTGGCCTTAGCCTTGGCCCGGCGCTGCGGCCTCACCGCCTCGGCCATAGACGCTGCGGCGGCGCCGTCGCCGTTTGTTTTGGTCAAACCCAGCGCTTCGCGCAGCCTGCTCAGGTCCAGCCCGGTGTCACATGACCGACTCTCCACCACTCCCGCTGCAGGGACGGCTGCCCCGGGGCGCTACGGACCGCCGCGTAGGACAAACCACTCCGGGAGGCCCTGGGATTGGCAGAGGGCGGCCCCGCCTCCTCCGGCTCCGCGGGACCGGCCGGGTTACCTGGGCACCTGCAGCGGCTGTCCAGGATGACACGCACTCTCCGCCTCCTCAGTTGCGCCCCCACACCGAGCCCACAGGGACTTCAAGAACTGCGGGGAAGTGCTTAGATAACCATGTCGTTTGCCCGAGTCTCTGCGAACCTTCGGTAAGGGGGAATGCGAATATCTGTCCGAATATCCTAAGAACTAAAGGATGCCATCGTGACAGCTGCAGCGCAGGCTCAGATTTCCGTTACTATGCGCGTCCCCAAGCTGGGACAGACGTCCACTCCGAAACAGAAGTAGAGAGACCCTGAATACCAATTGCAGAGGCGAAAAATCTGGCCCCATCTCCGTCTCCCAGCTTTGGTATTTCTTTTCCTAAGCACTTAAAATCTGTTTTAAAATGACATCTTTGTCGGCTCGTCGCTGGCACTGGGGGCTAATTCTGTCAAGTTAAACTCCAAATCCACCTGGAGAATGCATGATCTGGGAGTGGGAGTGGCCTAGTAGGAAAATAGTGGGCACCTCCCTCTTGGGTTACCACTCCCACAGAGCATGAGAACCAGGACAGGGGCAGGAGTGGCTAAACAGAAAGGTACCTGCCAGTATGTGTATGGGCTGGATAACAGGGCTGGTTGGGTTGAACTAGGCTTCAATGCCCATTGACAAGTACGAGAGCTAAATGGGATGTGGGACAGACCGAACAAATCTGTGGTACATAGTGGCATGCATTTTTTTTACCTTGATTAGAAAATCAGGTTTACAGAGAGGAGACAGAGAAATATCTTCCATCTGCTAATTCACTCCCTAAGTGACTGCAAATACTAATTAAAGTACTATAATTCACACAGTATCACGTCATTGCAAAATGTAACACTGCTGGGCTTCCCAAGTCAGCCAGTTTCTGGGACAGTGACAGCTGCTGATCAAGGAACCCTGGGTGACTCTTCTTGACCTCACAAATTCCGTTCCAATGTCTCTGCTGCCACCTGGTGGCTTTTTCTCCCAATGCTGCAATTGCTCACACGTGATTTCCCAGAAGCCATTCAATCTGCAGATAGTTCATTACTTCCTCTACATCGCTTTGTTTGACATTCTTTCAACATTCCTAGCTACTAAATACCCTCTGCAAAATTGAGAAATTGTGGCATTTCTATATTTTTTCAATTTCTGAAGACAACTCACACAGCTTTAAGCCAAGTAAATGCAGAGTTCCAGCCTACATTTAACAGACTCTTACACATATGAAATCTTTTCACCAAGACTTCTGTTTGCTTAAGCAGAGAAGCATATACATCTTGTCTTTTTTTCTATCATTTCCTCTTCTCATAACCTTCCCCAATAAGAAAAAAAAAAAACTCAAATAGTGATTGGCATCCCCAAACAGACTCAACTGGTGTCCCATTATTTGGCATCTGTATTTATTTATTTCTTAAGGCGACTGCAACCACCAGTGTGAATGTAGGTGATGGACTGAATTTCAACCCACACTGCCTGACACATGCAGGAGTGAGATTGGGGTCATCTCTGGTGAGGTTTCTTTGGGGACTGCCTACCCACCCTCCAACTGGCTCGTTGGATTCAAACCCCAAACCATGGTGAAAATACAGCTGTGTGTCAGAACTGGGCCTCCTCAGCTGCCGAAGACCATGCAGTGAACAACACGCCCAGCTACATGGGAGACATGACAACCAATTCATTGAGGCCTCCAGAGGACATCTAGTACTATGGAGGGCAGAACAAACTGGACTGCTCTCCTGGTCAAGCTTTGACAGCAAGTATCTAGGTGAATTAGTGTGGGGAGGTTCAGGTTGGAGGAAGGAGAGTAGGACAAATATTTCATTTTTTTTTTCTCCTGTGTCGCAGGGGTGGAGGGGAGTGATGGCCACTCCTTGCAAGCTACATCAGCACCTGAGGTGAAGGGCAATCATTTGATGACATCTTAGAGACCCTAGTGTGGGGAAGAGTGTTCTGAGGTTGTTACTGGAGTGGTTTTAATAGTTCTGAGAAGTTGGTCTCATTGCTCCAGTGTTGAGAAAATCTTTCCAAAGTCTATTGGCTGACGAAGCCCACCTTAGTGCATCTCGGGCCCAGGAACGTGCCGCAGAGCTTGGCCAGTAGGATTGTCCAACCTATTCTGCTTTCCATTCTCCGACAAGGCAGTTGATGTCTCCTACTGTCCTGAAGGAGCCGGCCATCACGTCCCCTTTGTGTGCCTTGCATTTTGTGCACCACACAGGCATCAGCAACTGAAGAGGCCCCGTCCCAACACATGCACTCCAAGGTCAGACCACACATTCTGTGATTTTTCTCTGTGGCCAGTGTCTGAATTCAGCATTGACTGAGGAGACCCCAAGAATCCTCACCTGGGGTGACCTCACACTTGACTGATGTGCACTAGCCAATAAAGAGTCAAACTCTGTTATCTGTGTCATTTAACACACATACCAGTGGATGCAGTTGCCTGGTCAGTTCCACCCCAGTTGGCTCAGCCAGAGCCACTGCCAGACCCAGCTCACAAGTAGGCTGAGAGGTGCTGCTGTCTTGTCCAGCCTGGCCCACCCCCAGCCCTGGTTCTTCTGCTCACAGCTATAGGTACAGCCTATAAGGGGAGTGCCTGCAGTTCCCCTGCCAGCCACATTCCCAGCTCTGGATTTTGCTCCTGCCAGGGAGTGCTGTGGTCCAGCCTGACATGACTGGCACCCAGTCCTGGCACTTGCCAGCTGATGCTATGGCCTTGCCCAGCCTAGCTCAGCCTGGCTTGCCTCCAGACTGGCCCACCCCCTGTTCCAGCTCTCATGCTCACCAGTGGAAGCAGAAACCCGGCAAGGGAGTCCCTGATGTCCCCCTCCCAGACTGTTCCCAGCAGGTGCTGTGGCCCAGTTGGAGATGGCCCGCCCCCAGTCTCAGCATTTGCCAACAGGTGCTGCAGCCTAGCTCAGCCTAGCTCAGCTCTAGTTCCATTTCTCGCTGGTGAGTGCAGCAGCGTCACCCAGCCTGGCCTACCCTCAGCCCTCAAGTGAATTGGTGGGTATTGTGGTCCAACTCGGCCTGGCCCACACCCTGTCCTGGTTGTCACTCATGCCAGTGTATGCTGTGGACTGATCTTGCCCAGCTCACTCTCAGATCCAGTTCACATGCATGTCAACCAGTGCTGCAGCCCAGCTTGATCTAGCCTGTTCCCAACAATGGCTCTTGTGCTCACCAGGCCTACCCATACTCTAAGCTCTTGCTGCAGCCTAGCCCAGCAGGCATGGGCCACACCCTTTCCTGGCTCTCCTGAGTGCCAGCAGGTGCTGTGGTCTGTCTATAGACCCAGCCCACACAAACACTGATGAAAGAGTGTTACAGACTTACCTGGCCTGACCCACCCCCAACCTTCGTTCTTGTGCTTCCCAGCAGGAACTGAGGCATAACTGGATAGTTCACCAGGTTCCCCTATCAGACTGCTCCCAGCCTATGATCTCATATGTGCCAGTATAGGCAGTAGCTATGCTTGGCATAGTCTGCCCTCAGGCCCAACCTTCGCATGTGCTGGTGGGTGTTGCAGTCTGGCCACACCTAGCCTTCTTCCAGCCCCAGCTCTTGCAAGTGTCAGGTGGGCTCTTGTCATGTGATTTCTGTAGTTCATCCTGGCTCGCCTTGTCATTTCCCCAGTTCTCTGTATAAATCAGCAAGTGCTACAGTCCCACAGAGGTAAGCCCAGAACTCCCCTACAGAATCTGCCCCCAGATTCAGTTCTCTCGCATTCTGGCCCAACCTGATGTGGCCTACTGCCTGCTCTGACACTCATGAGCAGGTACTGTGGCCTACCGCAGCCAGGCATGACCCCCAGACCCAGCTTTTGTCTGTGCCAATGGGTTGCAGGCAATACTGTTTAACCCAGCCCAGGTCTCCCATATGCACAGCTGCCTTGGCCTGAACTAGACATTCCCTCTGTTTCCCCATATTTAAAGAACTCCATCTCAGCTCCCCCACCTACCTGTGAGTGCACTGGCCTAGTTGGTGGAAGACCAACTAGATCATTCCTTCCCTGGAAACAAACATGCTTAGGCCACTCCCACTCCAAAGGTTCCCCAGACCCCTCTCCCCAGGAAATTTGCAGTTTCCTCACCTCCCTGTCCTCCTCAGTTGGATTTAACAAAAATTCTGTCTCCAAACAATATGGCGGCAGCAGGGGAGAGGGTATAGACTTCCACATGCAAATTTTGAAGGTGATACAACTCCCCCTTCATGGGGTGGTGGAGGAAGGTGAAGAACTTAGAAGTTCCTTTGCACTCAGGAACTTAGAAGTGTCTGGCCACAGTTTGTTTTCTAATCTTCCTGCTTGGTGGCTGTGCCTGAGTTTGCCTCGGAGGCTGTGACCTGAGGACGTAGTCAGAGTGAAGTACCATTTGCATGGGCACAGCCAGCTCGGAGCCACATGGGTGTGTGATGTTATCAGAGCACCACCCACAGCCACTCCTCCATGCCTACCACTTCCTCAAACGCTGGCCTAGCTTCCACCCACCAGGGGCCCTGTCAGCACCTGCTGCGGACATGCAGGCCCATGCATACATTTTAGCCCCCTCCCTCACCTTCCCACTTCCACACAGGTGCTTGCCGGGCTTGCCCCCAGACCAGAGCGCTGCTCCCTGGTTGCTTGTTCCGGGGTCCTGGCCCAAAAACCACAACATGCCTTAACTGCTCTGACTCCGCCAATGGCAGGCATGGTGAGCAGACAGGAGCCCAGGCCAGCACCTTGAACATGCCCAGGTCCTGTCTGTGCTGTTGATTACTGTCCAGAGCAGCAAAACCCAACTGGCCCTGGCCCTGAGCCAAAACTCCTTAAACTCCATCCCCATTGCCTGGCAGGAGACACCTGAAGTGTTAGGTTTTAAACACAGCTAATTCCCTCGGCCAAGTCCTCTTTGCAAGATTTGTTTACCACAAGCCAAAATCCGAGATGCAGAAAGGTGCTTAGGAGGTCCTTTATTCCAGCATGGTGGAAACAAGAAGGAGCACGAACACGCAGGGACATGTCTCCTGCTAAGGTGGCAGGATGGGGGCTGCCAGGGCAGGGAAAGGGGGCAAGATGGAGGAGATACGACCCAGGTGAGTCTGGAAGGTGTTGGAAGGGGCTACAGGCAGGCCCCAGGAACTGGTGACTGAGACTGTCACAGGTGATTGATGGGTGGGAGGGCAGGTGGGCGAGAACGGTGGGTGAGGTTCTCAGGTAAGACGCCATGAGGTTACATTTCATTGGTAGATAAACGGAACAGCATGAAAGTAATAGCACAGAGTCAAAATGACTGGAGCCTTCAGGGTCCATGTTCAAGTCACTCCTCACACACAGGAAAACACCTTTCTCTTGCTGTCCACGGCGAGGACAGCTGTAGCCCTCTGTACACACGGTCCCCTGAACAAGACTTGTGACTCATCACCCTTGGAAATACAGCCATTGCAGGAATTCCCATGACTACTTTTGAGGCAACCCTGGTTGCTGCTTTGCTGGAAGGAAATATCCCCCAGAAAAAGTACAGTAAGCTGAACTTGGGATGAGCTTCTGGAGGGTGCAAAGTCACTGCACCAACAGTCTACCAAGGAGGTCATGTTCACTGAATTTAACGCATCTGCTTAACTGACTGGCTTTCCTCCTTCATTCACTCCGCTTCTTCCTCCAAGTAGCTCTTTTCCATAGGTGCTTTGTTTTGGACTATCAACCCTTTCCTATCTGTGTCTTGTGCAAGAGATATAGCAGAAGAAAAGATAGCACAGTCCTGCTCTCATGGGGGTCACAGTCTTCTAGGGAAAACAGGGATTGAGCCATTAAATTCAAAAGCAATTGGATAATAACAAGAAAAATGAGGGCAAGAGGCCATACAGTAGTGTGATCCAAATTGGTCTCAAGGCAAGGATGGTGCCACCCAGAGCAAGTGGCATTGCCACTCAGGCTGGGAGGAATTTGTAGAAAGGGGTAGGGTACCACCTCCACTTGGCCTCCCCTCAGGGCACTTTATCATTCTGGTATCTCAATTACAAATGTAACAAGACTTGGAGAAAGATACAGTTAGCATAACAATGCACGACAAATCCCAAATCATCAAAAGCCTTTATTCTACTTCATATCAAACTGAAAGAGCAACAGAATGAAAATACGATTTTTTTTTCCATTCGGAAAACATCTTTACACCATTGCACTGACCAAGGGAAAGAGAAAATTGAAATCCCTGAGGAACTGCCAATAATAAATAAGAAAACACAGAGTATTCTGAAAACAAAAGAAAATTTCCTGAGCTTGTCTGGTTCGGGAAAATCAATGACCCTTTGCAAAATTCAGTTTCCCAAAAGGATATCCAACTGATGCAAGTTTCCCCTCTTGACAAGCAGCTGCTACACTGCTCACATTAAAAGAGGAGAAATGAGAACTCTTCTTTCAATTCATTTACGCACAGTTCTGGGAACATGAGTGCCCAGAGCAGAAGAAAAAAACTATGGCTTCTCAGGTTGGACTGAATATACTACTCTGTAGTATAGTACATACTGGAAAATGTAACCCTGACTCCCTAATACATTTCCCAATTAGAAAAATTCTGGCAAAAACACATGGTGTCCTAAGGTTCAGCAGGAGCACGGTGAGCTCAGCAGGGGCTGGCAGAGTGGTGATGTAGCCTGGCTTATGCTCGGCTTCTGGCTGTCCCTGGTCAGTTGGCAGCCCTAGATGAAACCCCAATTTCATCCTCTGGGCCAAATTTCCTCATCTGTGACATAGAATACACAATCAGATGGCTGCTAAATCTTCCAGCCTCAAAAGGCAAGGTCATTTCAATCTCGTGCCCCTGGGAACATGCGCCTGGATGAAAACTCCCCATCCCTGCTGCCCAGGGCTGGGTGAGCTCTTGCGCCAGTGCTCGCAGGGCCCCTTGGCAGCCACCTCTGCTGTCTCAGGAGCCAGCACTCAACCCAGAAACTGTTCTTGCTTTTCGACTAGGAAATAACTCACTCACAACTTCAGTACCTGTCTGAGAAAGAAAAATTCTTTGGTCTGGGGCAATTTGTAAACTCTATCAGGAAACTAAAGAGCTCTGTTAGCCTACATTGAACTAAAGAAATGCTTATCGTCAACTTAAGATATCAAAACATTACAGCAAGGGTTCACTTCAGAGTCATCATCAAGGGCAGGATTTAGCTGTGGATTCTGCCATTCTTGGTGCTTTTTCCACAGGAGCATTAGGTGGAGCAAGTTTTGTTCTCTGAAAGAGAATAGCAAGGCACATTCATTTCAACAAAGCATTCATTATTAGGAACCACTTCAGTCTGAAGGGTATACATTCTCTTGGAGAGTAGGTGTGTATGTGTGATCAAGGAAAACAAGTGGTGAGAAAAGAAGATGGCATGTAATGATAACATCCCTTATGGGAGACATGTACTCCTCCTTGATACACATATTTTAATTCAAAACTACAATGTATCTTTGCCTAATGAAGTGAGAATTAGAGAATAACAAGTAAAACCAACAACTACAGAATAACACATAAATGCCTAAATCTTTCAGTTTAGATTTCCATCCTGAACATACATTCAAACTATTCAAGTGTTATATGATATGTCAGTTAATTAAATTATTAACTAAACTCAGCTCCTGTTTTTAAATTCCCTGAAATCAACTATACACATGCATAAATGTTGAGCCTGTATTACTTGAGCTGGCCCAGACCCTACAATTACAGAACTTGAGAGATTGAATTCAAATAAACATATGGCACCAGCATCTTGCATTCAAATGTCAAATTCTTGGACTTTAAGAAGAGGGAGTGGTTGAAAGTTTCAGCCATTAGAATATATGCTGAACTTGGACAGGCAAGGGCAGGAAAATAAAGAATTAAAATGTAAAACTGGTGGCCCTGCCTATACCATGTCCCATGGTAATCCCTTATATGCAGGGTGCAGGTTTCACCTTTGAATCCCACGTCATTGACTTGCTAGGATTCTTCTCAGGACTTTGTGCCTCCCGTGTGAGATGGAGGGGGGCTCAAGAAATGAAAAAGGAATGATGGCTGTTTGTAAAGGCTGCAATGTAAGTACAGATCAGAAAGCTATGTTTAATCAGAGAATGGAATATTTAAAGCTTTCAGTTTCTTTACTTTCCACAGCAAAGATGCTTGATTCTGAACTGTACATCTCAAGCAATCTAAGGATTAATGCTTACATGTAAATAGACACCAGCTGGTCATTTCTAGCTCTTTAAGATAACAGGGAGTCTGCCCTCAGTAGCTAATTGGTGGGAAGTCAAAAGGTGTTTGTAGAGGACAGAAAAGAAGCAACATTCAATGTCCACATTTGATGTGCAAGCACTTTCCAGTGGATGGAAAGGACACTGCAGGAAATCACCAGGGAGCACTGCTACACTTCTGCTTCCCAAACAACAGTAAACGTCAGCAACACCAAGCCACACCACTGGGCAGGAGGCTGTTCCAGTTCTCCTTTATTCCACCCACCTCCCAGGAACATACTGACTCGGGAATATGCCTGTGATCAACTCTTTAGACTATTTCAAATAAGTAGGACATTTTCACTGTATACACATTAGAAAAAAAGAGTCATCAGAAAGAAAAAAAAAACCTACTTAGGAATGTGGCCTTTCAGACTTTTTGGCTCAAATATCCCTATGTAACTTAACCTTAAGCTCATGAGTTCAAGGAATTATTCTTTATGAAGACTGTTACAGCTTGGAAAACAACTGAGTGTTTCCCAAAGGCCCAAATGCTAAGGTGTCAATCCCCAGAATCCTATGTTAATGGATAAGGATGTAACTGAATTGAATGATGGTGTCTGAAGATGGAGCCTTGGAAAGTAACTAGACTGGGTATGTTCCTAGGATAGCAGGATCTCTCATAATAAAATAATAAAATCATGAGAGCTACATGAAAACACAACATGGAGGAAGAACCCCGCTTCTCCCTGCCTCCTGCATGTACTCCTCCCTCCACACACATTCTGCCCCCTGAGAGGACAAACAGAACCACCTGACCGTGGCCTGTGACCCTCCAAATCTATGAGCCACAATGAACCTTCTCCCCGCTGAGTACCAAAATGCTGCACATATGACATGTCACATTTAGGACTGCAACGGGTTTCTCCACTATTCCTTGGCATCTGTGAAACTGATTTTAACTGGGAACAAGGTAAAGTGCCTGAACAGCACTGATCTGGTACAGGGGAATTCTACAATGCTAATTATGATTGTTGCACTGACTTCTGTTGACTGTTCCCACATTGGGGCTGGAGTGGAACATTAAAGGTAAAATGACTGAAACAGTGAGGCATCTGCACGCTTTGCAGGTGAGATGCCTCAATCTAGGTATATAATAGCAAGAAAAGAGCTTCACAAGAACAGACAAAAGATAATTCATCATTGTAGAGCGATTAAGAAAGGCAAAACACCCCATTCAAAGGTATACGGAGGTTCCTGTTGTTTCCAGTTTGGGAATCCATAAGCTAATCAACAAAGAAGCAAGGCCACCTTGTGCCAGCCATATGTATGGCCTTGCTTGTTTGTGGTGGTATTTTACAGATGTTTCAGAGACACATGATGAATCTACTTACAGCATGAGTCTGTGAAAATTAAAACTTCTTACCGACAACATCACTGATAGACCAAGCTATAGTCCGAAATCACGGAGTAACCGGGGTCATCTGCGAAGGTGAAGAAACAGAAAAACATTAAACTACTAATTTTTTCTCAATAATATCTTAGCCCTTTTCAAACCAAGGCACTTCACTAGAAGACTGGAATGACCGCTCTTTTGTAACAAAAAAAAAAAATCTGACAACAAAAATTATACATGGTAGTAAGGACTGCAAGCCGAGACATTATTTCTTGGCCCTTTTGGCCTACAAGCCTAGGTATTAGCACCCACAGTTAAACACATCTTCACACACTGATAAACAGTAACCACAATATCCAATGGTAATTATAAAGCAACAAGAAATAATAGAATCATCATATTGTGCCAAGATACAATTTCACCCACGCTTTTCAGCCATTGATTTTTTTTTTTCCTCGAACTCCTAAGCACAGCATAAGTTGTCCTGGGTCCTCATTCCTTTGGACAGAGACGAGTATCTTTTTTTTTTAACTCTCAAATAATACATATTTGTTGACCACCTGGTATGTATCCAGTACTGTGTCAGGTTTGCAATGGGATGCAGGAAAAGATAAAGGGCCTTCAAGGATCTTACGACTCTCCAAGCAATGCAACTAACAAAACATAAGCAGATGTGTGGTTCACCAAAGGTCCCATAGGAGTTTAGAGGAAAGAGGGACTGGTGAGGTTGCTAAATGATCATATTGTAGAGAGTGTAACATGTACACAACACACTTAGGCAGATGTTTCTACACAGCTATGACTTCCGTAGTTGTATCTCTGTGTAATCTAAGGGAAATGACACAGCACCTCAGCTCTGCTGTTTTTATGATCCAACTCAGACCATTTTTGTAGGCACTTGAGCATTCAATGAAGTTTCTTTTGTCATTTCTGTAACTGAATGTTTTTGATAAACTATAAGCCAATAACAAAATTTTACTCGATGAAAAATGGTATGACTGTAAGATTCCAATACAGGCTCCTTTTAGAAGAATCCTTTTCTTTCCCCTTACTTCAAACTTCCAGTAATTCAACCTTGGAGAACCACCTGACATGGGCTCTCCAGAGGTCTGCCTTGGTGGCATACCTGGTACATTTTGAGGAACTGGCAGGGGTCCTCTCCTGCAAGAAAAGAAAACCAAAAGTGACCACATGTGTTCTTGTTGTTTTTATCATTTTCTGGTTCATGCTACCAGTAGGTCACACTCTAACTGGATCTGGTTTCTATGCCAGAAGGACAAGAAAAGGCCAACTGAAACAAATGATCTACAGCGCTGGCCTGTGGAAATCTACACTGCAGCTCTGGCTTGACACAGAACAACCAAGGTGTGTGGTGGTTAGGAGCACAGAGCCCCATCCTCATTGCCCAGACTAGCAAAATTAAACTCTCATCTCTGTGTGTGAGATTTCCTGAGCTCTGACCACCAACATCTTCATGTGTAAAATGGGAAAACAAGGTACCTTCAAGAATGGCACAGTGGGTTAGGCTGGTACCAGCAGGCATCTCATATGAGCCCAGTTCAAGCTCTGGCTGCCCCACTTTCAGTCTAGTTCCCTGGGAAAGCTTGCAGAAGATAGGAAAGCTTCTGACAGGTTTCACAAGAGGGCCCACATGCTTGGGCCCTTGCCATCCGTATGGAAAACCTGGATGGAGCTCCAGGCTCCTGGCATCAGTTTGGCCAAGCCCCAGCCTTGGTGGCCATTTCAGAAGTGAGCCAATGGATGAAATCTCTCTATCACTCTCTGCCTCACCCTTTGTCTCAGTAACTCTGCTTTTCAAATAAATAAATACATCAATCTTAAAGCTCAAGGCTAGCTTTGTGGTTTTATGGGTAAAGCCACCATCTGCAATGCCAGCATGCCCACATAGTCACCTGTTCTATTCCCAGTTCTTCTTCTTCTTTTCTCAGTCAGAAAAGTTTATTTGTGGGGAAAGAAGAGGGAAGGGGGAAGTACCTTCCCAGAGAAAGCTGGGGTGTGTCTCGAAAGGAAAGAGGGAGAGCCACCCTCTGTTCCCAGTTCTATATTCCACTTTTGATCCAGCTCCCTGCTAATGGCCTGAGAAAGCAACAGGAAGTGGCCCAACTGCTTTGGCCCCTGGATCCATGTGGTAGATATTGGCTTCTGACTCCAACCTGGCTCAGCCCTGGCTGTTGGGCAATATGGAGAGTGAAACACTAGATGGAAGATCTCTCTCTCTCTCTCTCTCTCTCTCTCTCTCTCTCTCTCTCTCCCTCCCTCCTGAGGACTTTCAAATACATATCTAAACACTAAAAAAAATTCATGGAGAATACATATTATGAAAAACTGCACATGGATTTTAAGATTCTTGTATCAAAAGTTACTGTTGTTTAGGTCTATTTATGTGTCTATTTGAGATGCAGAAAGACACAAAAACAGAGGGAGTGGAAAAGAAAATGTATTCACTGATTTATCCTTCAAATGTCTGCAACAGCCAAGGCTAAGCCGGGAGGTAAGAATACATTCCAAGTCTCTCATGAGAGTAGCAGAAACCCAATCACCATGGCCTCCCATGGATGCATTAATGGGAAGCCACATCAGGAGCTTGGGCAGGAATCAAACCCAGGATTTCCAATCTGGGTCGAGGACATCTTAACTGCCCAAATGACTGCCCCCCAATCAAATTTAGCTTTTAATTTCATTTTCTGGAAAGATTTGAAGTACCTCATATAATCAGCTCCCCCACTTCATATTGAAAGTTAAATTGACCTGTTCATATTAACTGATTTGAACAGTACCTGGCATTCTTAAATATCAGTTATAATCATGCAGTTCCTCCCAAAACTGCCCATCTTTACTGAAACTGGACTGAAAAGACAACAGCCAAGAGTTTTCTCTCCTAGGGGTCATTTATGGAGGGCAGCGAGCTTTTCCTGTACACTAAAGTGTAAGTGATTCAGGCTTTGCTACCTACACTGTCTCCCTTGGGACCGCTCAGCTCCAGCAGGAAAGTTAGCCACTCACAAAGCCAGTCCACCAAGAGTGGCTATGTTCTAATAAAATTTTACTTGCAAACATCAAAATCTGAATTTTTTATAATTTTCACATATCATGAAATAATATATTTTGGAGTTCCTCCCCTCCCCCCCCCACACACACACCACCACCACCACTTAAAAAAATACTTCTAACTAAAAGGCTAACCAGACTGGACCCTCAGGGGCAGTTGTGGCTCCTGCTTTCCACAGGCTTGACGAAAGGTATCATAAATCAGTAATGACCCCACCCAAACACAGTCCAGTCCTCCTTGAACCATAACTAGTAAAATCCAGCTTCTATTTGTCCCAAAAGTGCTATTTCCAACAAACTGGCAATTGTACTCAGCAGAGGCAGTGGTAGAAAGCTTCCAATTCTCATGTCTGCCCCACGGTGTTGACATTTCTCTGTGCCAACTACAAATTTTACATATATCTTAAATAATCAAAATGCTTATGTAAAGGGCGGCTGATACTACCTTGCGACATTGGGTCCGGTAGCTTTCCCTGGAGGCGCTGCATTCTTCTGGCAGTAGAAGTTCTCATACATGATGGGTGCTGGGAAAAGCATTGAGAAGTGAAACATTAAGAGGCAGGTGTCTTACAGTGTCCATGACCTCGGACAAGAAAAGCTCGCAGGATTGCTTAAATGACCCTCCCCACTCCCCACCACCACATTCACCTGGTGGGGTCTGTCCAGTTTTGCGCTGATTCACAAAGTATTCGATGTCCTTCTCGATGCTGCACATCTCCAAACTCTTCCGGACCTGCTCATACATCTAGCAAAAAGAGGACAGATCAACAAGCAGAGGAAAGTCAATGACAACTGTGACAACGCCCATTAAAAAAATATTTGATAAATGGCAACTCTCTTCCAAGTTTTGCTGTTTTGGATAAGAAAGAAAAATAAGAAATGCCCAAGTCCCAAGCTCATACAAAAGCTTTTCTCTTATGCCTTTGCGAGAGTACAATTTTTTAAAGATGATGAGAACTGTGTCTCTGTGGCAGGACACAAACTTGAAAAATCTGAGCAATTATACTAATGGAACCAAAACACACATACACACCAAGGCCTGTGACACAAACCAAGGCCCCACACAAGTGTCAAGACAATCACCTAACTAAAAACAAGTTTCTTCCATTGAGTCCTATGGGTTTGTGGATGTTGAATTGCTCTTCTAACAGGAATGTCCCATCTGAGCATGGGTGTCTTAGCAAAGGTGTGACAACCTGATTTGATGTTCAACCTGGACAATGGCTGAAGTAAATCCTGAGTCTTGGAGTGAGCCTGAATGACCACGAGCCTGACCAGTCTGCTGGTACTTGATGTCTTCCTGGAGTGACCCCACTCCAGACCACAGCAGTCTCACAGCAGTTTACATTTCTGCTGTAAAATGTCTGTCTCCCATACATTGTATTTGAGTTTCCTCCTCTGCTTCTCCATTTCTTAGTAAAATGGACTAGGATTCGAGCAAGATACACATTTATCTGGGTATTCCATCAACTCACTGTGTGGCTGGCTGTAGGCCAGCTACTTTACTTCCCTGAACCTCAAATGGAGTGTGTATGGGGGAGGAGAAGCGGGGAAGAGGAACTCGTCAATGTTATGCTTTCCCTCTAATGAGTCCCATAGGCACAGCCACAACACCACGTGAAGGCTTCTGACTTACATCATCGCTAACGACACACTGTTTGGACAGATGATTCACATGTAACCACAAGGCATTCCTGAAGAAGTTTATTCGTTCACATTCTTGAGCTTCAAACACCTGCAGAAAAACAACTACATGTACATCTGCATGCAGAGAAAGGGGCTATTCATCTACACTGGTTGTGACTTAAACCATGTCACACTCCAGGTATCTGCAAGCTTTGTGTCCAATAGGGTGCTACCTACCTACCACCATGCTCGGGAAGCTCAGGAACTCTGACCAGGGACAAACAGTGCCAAGGGACTCTACTACTGCATGAACCCAAACAGGCCTGAAGAGAGTCTGAAGGCAAGATGGGATGATGATCCCAAACATCAGGGCTCTACCCTGAGTTCCAGCTCACATTTTCAACTGTCCAACAAACATCTGCACCTGGGCAGCCTACCAGAGCCTAAGTAGGCCCTCCCAGCCGGTGATGAATGAATGTGTCTGGCAAGACGGTTATAATCACTGAAGCTGCTTAACTAGGATTAGGATATGAGGCCCTTACACTTATCTTTTATCTTGGTATATGTTTAAAATCTTCCTTAATAAAAAAAAGTTAGAAGTTAATGCATGAACAATTGATTTTTGGAGATAAGCAATGTCTGAAAATATCAAGCCAATCTACAAAGTACATGATATCCTAGTCCATAGGGATGTTAACCTATCTTCTTAAAGATTTACTGCCACAGCTACTGTATGTTAAAACTTTTTTTTTAAGATTTATTTTATTTATTTTTTTATTGGAAAGGCGGATATACAGAGAGGAGAGACAGAGAGGAAGATCTTCCGTCCCATGATTCACTCCCCAAGTGAGCACAACGGCCGATACTATGCCAATCTGAAGCTAGGAGCCTCTTCCGGGTCTCCCACGCGGGTGCAGGGTCCCAAAGCTTTGGGCCGTCCTCAACTGCTTTCCCAGGCCACAGGCAGGGAGCTGGAAGGGAAGCGGGGCTGTCGGGATAGAACCGGCGCCCATATGGGATCCCGGGCGTGCAAGGTGAGGACCTTAACCACTGCGCCACCGCGCTGGGCCCACAACTTTTTATAATATAAAATTTCAAACATGTCCAACAGAAGAGAGGGAAGTATAATGAATGTCCTATACTCATCAGCAGCTTACCCACTTAACAGCTCATGTCCAATTGCCCTACTCCTTGGGGTACATTGGAGAAAATGCTTCATTTTCATTTTTAAATATTTTAGTATCTACATAATGTCACATTACCTTTATAGATAATATATAATTTTCTACATTATAGAAAGTTCATATGAAATCAGAAAGGGAGATACAATTTCTATATACCATCCCCCTGGCTTTGTTCACATTCTGTTGAAGACCCACAGTGAGTTCCCCAATCTTGATCACCTTCTCCTTCTTCAGAATAACCGTCTCCTAAATATTATCATTCCCATACAGTTTTTATACTAAAGTGAATCTATAAAATGCATATGATATTGTAACTGTATTAAAACAGGACTCTCAAAATGAAGACACTCCCAGCATGTACTTATCTCCCACCACAGGTCACTCCACACTTATTAGAAGCTACAGCCCCCATCTTCACCACATAAGATCCTGTTAGGAACTTCCCCAGCCCTGGGCATGCCCAACCCGGGGAGGCAGCAATGAGCTACATCATCACTGTGGGTAAACCATGTGCACAAGAAGGAACCAAACGTGCAAAACTCCAAAATGGCGCAAACCCAAGTGTCACATGCTGAGAGGGACAAGCCAGAACTCTGGGCCAGGTGCAGAGCGGGAACAGCCAGGGGAAATCCTTCACAGATGAACTGCTTCCCCCAGGCTGCCTCCCTGTGCTCAGGCACTCTGGATCACGTCAACCTTTTGTCAATTTCCATTGCAAAGAAGTCAAAGAACAGTGAGTGGGCATCCATAGATATGGCAGAACTCACAGGTTTTCTCAGGAGAGTGTGGCATTAGCGAAGCAAAGCAGAGAAGACTGTTTTAGAGAGGGATAGTGATCTATGGAATAAGATGTTTGAGACAAGTCAGATTAGAATAGAACTGCAAAAGCTCCTGTGGTGGCTTAGAGATTGATTACATGATGCAAATCACCAAGAAAGCAGTTAAGGCAGGCAGGGACGAGGACTGGAGATAATTCCTTCAAAGCACATGGTTTGGCCTGGCACAGCAGCCTAATGGTTAAAGTCCTCGCCTTGAATGCACCAGGATCCCATATGGGTCCCAGTTCTAATCCCAGCAGCCCCGCTTCCCACCCAGCTCCCTGCTTGTGACCTCAGAAAGCAGTTGAGGATGGCCCAATGCCTTGGGACCCTGCACCCTGTGGGAGACCTAGAAGAAGCTCCGGGCTCTTGGCTTTGGATCAGCTCAGCTCTGGCAGTTGTGGCAGCTTGGGGGAATGAATTAATGGATGGAAGATCTTCCTCTCTGTATGTCTGACTTTCCAATTAAAAAAACAATCTAGACAAAGCACACAGTTGGGAAGAGAGGGCAGGGGAGCAGATGGGACACAAGATCTGGGCAGTCAGGATGCAGAGGCAGCAAAAAGATAAACTTTAGTACATGGAAGACATGAACACTGTCAGAATCAAGACAAGTCACTTTTGGTAGCACTAACGCAGGGGCAGGAGTTTGCTGCAGTGGTGAAGATGCCATTTGGGACACCCCAACCTGCCTCAGAGTGCCTGGGTTCAAGTCCCGGCTCTGGTCTGACTGCCACTTCCTGCTAATGTGCACCCTGAGAAGGAGCAGATGATGGCTGAAGCACTTGAGTTCCTGCCATTTATAAGAGACCCAAACTGAATTTCCCACTCCTAGCTTGGGCCTGGTCCAGCCCTGGCCATCGTGGGCACTTGGGGAGTAAATCAGCGGATGAAAGACCTCTCCCTCTGCCTTACAAATAAATTAAATAAGAAAAATAAATTTTAAAAATAAATTCAGTAGACTATATAGAAAGGATTTTTATGATTGAATGTTAGTAACTATGACAAAAGACTCTGCCTTAGCTGCATTACACAGGGGCAACCTCAACCAAAAAGCACTTTTCCAAGGACATCTGCCCAGAAATTCTCTTGGACTCACCCCCGAGTTATTAATCACTGTGGCAAAAGACTATTATTTCCAAATATCTGACACCATTCTCCCCATTTTTAACCCCTAAAAGCCTCCACTTGACTCATCCTCTTTAAATATGCCCACAGTTTCATGGGCCATGCACACTGCACTTCTCTGTTATTCCCAAATACATAATTTTGGATAATCCCCTGTTTTTCCTGTTGTTTAGATTGACAGAAGGTAAGTTCATCCAGTTTCTTCACTCTTTACTTGGATTCCTGGAGCAGATTTTTGGTACAGTAGATAGCACAGTACTTGGGATACCCACATCCCAAACTGGAGTGGCTGGGTTCATGATCCAGATCCACTTCTGATTTCACCAAAGTGCTAGTGCGCACCCTGGAAGACATCAGCTGGTAACACAACTACTTGGGTTCCTTTCACCCATGTGAGAGACTCAGATTGAGTTGCAGACTCCTGGCTTCAGCCTGACCCAGCTCTAATTGTTATGGGCACTTGGGCAGTGAATCTGAATGGAAGATCTCTTTCTTCGCCTTTTAAATCAAATGAAACAGGGCCTGGCACGATAGCATAGTGGCTAAAGTCCTCGCCTGGAATGTGCCAGGATCCCATATGGGTGCTGGTTCTAATCCCGGCAGCCCCACTTCCCAATAAGCTCCCTGCATGTGGCATGGGAAGGCAGTCAAGGATGGCCCAATGCCTTGGGACCCTGCACCCGCATGGGAGACGCGGAAGAAGCTCCTGGCTCCTGGCTTTGGATCAGCTCAGCTCCAGCAGCTGTGGCCACTTGGGGAGTGAATCATCGGACACAACATCTTCTTCTCTTTCTCTCCTTCCTTTGTGTATCTTCCTTTCCAATAAATCAAATGAAACAATTTTTTAACTTCTTGATTTCAAACTTGCCCATATTCTATGCAAAGTGGGTAAAATAAAAGTGGATGAGAGCATTTTTACAACACCACATTCTCCTGGTCCCAGGCAGAAGACCTGCCCATCCCCACGAGCTTCTGCTTTCCCATACCTCACAGGCTTTGATGTGCTCACTCTGCCACTCTTCTCGGATCTTATCCAGCATGTTGATGTGCAACATGTATGCTTTGTCTGCAGTGGAAGAGAGGGGCCTGAGTTCAGAAACATGCCAGGAGGGTGACCTTTCACACCCACCTCCCACCCTGGCTCATCTCCAGTGAAATGCATTAGAGTGGTGGTGAGCTCACAAGGCCTCCAAGATGCTGCGTGGAGGAAGGGCATAACTAACTACATCTCTCCCTCATGATATCTTCTGTTTCCATCAAGGGGTCTTTGGTTTTGGTTTTGGTTTTTCTCCCTTTTTATGCCATAAATTCATGGGGAATGAGTCCAGCAGCCCAGGCAGGTTTCCATGGGTTCTGATACAGTGGGCTTCTCTGGGTGGAGCTGGCTGGTGCTTCAGCTAAACCCAGGAATTTCTCTTTGACTTCCTTCTTTTCCTGATCATTTTTCATTCACACATTTCAGGAAGCTAGCTCAGCAACTGGAGTGTTTAATATACCCACTACCAACATTTGTTCCTTTGGCAAGAATCTTGCCCATAACTTGTTTGTTTACAGGAGCGCCAACAGCATGCTGGGGAACATGGCATTCTTCCAGTTTCACGTTGGTCCTTTTTGAGCAGTGCCCATTTCCTGGATGCCAACAAGGTTCCCTTTCTCGTCACTGTGTATGTGTGTGGCCAAAAGAACAACATGTTCTCTGCAAGGCCTGGAGAACATGGGTGCATCTCCTGTTTGCCTTTGCATTAGTCACCTTGGTGAATTACTGGAAGATGGCAATTCTGGCCCAACACTCATTTTAACATGGACCAAATCCTTGAGCAGGAATGCCTCAAGGCTGGAACAATCAAACTGAGGAGGAAGTTCAGCCTTTGTTTTCTTGGTCAAAAAAGTTCACCTCAGTAGCTCCCAGCACTCCACATTTTCAGGAAAAACATACAACTGGGTATGTAGCAAAAATAATTGTTTGGAGTCAAAAGGGGGCACCAAATTCCTTTTGTTTTGGATTGAGAGACTTTCTGAAGGAGAAGGATTGGGTGAAACTTGCTTCCTGGTGCCTAGTCTTGCACTGGCAGCCTTTGCAAACACGTGGCTTGGGTATCTGATTTCACTGACCACAAGGCCATTCATCTGGCTGCTTTCACAGCAGTTGGTATTAACAGAGCCCAAATGGGCTTCAACCCAGACTTCCCAGGAAGTCAGAGTGAGCACCTGTCTCTGGAGCCCCCCACCATTTGATTTCACCACTGACCATTCATTCACATGTAAGGCAGCAATACGGGAACAGGCCGCAGCTGGAAGCTGCCCTCCCTTAATTGCTTCCTCACACTTCCAGGATTTTGCTATTGCTTCCCCTCACCCTCTCCTCACCAATCCACACACAGACATACTGTTGTCCTCCCTCCACCTCCTTTCTACCCACTCACCATTAGGTCCTCCCCTCCTGCCTTCTGACACCTTGTTAACCCTACTGTATGCCTCTACATTCTCTACTGTAAGACACATCGAACTGCCTTTTTTATTTTTTCTCAAACTGCCTTTCTCACAGACACACTTAGGGCCATGTAAATCCCACCACCAACCTGTCCCCATCAGTGTGGAGCAGCCCCCTCACCTGAGTCCTCTACTGCAGTCTTCGAAGTTGCCAGTTTCACAAAAAGCTATGAGCACAAACAGAAAAAATAGGATGTTGAGCCAAGTGTTCATAAGCAAAACCAACAGAAATACAATGACTGTGTGGAGACAAGGTCTGCTCCAAGTCATACCTACGTTTTCCCTGGGGGAAACTCATTTGACTTGGCCTCCAATCCTCAGCATTGGGAAATATACATAAAAGCTTTTCCCCCTAGGTTTTCCTATACCATTGTCCTCTGGGGTATATCCAGATTTTTAAAATCAAGTGCGTGATCCACCCAAGCAAAAGCCAACGAAGAGTTTCAGAGAAAGATGAGGGCCTGGCATAGTAGCCTAGCGGCTAAAGTCCTTGCCTTGCATGCACCAGGATCCCACATGGGCACCAGTTCTAATCCTGATGGCTCTACTTCCCATCCAACTTCCTGCTTGTGGCCTGGGCAAACAGTTGAGAACTACCCAAAGCCTTAGGGGCCTGCACCCATGTGGGAGACACGGAAGAGGCTCCAGGCTCCTGGCTTCAGATCAGTGTAGCTCTGGCTGTTGCAGCCACTTGGGGAGTGAACCAGTGGACAGAAGATCTCCCTCTCTGTCTCTCCTCCTCTCTCTGTATATCTGACTTTCCAATAAAAACTTTCAAAAATAAAGAAAGATGAAAAATATGAGATCCTCCTCCCAAGTCTATCACTCCTCTGGCCTCCTCACGGCTGTGCCTCTCTAGTTCTCTGAACCCTGTCTAGTTCTCTGAAAGCTGTCTAGGCTGTTTCTATCTCAGAGGACCCTCATAGTCTGGGACAAGATATGGCCAGGGTCTTAGAGGGCAGGTCCATATGCTATTAAGACTTCTGATGACTTTAACCTGACCTGAGAATCTCCCATCACTTGGATTGCCAGCCCTCCTCAGTACCTTCTCTTGTTGCTTCGGGTTTACCAGGTTGGCACTCCGGTGAACAGCCTGCTCCGCCTCGTCTTTGTCACGGCATTTCTGCTCGTAGTTCCTCTTTGCCTTTGTTGCGATGAACAGAGAGAGAGAAGGGAAACAGGTGAGCATAGACAAACCCCAGAAGGCATAGAACAGGTAATGTTGTTCAGCACTGTGACCACACCTAGTCCCCGGGCTCCTGGGGTACCACGGAGAGCTTCACAAAAGTCTCTCTCTTGCTCTATTCAAATGAGATATGCAGCAGCCACCTGATCAAAGGAATAACTCCTGTTTGACAGCTCAAGTTGGATGTGCAGTTTTGTAGAGTCAAATCTAATTATTTTTTACTGTGACTCTTATTTTTTCACATTTCCTAGTTATTTGTATCTCTCCCAATAACTTCTTGTGATTCACTGATATTCCTTAGGAGATGAATTGCTTGTAAACTCCTGAGATTGTAAATGTCTATTTCAACACTGTTTTGCTACATATCATGAATAATGAAGTTCCAGTTATTAACTGTAATTCCTTCAGCGCCACAAAAGTCACGTACTGGCATCTATTCTTACAAGAAGGTTTTTGATTCCTGTTTTCACCACTCTTGTGATGCATTTTTATTTTTCTAACGTGTTTGTTAACCTCATGTTGATGAAAATGTATTATTTTGACCCCGATATGGACGGTGCTCACTGGTTCTGTATTTTAGGGAATATATAATGGTAGTGTAGCAGAGACTGATATGTTCAGATATGTTCAGATATAGACACTGACACGCTCAGATATGCAGTCTATACATACAGACCAAAGATGGATTCCCAGTGAAGAATTGAATGCATCCTAACAGTAAGATAGTGGACTCCCTGATAATGTCCATGCCTACAGTGTTGGGAAACACTTCAATAACAGCATGATGGACTTGTGACTGTTCTTGCAGGACATCTATTGTAAAACTAGAGAGGAAATCAATGCAGGGTGGGGGAGAGACCTTGGAGAAAGGCACAGAGCCTATGAAGCTATATCATAAAATAAAATAAAATATGTTTTAAAAAACGATTGAAGAGACAGGGTCCAGTATCGCTTAGTGGCTAAATCCTTGTTTTGCACGCACCAGGATCCTATATGGGTGCAGGTTCATGTCCCAGCTGCTCCACTTCTCATCTAGCTTCCTGCTTGGGAAAGCAGTGGAGGATGGCCCAAAGCCTTGGGACCCTGCACCCATGAGTGAGACCCAGAAGAGGCTCCTGGCTCTTGGTTTCAGATTGGCTCAGCTTGGTTATTGTGGTTACTTGTAAACCAGCAGACGAAAGATCTTTTTCTCTGTCTCTCCTTCTCTTGGAGAGGTATATCTCTTATTGGAAAGGTATATCTGCCTTTCCAATAAAAATAAATAAATCCTATAAAAAGAAGACTGAGGAGTGGGCACTGGGTCCAGTGGTGAAGATACCTCTACGGGCACCTGTACCTCACATCAGAATGCCTGATGGAGATGGATGGTGATGATGAGCAAAGAACAAGAATGTATTTAATATCACTGACCATTACACATCAAAAGATACACAGTAAAAAGAAGTTAAAAAGTACATGGTAACTACATGCACATACGGGGTCTTCAAAAAGATCATGAAAAATATGTATTATGATTTCAGATATTTTTTTAAAGTTTTGCAGCAAAATAAGCCTATTTTTGAGTTCCATTTTCCATAAATCTTTTGAAATACGCTTGTACATATGCCTTTGTGTCTTGTCCTGAAACATTTAAATTATCAGGCTGTATTTTTCTAGGTTACCAGGAAGATAAAACCTTTGTGTTTCAACAGTTTAATTTCACCTCCAATCTTTCCAAGGCCTTACAAAGAACACCAAACGACTGGGGCTTGTGTTTCCTAAACCACTATAGTAATAAATAAGAACATTGCTGAAATGTTATCTGAGGCAGAAGCTCATACACAGCACATGGTTCCGGAAAATGTCACCCTTGGACAAGAAAAGCAATCAAGCGTGACTTACATCCATGGTTTTCTTAAATTGTAGACTCTTCTGTTTATGGATAGCATCCATTATAACTTCAGTCTGAAAAGAGAATATAAAAATAGAAATTACTACTAATACCAGCTTATCTTGAGAGGGCTAAAGTCCAACCCGCGTTACCTTTGTCACCCTCACACCACTCAGAAAGTAGATGTGCTATTTATGCTCCCACTTCACAAATAAGGAAATGGGAGAACAGAGAGGCTAAACAGTTTGTCTAAAATCTGATGGCCAATTAGTGATGGTGCCTATCTTTGACCTTGAGCAGACAGTGTGATCTGACTCCGTGGAAGCTCATTGATCGCTTCAATAAATCTGCAATAAACGTACCTTGGTTAAAAAAATTAACATCTTTGCTAAAATATCGTTTATAAGTTCAAAGAGATCTTTATCCTGTAAGCTTTTGTCAACACATTTAAATTTAGGGATTTTTACATTTACTCTGGTAGCCCATTGTTGACACAGCTTCAACCAGGCAGGTGCCTGAAGGCAGGTGAACCAGGCAGGTGGCATGAAGGGAAGACACATTTGTACAACAGCTAAGAAAGATCACTCCATCCTCTTAAGCTGTCTAATCCTGGCGAAGGAAATGCCTCTGTTGAGTTCCCTCGGGAGTAACTCCTTTGCTGTGATTTTGATGTGAGTATTTTTATGAGTCATAGCAATGGTTTCACCAGCAAAGATGTACCTCTCCGACATAATCACAGTAGCTTGCATTTACCAAGCATGTGTGGGCTATGCAGTTCTCAGGCATTCATCCACTGTAAGCAATGTCAGTTTCCTTTTCCTGGCAGTACTGAAATTAACTCACCCGGGTAACACACACGGCAGGCAACTGAGCTGAAATTTGAACCCAGGCGGCTGTCCGGTTGTTTCTAACCACAAGCCTACACTATCATCAGCTCTGCAATAGCTCTGTCTTGGCTTTGTGACACAGCAATCTAATACTACTGATAGTGACATTCTGCACACACAAACATTGGGTTTTTGTTGCCAAGTGTGGTTGGATAGAGTCTCAAGATATTTGGATGGAGTAACTGGGATAGTCTGACTTGAGGATGAGAAAGGCGTGCCCAGAGAAGCCAGCAATCATCGTCCAGTCCAGGTGAAGGGTCAGGCACCAGAAGGTGGTCATTTACTTGCTAACAGTGAGAACAGAAAACACTCCAGCATGAGCCCCAAGCGGAAAGACATGGGTCGGACCTTGTGGTCACAGACAAGAAGCTATAGCTCACAGAGGAAAGGAGAAAGAGCTCGGTTTATTTCTTTAATGATCATTCCTGAGTTTCCCAGGCTACACAAAGTAGAACAGAGCAGTTAGCAATGCTGGTCCATTCCACGGTCCTTTCTAGTCCTCATGGACCCACTGCCACTCTCCCAGCCGGGAACTGATACGGTTTTATGCTCTGGGAGCTAAACCAGGTCTCCTTAAGCTCCACAGAACACCTGCCACAAACACCCATCAAGTGACAGCCAAACCCCACCCCTAGCTAAAGACTTCTTCACTTCCTGTCATTCTTTCCTCTGCCCTCAGGAACCCCCGGCATTAAGAACTCGCAGGAATCTAGAAAGTAAAACTTTGAAAAGTGGGACTCCTGGGACCCAAGAGATAGCCTGCTTAGCTCAAGGGCACCCAGACTTCACATGCCAGATCCAGCTCTGCCTGCTACAATGCCTTATGGAAGTCTCCTTGGGCCAACGTAATTTCTTACAGTGACCTGCTCATGTTGAGATCGATGAATGAGAGTTTCTCTCTCAGGTATCCTTGGAGAACTGATTCTTTAGGACAGTGAGACTTCCTGCTCAGACCAAATCCAGGGGAGTGTGAGGGCATTTTACTATTGAGAACACAAGGGAGCATGGAAACACTGTGATCTCTGTGTGGGCTGCAGGGATATAAGAGAGAAAGAGAGAGAAAAAAATTGCAGGACCCAGTGCAGTAGCCTAGTGGCTAAAGTCCTCACTTTGCATATGCAGGGATCCCATATGGGCACTAGTTCATAACCTGGCTGTTTGCGCAGTGCAAAATAAGAAGTTAGCACTGACCCATTTTCTACCTTAGAAGAGATTTTTCTCAAGTATGCAAATACAGAAGTGGTGTAATCCAAGTTCATTATGACACAAATAATGACAAGAGTTATTAAGACACTATGGACTTCCCAAAGAATGCAAGAATGCTCAAAAGAAGACACACAGAATATAGGGAACTAGGATGATGGCAGTGGACTGGACCAAGGTTATGCTACCCATGGAACATAACTCGGGGTGTGTTCTTCTAACTACAAGAACACAGTCTTGTGTAACTTGTTTCTGGGGATGTTTCAGAGGACTTGCAAAATGGACAATGCCCTCCCTCAGAAGAAGCAAGGACACTCAAAAACATGAAGAAACAACTCTCTTCGTCCTAGAATTCACGTGTTATAGACTCCAGCTATCTGATGCATTTTGCTTCTGAGGAATCATAATTCTCCAGGAGGGATGGGCAGTCTTGGCAGTGTCAAACCCAAGTGTCTGACCATGCAGTGAGCGGGAGGAGGGCCGTTCGGGCTGGCCGCAGCCTCACACCTACCACAGGAGACTTGTGAGAAGGTGTGAGAGCCCTGGACACAGGGTTCCTGCAGTGTGAGTGAAGCAGAGACACAGGAAGAGAGAGCAGTAAGCCGAGGGCAGTGCAGGAAATGCCAGCCAATGTCCCATAAGGAAACAGCTTTCCAAGGGCATGGCTGCAGGAGCGAGGAATCATACTCCCTGCTCACCAGCGGACAAGCTGGGGGTTTTCTGTAGGAGGAAAGGTGACATCTTCACACACAGGCAGGCCCCACCTTTTTCCGTTGTAGCTTTTGCTTTTCCCTAAATTCTTCCATCTTCCTGGCCTCTTCTCTCAGAGTCTGTGCAAGCTGAATGTGACATTGTGCCACATTGTCTACTTCTGCAAAAAGAATTTAAAATAATCAGGTTCTACCTATGTCTGGATTCACCTTTAAACCACCTCTCAATTACTCAATTACTTTTAAATGAAACATATGGTAAGTGCCATATACATAGTTGTTAACATTTTATTGCTTAGGGAGCAAATTCAAGACAAAAAGTCTATACATGGACCTGGTGCGATAGTGTAGTGGTTAAAGTCCTTGCCTTGAACGTGCTGAGATTCCATATGGGTACAGATTCTAGTCCCTGCAGCCCCGCTTCCCATCCAGCTTCCTGCTTGTGGCCTGGGAAAGCAGTTGAGGATGACCCAAAGCTTTGGGACCTTGCACCCACGTGGGAGACCTGGAAGGAGTTCCTGGCTCCTGGCTTTGGATTGGCTCAGCTCCAGCCATTGCAGCCGCTTGGGGAGTGAACCATTGGACAGAAGATCTTTCTCTCTGTCTCTCCTCCTCTCTGTACATCTGCCTTTCCAATAAAAATAAATAAATCTTTTAAAATAAATAAATAAATAAAAAGTCTCTACACTGGGGGACAGAGCTGTAGTGTTTCACAATAAAGTCTCAGCATGTGACACTGGCATCCTATATGGTGCTGGTCCAATTCATGTGTGCAGGTTTGATTCCCAGCTCCAACCCAGCTCCTAATGGTCTAGGCAAAGCAGTGGAAAATGGTCCAAGTGCTTGTGCCCATGCACCACACAGGAGCCCAGATGCAGCCCTAGGCTTCTGCTTTGCAACAGCCAACTAGTGAATGACCAACAGATGGAAGCATGTGCTCTCTCCCTGACTTTCAAATAAAATAAATAAATAACCAAGCAAGTAAATAAACAAATAAATATTCTAAAAATCCATATACTTTGGGGACCAGTGTGATGGCTCAATGGCTAAATTTTCACCTTGCAAGCACCAGGATCCAATAAGGACACTGGTTTGTGTCCCAGCTGCTCCATTACCTTCCAGCTCTCTGCTTATGGCCTGAGAAAGCAGTAAAGGATGGCCTGAAACCTCAAGACTCTGCATCCACATGGGAGATCCAGAAGAACCTCCTGCCTCGTGGCTTTGAATCAGTTCAGTTCTGACCACTGCAGCCATTTGGGGAATGAACCAGCAGGTGGAAGATCTTTCTTTCTGTCTCTCCTTCTCTCCATAAATCTGTCCTGTCTTTCTAATAAAAAATAAATAAATCTTTAAAAATAAATCCATATGCTTTGACCCTACCCTAGAGATTCAGAACCACACTGTACTATATGATTTGTTCAAATAATAAGTATATATGTGTGTGTGTATGTATATATTGCACATAAGTTCATATATATGTACATATGTATTATAGGTGTATGTATATGTATAGTACCCATATATTGTATATGTATATGATTAACTGTACTAAAATACCTGGCAGCATAGTCACCAATAACACTGAGAAAATTCTCATATTTACTATCTTCTTTATGGTTAATTATTTCATTTTAATTTTTAAAAAAGATTTACTTATTTCCAAGTCAAAGTTGCAAAGACAGAGCGAGAGACACAGAGAGAGAGATCTTCTACCTGCTGGGTCACTCCCCAGAGAGCTGCAACAGCTAGAGCTGGGCCAGGCTGAAACCAGGAGTCAGTTTCACCTAGGTCTCCCACTTAGGCGACAGGGGTCCAAAGACTTGGGTCATCTTTCACCGCTTTTCCCAGGCACATTAGCACGGACCCAGGTTGGAAGTGGAGCAGCTGGAACTTGAATCAGTGCCTATGTGAAAGGCTGGGGTTGCAGGTACTAGCTTGCCTCACTATGCCTCAGTGCTGGCCCCTTCATTTTGATTTTTAAGATAAACATACATATTATTTAATAATAATGAAACAAAACAAAAGTAACAGCACATGTAAATATTTAGGAAACTCATTCTAGACTGGAGTTACCCTGGGCCATGATGTTTGGCCTGCCCATGCATAGAAGGAACTTAAGATAACACTGTCCCTCCTTTCAGAAACGTATTTGTTGAGGAAGAAGACAGCCTCTATGGAAAATCTAAGATAAACATTTGTTTAGCTAAAACTTACAAAGGTTGACTTTTACAAAGGTCTAGGGCCACTCAGCTAACTTTAGGAACACTTCAAGTACACAGCACACTCACTCAGCCACATTAAAACTCCTTAACATGGAAACACACTGAAGAGCAAAAAGCTGCAGAGGCAGTCTCTGATAACAGCCTTGGGGCATCAGAACCAGAGAGGACCCCCAAAAGAGCCAACATGGTCTACCCCATATTTCTCAACTTCTCATTTGGCATCATCATAGGGTCATCAAAATGAAACAACTTTTCCTGGTTGAATTCCAAGTTGGATTTACAACCAGAGACCACGATTCAGAAATAAAAACTGAGAATAAAGACTGCTGAGAGCACCCAAACTTGTGTCTTCTGCTTGAACTCTAAACAAGATATCAAAGAAACAGTTACCCAAGAACAGCAACGCTGATCACAATAGGAAAAGAAAAAATAATAATGTTGGGAAGGAGAGCTTTATCCTACAGAATCGAACTCTGAACATTTTGACCTTGGTATGTCTAAAGACTTACTATTTCCTGTTTTTTTTTCAACCCTTGAACGTCTAAAACTTTTTATTATTTTTTTAACTTTTGAAAGTCAGAGAGACAAAGGAAGATCTTTCATCAGCTGGCTCACTCCCCAAATGTCTGCAACAGCCAGAATGTGGCCAGACCAAAAGCAAGAGCATAAAACTCATGAGAAGCCAGAAACCAAGTACATGAGCCACTGCCTGCCGCCTTCGAGCAGATACATCAGCAAGAAGCTGGAAGCAGAAGTGGTGCCAGGACAGGAACCAAGGCCCTTCAGTACAGGATGTAGGCATGCCAAGCAGCAACTTCACCATGACACTAAATGCCCTCTACTTCCTCTCTGGATCAAACTTGACCACTGTCAAGAAAATGTGATGGAAGTAAAACACTCATTCAAAAAGTATATCTAAACCTGAGAAAGCTACCTTGAGTTAGAGTCTCTTCTCAACAAAACTGAAGAAGAAAGATGAGGGTAGGGAGCAGCATTTTCAAGAGAGAAAAGTGAATAAAAATTACTAAGGAACAGGATATGGTTGTAAGAAAAAGAAAAAAAGATTTCACAGTTCCTGGTCTGGCGTGGTCTAGCCACTAAACTCGCCTTGAGCACGCCAGGATCTCATATCGGTGCCGGTTTGTATCCTGGCTGCTCCGCTTTCCTTCCAGCTCCCTGCTTGAGACCTGGGAAGGCAGTCGAGGATGGCCCAATGCCCTGGGATCCTGCACCCATGTGGGAGACCCAGAAGTTCCTGGCTCCTGGTTTCAGATTGGCTCAGATCTGGCCTTTGTGGCCACTTGGAGAGTGAATCAATTGACAGAAGATTTTCCTCTCTGTCGTTCCTTCTCTCTATAAAATCTGACTTTCCAGTAAAAATAAAATAAATATTATAAAAAGATTTAACATTTCCTTGGGCAATCAGCCTGAAGATTGAATTCACTGCAAATATCTTGAGCCTAACATACCTTAGGAACATCTGAGAAGAGCCATCAAGCCGATCCCAGGACCAAGCTAGGTGCTCTGAGCACTCTAAAGATACACGCTTATGGCCTCTAAGTAAAGGCTGATGCCAGGGATGAGTCCACGTTTACCCAGGCACAGTGAGAAGGGAAGGGCTACGATCATGTCCTATGGGCCTGTGCCACTGAGCAGCTTGAGAGAGGAGGACAATGAAAGTGACAGTAACCGAGAAGCAGGAAGACTCCCGGGACTCAGAAAGGATGAGCAATCCAAGACGGAAGGGAAGCTCACCAGCGCTGAGTACCCCTGAACCGCCAAGTTAGAGGAGAAATGGAGTGTCCATGGGACCTACTGGCACAAGTCAGTGGTAGCCTTGGAGAAAGCAATTACAACTGAGTGCTGCGACCACAAGCCAGGTGAGAGCAGGAGGTAAGAAAACCACAAATGTTTCCTTCGACTCTTGCTCTAACTAGGACTTCTCCTGTACAAAACTGTCGGGTGATATTGGAGAGACAGCAAGGTGCTCACTCCACATCCCAGGACCAAGGAGGAGGAATCCAGAGCAAGCACAAGACATGCAAAGGGTGAAGTTGGCAGCAAGCCTGGCTGAGGGGAAGACTGGGGTGGAGTACTTGAATGGCTGAGTCTGAGTTAGAAATGAACAGTACAGGCAATTCTTGGAGGCAGTCATTCTGACCACGGTCCCTGGACCAAGGGCCCCAGCAGCACTTGGGAACTTGCAAGGCATGGGACATCTCAGCCACGCCCCCACATGACTGGACCTGGATCCAGGACATCATACACGGTGAGCGTGCAGGTGTAGAGGGTACTCCAGCTCGTGTCAACCCTACAGAGCTTTCCTCACCTTAGGAATTGCTCCAGCTTTCTTTTTAAACCTAATCTAAAGTTGTTGTTAAATTAAAATTAATCTTAAATGACAGACACAAAGTTTGCCAAGAGCAACAAATATTAATTAAAGAAAAAAAAAACCACTTACGCTGCTTGAAGACTTCAAGGGCCCGCTTCAGGGTACTAAGAAATAAATAAACAAATAAGTAAATAAATAAATAAGCACATGTTTGATTTCAGTTCTGGAAATTCACTGTCCATTTTCATTTACTCTAATGCCTTTGCATGCTTTCCTTGTTCCACATCTTAATTTACAGCCGATAAAGTCGCCTTTGCCCATGAGCTTGACAGTAAAAGACTAAGACTTATTTTACTCTTAATAATTTATTATGTTTGAGATGATGCATTTTTAAATCCACATTTTAGTAAAAGGTTTTACAGTTATACTAGAGAACTCCATGAATAAAAATTTAAAAGACCATAGTACAGCAGGAAAATGGACAATGGCTATAAATAATAATCAAATGAAAAGATTTTCATCTTAAAAATAACAAGTCATAAAACTATTAGGACCATAGTAAGACTAAAACTTCTTCAGGCACAAGCAGTTGTTCACTACCTACGCTTTGTGCTTCCTTTTCCATTGTGAAAACACTTAGCATTTATGGTACCTTTCTATAAGGATATCAATAATCCTTTAAAGAATAGCAACTAGATAGATAAGTGCCGCAAGAAAGGAAGGACTCAAACCTTAGATCTTGACTGCCTCATTTCCTATCAATTCAATCATTCTTATTAGCCATAAAAATATGAGATAGGCAGTGCCACTGCTGTGGCATAGTGGAAAAAAGTGCTCCCTGCAGCACCAGTTTCACATATGGGCACCAGCTTGTGTCCCCGCTGCTCCACTTCCTATCCAGCTGTCTGCTAATGCGCTGGAAAAGCAGTGAAGGATGGCCCAACTGCTTGGGCCAGTGCACCACATGGCAGACCTAGAAGCTCCTGCCCAGCTCTGACCACTGCAACCATTTAGGGAATGAACCAATGGTTGGAAGATCTCTCTGAGTCTCCTCCTCTCTTTATGTAACTCTACCTTTCAAGTAAATAAATAAATCTTTAAATCCTTGAAAGCATCTCTGGATGCTTTCAAAAGTCAAAAAGTTCATTCACTTTTTTATAAAGATTCATTTATTTTTATTGGAAAGTCAGACACACAGAGAGGAGTTACAGAGGGGAAGATCTTCTGTTTGCTACTTCACTCCCCAAGTGATTGCAATGGCCGGAGCTAAGCAGATCTGAAACCAGGTACCAGAAGCTTCTTCTGGGTCTCCCACAGAGGTACAGGGTCCCAAAACTTTGGGCCATCTTCTACTGCTTTCCCAGGCCCAAAGCAGGGAGCTGGATGGGAAGTGAAGCAGCTGGGACAAACCAGCACCAAATGGGATCCTGGGCATGTAAGGTGAGGATTTAGCCACTAGACTATCATACTGGACCATTCTGCTTCACTGTTACTTTCTTTAGCTTTACTTTCTTTAGCTATATTCGGCAGATTAGCTTTTTGGAATTGTTAAAATTTGCATGTCGATTTTTGCTATGAATGCTTCCTCTCTTAGTCACAATAATGCGTGTATGCATTACAAGTTCATTGTGTTACTTTAGAAAAGATCTCTGCTCACAGCTGCTTGGGAAGCAGAGACCTTGCCTCCCAGCGACACTTCACAGTTGGTCAGACCACTATGCTGAAATGCAGCAATTAGTAGCTGCAGTCAGTTCCCAGTCTGGCTTGTAATTACAGCTGCCTTCCCACTCCCTTCCAGTCACCACAACAGTCTTTCACATCCACCTTGGAAGCATAGTCCCAGTTCTCAAACCCTACCACCGTTTCCTCTCTGAGGCATGCACTTAGGAGAAAACTGACTTTATCTTAGAACAAGATGGAATGGCGTTGCATATGTTCTGTTCTAAGTCAAATGTGTAACAGCAGTTGTATCTAGCTAAATATCTCTCCCAAGAAGTGATGGTTATTTTCTATCACATCACTATTGGAGTTTTTAAACAACATTCCAAATATCCTGAGATTTCCCTCTGAGCAGGGCCAGCTACACAATCCACTACATGCACTATCAAATGAAAATGTGGGCTCTCTTTGCTTATAAATCATTAAAAATTTTATAATGATCACAGAGCACTAGACCAATCAGGAAGCCCTTCTGAGTTGAGGTTCCATTATAAAGGCCACAAAGCCAGCCCCACTTAGCAGCGGAATGTGATGCCAAAGCAGGTGTCATACCCTGGCCATTTCTGCATCCTCAGGCTTTTCAATGAACAACTGAAGAATAAAGCACTTTGGCACAGAAATCTCATGAAAAATACAAAAGTAGTACAAAGATACTCTCATAATGATTGTAAGCCATAAATATATGCATCCATAATTTAATATATTTGCTAATTATTTAAATTGATTAGAATAAGCATATGTGTGTGTTAATTAGAATAAGCATGTGTGTGTATAGTGCAAAGTCCTATTAAACTTCAAGTATAAAAGTTTACATACTACAATCCTACTGATGGAAACATATGCCTATCAGAAGACTTGAAGGACAGTTTCTAAGATGTTAACAGCTAGTGCCTGCTTGACCGCTTCCAGCCTTCATCCTGCTGATCTCAGTCTTTCTCCATGGGGCACACACTTGACCCTACTGGCCACTCTTTTGGAGCAGAAAGAAACAGGGCACCTACTGGATTTCCGACTGGCCACATGGCTTCTTCCTGGACAGGTTGAGCAGGTCTTTGCCATATTTCTCTTCAATCGCCGCCCTGCAAGGAACAGAAGAGAAGCCCATGGGGACTTCTTAGAGCTGTCTCTTACTCATGGAGTGCCCAGTGCACATGAATACCATTGAAAGCAAACCTGTATCTTTGTCAGTACGAGCTGGGATACAACACCATTCTCTAAAATGCCAAACAATGTTAACCAGGAGGAATTATAAAAAGATCTCTGGCCTTCACCCTAGGGTGGTCTTCTCTAGCCAGCAGTCCCTAGCTTAGATCCTGTAGCAAAACTGAGCAACTTTAAGTGGTGAAGTAAGGAGTTATTTCCATCTGCACTGCACCCTAAGGGCACCCGCTTCTTCCATCTTCTCTAAGAGGGCCCTTTTACCATCCTGTACAGTTCCTCATTCACAGTCAGCTCAAACATTCAACAGAACCAAAGCAGGGAATTTCAGTAAAGGAATCTGGCAGCTGGTGTACGTCACACCTGGAGTGTGCTCATGGGGCTGGCATAGTGACGCAGCGGGTTAACCTGCTGCCAGTGATCTGGTGTCCCATCTGAGTGGAAGGTATGAGTTCCAGCTGCTTTACTTGTTTAGCTCCCTGCTAATGGTCCTGGAAAAACAACAGATGATGGCCCAAGTGCTTGGGCCTCTGCCTACCACATGGGAGACCCAGGCAGAGCCAAACCCCAAAAGTCTTCCTTGCTGCCCCCCTCCAACCCTACCTTTCTGCTGTTGTGTATGGTCTATCTTTCCAGGTGTTTTTCTTTGCATTTCTTCATCTGTACTCATACTTCCCATAGTCACATACCTAACTCAAGATGTTCATACAGTCAAGATCATTGTATATTGGCTGTTCTGTTTTTGATCTGGTAATGTGGCATATAGAACTTCCCTATCAGTACACACACATCACCTCTATAACACCACATTTGCCATGGTACAGAACTCCCTCCTGCAACAATTCCTAGCTTACACGAACCCCAAAAGACAAGCTAAGTGAACACTTGGCCATATCTCTGGGATTGCTTTTCTAGAGAATTACTATGTGCGTTTTAAGTTTTGAAAAGCAGTGCCAAATTGCTCTCCAAAAAAGCCTTCTCAATTTGTGTGTCCATCAAAATTATGTAAGAGGCGCCCAGTGTAATGGCTCAATTGGCTAATCTCCCCCTTGCAAGCACCAGGATCCCATATGGGCACCAGTTTGTGTCTCAAATGCTCCATTTCCCGTCCAGCTCCCTGCTTACAGCCTGGGAAAACAGTAGAAGATGGCCCAAAGCCTTGGGACCCTGCACCTGTGCAGGAGACCCAGAAGAAGCTCCTGGCTCGTGACTTTGGATTGGCTCAGTTCCAGCCATTGCAGCCACTTGGAAAGTGAACCAGTGGATGAAAGATATTTCTCTCTGTTTCTTGTTCTCTCTAAATCTCCCTTTCCAATAAAAATGAATAAACCTTTAAAAAAATGTTTATGAGGGGTGACTCTTTGGTGCAGAGCGCCCAGGCTCAAGTACCACTCCTTCCTGTCCAGTTTCCTGTTAGTGTATGCTCTGGGCAGTAGCAGGTCCTGAAACCCACAGAGAAGACCTGGACGCAATTCTGGGTTGCTGGCTTAAGCCTGGCCTAGTGGGCATTTGGGGTGTGAGCCAGATCTCTGTATGTCTTTGTATCTTTGCCTTTCAAATAAATTTAAGATGTTAAGCACCTGAAAATAATTAAAAGGATGCAGACACTAAACATTTCTTTTGTTGGCCAAGATGTATCCATGTGGCTCCATCATGCCCCTGGTCCTGTGGGCAGCCTTGGGACCATGCAAGTGAGGACTCATCTTGTCTTCCTGATTCTAGAGCATGTTCAGAACAACTTGAGCAAGAATCCTGCTGAATTTTGTAATCACATCCAGCAGATACCATGGCATGCTCTTTGGTGAAAGGAAGAAACTTTCACAGAAGTGAAACTATACCCTCATCCTCCTGAAAGTGGGGGATGAAGGAATGAGATCAAGAGGGTGTTTCCGCAGCTGTGAAGTATTGGGTATGATGGCTGCTAGCCATGGGAGAACCACTAAAACTGGGACTTACCAGAAACCACCCTTGAATGTGGGATCATTTACCTAGGCCACCCTTTTGCCACCCATCCCAAGTTTCCATCTCCTCTGCTCGTCAATTTGTCATTTCCTGAACATCCACGATGTGCCAAGCATCACAGTCAACTCCAAGAACACAAAGATGACAGCAACACAAGAGCTGCCTGGTAGGCCTGGCACAATGGCTCCGTGGCTAAACCCTCTCCTTGCACATACCAAGACCCCATATGGGTGCCAGTTCGTGTTCCGGTGGCCCTGCTTCCCATCCAGCTCCCTGATTGTGGCCTGGGAAAGCAGTAGAGGACAGCTCAAAGCTTTGGGACCCTGCACCTCTGTGGGAGACCCAGAAGAAGCTCCTAGCTCCTGGCTTCAGATCAGCTCAGCTCTGGCTGTTGTGGCCACTTGGCGAGTGAATCAGTGAATGGAAGATCTTCCTCTGTGTCTCTGCTCCTCTCAGTATATCTGACTTTCCAACAAAAATTAATAAATCTTAAAAAAGAAAAAAGAAAGAAAGAACAGCTTTCTGGTGTTCAGAAATTAATGGAGGAAAGACACAGCAACCAGACCCTGTGCTTACTACCACGTAAGAGGGCCACAGCAAAGGTACAGAATAGTCCAGGACACAGAAGAGAAGTGCCACTCCTCTTGGCGCACAGCTGGCTACACTTCCTTCACCAAGCCCTCCCAGCTCTCTTGGACCTCTCTCCTAGACTAAGGGTAACCTCTGAGTCACTTCCCCTTCAACCAAGCAGGAAAACACCATCAGATACAGCCTTTTCCACCGGTCCTGAAAGCAGCCTTTGTCTGGTCCTAAATCCAGGCTTGGCAGCCCCCAAATCAAAATAGGCACATCTGAGAAATCCTTTCACCAACCTAACCTCTTGTTCATTTTAACTGCACAGACCAATCAAAGCTCTCAAATGAATGTTTATTGGAGCAGAGGAATCTTACACTCAATAAAACCCTTTCATCCAGAGAAGAGGAAACTGACAGCTAGATAGGTCTAGACTGTTGGTTAATCCCAGCTACCAAAGAAGCCAGGATCAGAAGGCCCAGATATCTGGATCCCCTTTCAGTACTCTATTTTCTTTTTGTGTTTCAGCTTTCTGACCTAATTCTATTGGGTATATTGTATAGGTTGCCCCCAAACAGAGTATGTTGAAATCTCAACCACTAGTTCTCCTAGTGTGACCTTTGTAAATAAGGTCACCACAAATGTAATTAGTTCAGATGAGTCGCACTGAAAAAGAATAAGCTCTTAATCCAGCATGACAGGTGTTCTACAAAAAAGACAATGTGAAGACACAAGGGAAGAACATTGTATGGCGATGGGAGATACTGAAGTTACACAGCTGTATGCTGAGATTACCAAGGCATTCTGACAATACCATAAGCCAAAAGCAAGATGTCAGGGGACAGTGTTGTGGCCAGCAGGTTAAGGGACCACCTGCAACAGCAGCATCCCATATCGGAGGCCAGTTTGAGCCCTCGCTGCTCGACTTTGGATTCAACTCTATTAATGCACCAGGGAAGGTAGCAGAGGATGGCCCCTGCCATCCACTTGAGAGACCCAGATGAAGTTCCTGAATCCTGGCTTTGGTCTGGCCAACCTCTAGCTGTGTGACCATTTGAGAAGTGAAACAGTACATGGAAAATCTGTATGTGTGTGTGTGTGTGTGTGTGTGTGTGTGTGTGTGTGTGTGTGTAATCACCTTTCAAGTAAAAATGAATAAATCTTCGGGCCAGCATTGTGGCGCAGCAAGGTAAGCACCTGTCTGTGACACCAGCATCTCACTCCCCTCTAACTCCCATATGAGCACTGGTTCCAGTCCTAGCTGCTCCAATTCTGATGAGCCTGGGAAAACAGTACAAGACAATTCGAGTGCTTGTGTAGCTGCCACCATGTGGAAGATCTGGGTGGAGCTCCCCATTCCTGGCTTTGGGGAGTGAATCAGCAGATGGAAAATCTCTCTCTCTCCCCTTCTATGCAATTCTACCTTTAAATTAAATAAAAATGAGTGTTTAAAATATAAAGAATAAATAAAGACATGAAGCACCTCCTCTAGAACCTTCAAGAGAACATGAAGCGCTCACATCCTTCCTGTGCTCTGTCATCCTCTGGCTCCCCGAATCCACCTCTGTCTCCCTTGGGCTTTTCTTGCCCCTACTTCCAACCTGCTGACTTACTACAAATACCTAGACACCCCTTTAACCTCTCAAACTGGTTTCTAAGAATTTTAGGACAGGGCAGGCATTTGGTACAGAAATAAGGATGCTGTGATGGACCCTGAATCTCATTTCAAGGTGTCCGATTCAAGTCTCAGTTTCATTCCTGAATCTAGCTTCCTACTAGAATCTTGTACCCTGGAGAATAGCAAGTAATGGCTCAAGTCCACTCACAATAGGCCTGGATTGTGCTCCTACCTTCTGGTGTCAGCCTTGCCCAGCCCAGCTCAGTGTGAATATGTGGGGTGCAAATCAGCAGATAGCAGATCACCTTCTAACCATCCCCCTTCATTTCTTCAATAAATAAAAATTACAATGTTTGGGGTCAGCACCGTGGCATAGTACCTTAAGCTTCCACCCGCCGCAGTACGAGCATCCCACATGAGCACCAGTTAAAGTTCCGACTTCCCACTTCCAATTTCATTCCTTGCTAATGTACCTGGGAAAGCAGTGAAAGTCTCCGGAATCCTGCCTCCCATGTGGGAGACCCAGAAGAAGCTCCAGGCTCTTAGCTTCACTCTGGCCCAGCTCTGGCCATTGTGCTCATTTAGGGAATGAACTAGTAGATGGAAGATCTCTCATCTATCTGTCTCCTCTCTAAATACAAGTCTGCCTTTCAAATAAAAATAAATAATTTTTTAAATTAAAATATTTTTGAAGAAAGACCTTCATAAGAGTTATATCCTTCACTTCTTGGGGTCACCCTATAACTCTTAGCAGGGGATCTTCAGAAACGCCAAACCCAAAAAACAAATGTCGGCAGCTGACCCCTTGGTTGTGAAGGCCTCTTGGCCATGCTCTTCAGGGGCACCAAGCAGCGTACCTTTCCTTCAGAAAGTCTTCAAACTCCTTGCAGTTCTTGCGGCCATTGTTCAGATGCTGGATGATGCTGTCGTAGCCGATGGTGCTGAGGATGTCCCCACTCTGGTGGAAGAGATGACATGGCATCAGCCCAGAAAGGACACAGGTGCCAGCCCCAAGGCCAGGAGAGGCACTGGGTGCTTGTTGCTATTTCACTTCACCTCCAACACACATGTGATGGAAAAGGACTGAGATGCATGTAGCTGTGGATGCATTTTTAAAGTGATGAAGCCAAACGAGCATTAAAACAGGAAGGAAGTAGCCGAGGAGTGAAAGGCACCTGGATCAGGAAGCTGGCCGGCCTTGGGTCAGTTCTTGGTCCTCCACTAACTCCCTAAGTCAGGTCAGGAGACAGAGGAGCTGGGCAGCCCCTGTCTTCTGCAGTGTGCTTTTTCATACTCAAATGCTCTCCAAGACTGGAGAAAGCTACATCCCCCAAGTCAATATCCCTAGGTGGCAGTACACTTGAAAAAAGAATCAAGGATCCCTCAAACCAATTAGAGGGGTCTAAATACTATCAGTGTTCCCTAATAAAGCAGGTTCCCTGGTTTCCACCCCTAAATGCACACAATGGATTGGATGACTCAGACTCCATGGCCCTTTGGTGGTTGGTGAGGCTGCCCCTGGGTGTGTACCAAGGATCCTTAAACCCAATCAACCCCAGCCCAGCCACAGAGGGTCTTCCCATGCCAGCACCAGCTTGCAGAGCATAATTTCTTTCTTCCATTTGCTGCCCATTCAGGATACTTGGGCTGGGCAGACAGTGGTCCCAGAGAGACCCAGCAAGACCAAGGCCCAAGGCTGATCCCAGTGGAAAACATTGCAAAGGTTGATTTATGCAAGCATCAATTTCACCAGTAGACAAAGCAGTAAATCTAATTGACAAATATGCTGAATTTATTGTTTGATCTCAGATGTAAACCTTGGGAAGCCTGAAGAAGCAGCTCCCATTGGAGCCTCTGTTCCACCAGTCCCCTCCATGCACAACCCTGTGTCCCAGCTAAGCATGCCCCTCGCTGGTCCCTAAGACACCATCCCAGCAGCAGCCCTAAGGTAATGCCTACCTTGAACCCCCATACCCAAATGTGCATTCAGCTCCCCAAACCCAAGGTGTCTGCCAGTCTCCTCCAACAGCCCAGCGCTCATCTCTGGGTCCTCTAAGAGCCAACCTCTGAATTTACTCCTCAGTATCTCCTCTGCAAGAAGCCTTTCTCTTGCAGGTGCCCACGATGCTTCCAAGTCTTGTACCACACCTAGGTACAAGAGCTCTAGGTTACCATTCAAGGTCTAAAGTAAAATTCTGTGGAAGAAAGGGTCTACTACAGTACCAGCCAGATGTCCCAGAAAGGATCAAAGAAGACAAAGACTCAAGAGTGGACGAACAAATGAATGAATGAGTCAATGGCAAAGTTGGCCTGCAGACAGAAGCCTTGGTTCTTCCCACAGAAAGACTTGGCTTCCCTGGTGGTCATCTGCAAAAGCCATTGCCCTTTTCTTCATTTAGAATGCATATGTTCGGGCCCGGCGCAATGGCACAGTGGTTAAGGTCCTCGCCTTGCACGCCCGGGATCCCATATGGGCGCCAATTCTAATCCCTGCAACACCGCTTCCCATCCAGCTCCCTGCCTGTAGCCTGGGAAAGCAGCTGAGGACGGCCCAAAGCTTTGCGACCCTGCACCCGCATGGGAGACCTGGAAGAGGCTCCTGGCTTCGGATTGGCTCAGCTCCAGCCGTTGCGGCCGCTTGGGGGAATGAATCATCAGACAGAAGTTCTTCCTCTCTGTCTCTCCTCTCTGTATATCTGCCTTTCCAATAAAAATAAAATAAATCTTAAAAAAAAAAAAAAAGAATGCATATGCTGCTTGAGAGTGAGATAGAGTGGCTCCGGGCTCTTGGTTTCTGGCTTTGGCTTGACCCAATCCTGGCTATTTCAGCCATTTTGAAAATGAACCAGCAGATTGAAGATTGTCTCTCTCTACCTAACACTCCACCTTTCAAATAAACAAATAAGTCTTTTTAAAAAAAAATTTTAAATGACAAGTCTCAGGCCATAAAAAACAATAATCATAGTACATACATCTCTCTCAATACTTAGATTCAAAATGTATAAATAACTGTAACAAATATATGATGAAAAGACAAGCAGTCCACTGAAAAAAACTGGACATAACACTTCAACTTCATAGAAACAGCCTTTATAAAGGATATTCCTTTCAGGCCTGGAGAGATGATTCAGTGAATATATCCTATCCTTGCACACGCCAGGATCCCACATGGGCACCGGTTCATGTCCCAGCTGCTCCACTGAAGTGGCCATAAGAGACTAGATCTTGGCAGCTACAAAACCTCCCAAAACCTAGAACAAAAAGTTTTATAGGGCCCAGTGTGGTAGCCTAGCAGCTAAAGTCCTCACCTTGAATGCACCAGGATCCCATATGGGCACTGGTTCTAATCCCAGCAGCCCCACTTCCATCTAATTCCTTGCCTGTGGCCTGGGAAAAGAGTGGAGGATGACTCAAAGCCTACACCTGCATGGGAGACCTGGAAGAAGCTCCTGGCTCCTGGCTTTGGATCGGCTCAGTTCCAGTCATTGTGGTCACTCGAACAGAAGATCTTCCTCTCGGTCTCTCCTTTTCTCTGTATATGTGACTTTCCAATAAAAATAAACAAATCTTTTTTTAAAAGTTTTATAATGCTGAAATTATGAAAGTGGTAAGTGGAGGTGTCGGCATGATGGCTCAACAGGTTAATATCCCTCCACCTGCAAACACCAGCATCCAATGTGAGTGCTGATTCGTGTCCCAGCTACTCTACTTCCCATCCAGCTCCCTGCTTGTGGCCTGGAAAAAGTGGTAGATGATGGCCCAAACCCTTGGGATAGAACTGGAGGAAGCCATGGAAGAACTGGAGGAAGCTTCTGGCTTTGGATCGGCTCAGCATCAGCCATTGTGGCTATTTGGGGAAATAACCAGATGAGGTAAGAGCTTTCTTTCAGTCTCTCTTCTCTATGAATTTGCCTTTCTAATAAAATAAATAAATATACATTTTAAGTGTTAAATGGCATTCTGCTTATAGTCAATATTTGCCACAAAGACAAATATTTAAGACAAAAAAATAAAGCCAGTGCCAGCAGAGAGCACATGTATGACACATCAACCAGGCGTGTGAGCCAAAGAATAACAAGTCAGCATTGTAAGCAAGCCAAGAGACACTCAGGGTGGTGAGAGGCATGCAGCCAGAGCAGGGAATCCTCTCTGCCTGCCAGTAACCCCATTCCCGCTCTGGGGCTCAGGCCTGCTTCTGCTTCCCTCAGTCACTGAGGCACAGAACAGACTCTGCCCAGCTCAAGCCCTAGGCTCCAGGGGCCTCTGAGAGCTTGTCCCCGGGTGTTCTTTTCCAACTCTTCTATCCATCCCATAATGCCTGGGAGAAGGTGCAGAGAGCAAGGAGAAGCAAAGAGCCTCTGCAGCTTCAAAGTCACCATCAGGATCGCAGGTGTTGCCTCGGAGCATCCTGGCTTTTCATTCTATGCTGCACCTCACACCCAGTCCTGGTGCGATGTCCACTCCCCACCACCTCATCAGACCTGGGCTCCAAAGACCACCTGGTCAGAACCACCCAGGCGGCACTTGTCAACCATGCATATGCCCCATCCCATGCTAGAGCTGCTGATTCTTAGCCTGTCACGAGGCAGAGAAAACAGCAGCCTTTCCTAAGCCTTCCAAGCAGCTGGGCTGCAACTGAAGAACAGGTGCCTGAGCAACTACAAAGACCAAAGAGGCAGCACAAGTCCCACCCGGAGGGGCTTGGGATAGAAGCCAGAACAGTGCTGGGTGACAGAACAAAGGCAGAGCAGATTCTCATTGGTTTGCATTTCCTGTTGAAACCTACAGTTCTGAATGAAACATGCAAATAGATAGGATGCCTCTAGCAAGCCCAGATTCTCCACTGGCACAGGGAGGAGACCCCTGACTTTGTAGCACACACAAAGGCTGTGTCTGTTTGACACTTTCATGTAGGTGTCCTAAGTGGCCTGCACTTTGCATGAAGGAGCCACAGAGTGATCCATGAACATAGTGAGCATGGAGCGATTTCCATACTTGGCAGGCGGAAAAAAAACAAGACAATGGAAAGTAAACTTCTCCCATCGTTGCTTCCAGTCACCATGAGACTTTTTAACTGTCAGCCAATGACAGTATCCAAATTTCTTGGTCACTTATTAAGGGTCGTAACAAGAGACCTGGGAAAAATACTGAGGAGTTTGTTTTCTTCCCTTCCCTTTCAACCTTGATCTTTCATTCCTACCCATTAACCCCCCCAAAGTGATAAAATCAAGTGGACCAGTCATTGCAAACAGAAATTATTGTTAATTAGTATCAATAAGTATATCTACTATATATTGAGTATTTGCTGTGCGCCAAACAGCACGTACAGTAGTTCATATGGAGGATCTAATTTCATTCTTACATTTCTATCACATAGATTTTATTACTTTAATGTTATAGGACACAAAATTGAGACTCAAAAAATCTGTATTGTGGGAGCCAAGGCTGTGGTTTAGTGATGAAGATGCCATTTGCAACACTGGCATCCCATGAGATGCTGGTTTATGCCCGAGCTTCTCCACTTTGATCCAGTTCCCTAAGCACCTGGGGAAAACAGCAGAGGAAGACCAGAGTTTCGACTCTACCATTCATATAGGAGACCCGGATAAAGCTCTTAGTTACTGGTCTAGCCTGCTCTAGACCTGGCCATTGTAGTACTCTAGAGATTGAACCAGAAGATGCAAAAAATCTCTGAGTATAACTCTGATTTTCAAATAAACAAACTGTGTTGTGAAACAGACATATGTCTATGTCCTTTATTTTTAAGTTTATTTATGGGCCTAGAGCAGTAGCTTACCAGCTAAAGTCCTTGCCTCGCACCAGGATCCCACGTGAGTGCTGGTTTGTATCCTAGCTGCTCCACTTCCTTCTAGCTCCCTGCTTGTGGCCTGGGAAAGCAGTAGCGGATGGCCCAAAGCCTTGGGACCCTGCATGCTTGTGGGAGACACAGAAGTTCCT